TGCAGAGTTGAGTTTTGTGTAATTGTCAATTTCTCGGCATATGTCAGAGCTCAAACGGTCATATATCTGCTGGCTTTTTGCTGTACCATGAGCTATGCACACTCGAGGAACTTGGCCAAGACAAAGACATGTTTATTTAGTCAAAGGGGGTTCGCTTGATAAAAAGGTAATTAAGTAATAACAAGAATCGGTCAAGGCCAACACAGAACTCTAGACGAACAAGTATTTTGGGCTGGGCTAAGCAATCTGTAAGCTGTTTGTGAAATCTCATAGTCAGATGCGAAAAATGTGCCTTACAACGGGCCGCTGAACTACCCACAATACTTGGGAAATATATAGATCTATATACACATAGGTGGGTGTGCCTTGACAGTCGGCTATTGCTTTATACTATTACATCATTAATAATCGTATCTTATCACAATTTCAATATATAACCATAAGATATTATTTGAAATCGCAGTCTGGCATAAATTTCTACTTTCAACATTGATAAATGGGTCACAGCAGAGTCGTCGACTCGACTCATTAAGCAGGAATAAAATTAAGTTCTTTATAGATATAGAGATATAGTACGCTCCATAACAAAAGACTGTTACAAAACTTTATTGATAGCTTTCCATTTTATCTTATCTTATCGGCTATGAACCAATTTTCCCAGTATCGTAGCATATCTAGAGTATCTTCGATTGCCAACTATGTTAAGTGTGATTCTGTTATTGAACTGATTTTGCAGTTCAAGTCAATTTTAACTTTACTCTGTTGTATGCCCATTTATATGCGTCCAACTCAGAACTGACCTCAGGGCAATCACTTACCTGGCCAATTGCCTTAAGCCAAAAGGAAAGAATTAATGCGTTCCGCCCAAATTGGGCAGCTACTTAATGAGAGTTTGACTTTCGTGTGTACAAGTGCGAACAGTTTCACATGTCCAAAAAGTCGACGTCTCATCATTAATATCCAATTAAAGTTCGCCATAAAAGTTGTTCTAATTTGCACGCGTCGCGTCATTAATCAAAATCCAGACCAGAAATACAAGATATTGAAATAAGTTTTGCCTACAAGTCTCAATCCCTCAATCGTGGCGTAGATTGGAAATTAGCGACGCTTAAATTATTTATTTACGAGCACAACTTAACATAAAATGCAGAATCTGGTCCAATTAACATAATACAAATGTCTGTGCAATTATTTAATTTAACATGCGCATTTTAGTAGCTGCTATTAGGCTTTAAAAGATTTGTGAGCTTACTTAGATAATTTGCTTAGCTTCGCCCACTCAATTTTACATTAAGATGTTAATAACATGAAGTAGTATAACATATTTATGTAATGTACAGCTTTATGTTAGTTAACATGCGGAAATTCGTTAAGAAATATATCTATTAACTTAACATAGAACTGTTATTAGCATTAAATATAGCAAAGAAAACTTATTTAGATTTAATTTAACTGCATTAAATTTATTTTAAATGTGAACAAGATTTTGATAGGTGCTTCAATCATTTCCCCTCTTAAAATACACTTGTGAAAAGTGTTCTTTATGTCGTTTACTTAACGAGCTACTCTCGATTGTGCATATTCCCATTATTAACTACCGTATAGCCTTAAGGGGCACATGCTGCTGCTGTTGCTGCCAGTCAAAGATCTTTTGTTGGTGCGGCGGCTGATGCTGGCCGAAAGCCAACAAACAGCCAAGAGATTTGAGCCTACATACGAAACCGGGCGCTGACTTCTTGACTGTTTGTTCAGCCTGGCTTAAAATGAGCGCAGGCGTTGAGCTTTTTGTCATATGCGTGTGTGTGCCTTTGCAGCTGTGCACTGTGCATGTGTGTGTGAGTGTAACGTACTTGTAGTCAAAGTCACTTTCAGCTTCGTTGCGTTCTCATAATTTTTGTGACCAAATTTAGAGGCGATCGCAGCAGCAGCCGCGCAGCACGTGTGGGCGAGTCTAAACCCAAAAAAAATATATAAAAAAATCAAAACTTTGTCGTATTCCGCTTGTCTCTAGAAAAGCAAAAAAAAAAAACTCTTTGAACGCAGCTGCTTTTATTATTTAATTTTTTTAGCAGTGTTTACCTTATTAGCATACGGTCTTGTCTTCACTTCTTGGCAGCAGCGCCTGCCTAGGTCAGTTATCTCCAAACCGATCAGATCAGATCGTAGCAGCTGCTGATTCATGCTAAGATCTTGGCTACATGACGGGCTGCCCACCCGCATCTGAAGCCCGCTTGGGCGTGTCGTGTGTGCGCGCGTGTCTGTGTGTGTGTGTGTGCGTGTGTGTATACAATTGATGTAACATGGCTACCGTTGTTGTTATTATTGACACAGTTTCTGGCCTCGCACAGTTGTTGCCTCTGCCTTTGGGTTAAGCTGCGTACTTAAAGCTTTTACGCTGGGGATTTTGTGCCGTGTCAGAGGCCTTGCCACTTGGCCGACGACTTTTCAGACGCAATCTCAAAGGCATGTTGCGCACTGCTCTGGTGGGCAGACAGCCAGCCAGCCAGCCAGTCAGTTAGATAGGTAGCAAGCTAGCTAGTAGTCAGCCATCCGGCCAAGTTGATTAACTTGATTGGTAACGCAAATTCGCAAGTATCCGCCAACACAGACACACACACACACAGACGCCCAAGAACTCGACGGGAGGGCGAAGCGGCCGCAAGGCAGCTTAACGCTGTTAAGTAGCTTTCCATGTTGACTCCATTTACTGTCCAATTCTCTTGGCTGCCGATAATTCGACAGTTGCTGGGCGTTGCGTCAAGGACGGCCATTCATCTGTTGTCGGATATATAGAGCTCTAGAAATATATTATATATATACGTACATATGTATTATATGTATTAAGTAATTCTTAAGCTTATGAACTGGTTTGATTAATTAACTCTTATTTTTTTATTTTATTAATTTTATTTCAGTTTTGATGACAGCCTTTTGTCTTCCCGGCGACGCAAGGAACGTTCCAAGCGTTCGCACCGCAAATCGCCAGCCACTGGCCGGCGACAGCACAAGTACCGTTATAGGGAAGAGACCTCACACTCGAGCTCGAGGCGCAGGCATCGCGATCGCGCCAAGGATGAGCGCGACAGCGGACGCAACAATCGTCAATCGCAAGCTAAGGTAAAAACTTTTCATTTTCTAAAACAAACGAACGATTTTAGGCTGAGCAATTCAACAATAATTTAATTAAAAAAAAAAAAAACAAAAAATCAATTCAAGTTTATGGTAAAAGAAAGATTAAGCAACTAGTTGTTTAAGCAATTCGAAATCGTATGCATACATAGATGCATATGTAAACCCGATCAAGTTTTCTTCGTATGTATTTAAATGTTCTCACCTCTGCCGCTTGCCAATTTTGTTGCAATTTTGAATCATTGCTGTCGTCCTCCCGTTCAGTTGTCCCATCACCGTGCTAGATACGATGTTGTTCTTTAAGCGCTATTTGGAAAAGTCGCAGCTAGCGGCCAAACAGTTCGAATCCGCACAGATTCCATGTTATATCAAAATGCGTGAGCTGCCCGGCCCCCAGCGCATAGATCATCACCGCGATCTGTTGCTGGAGTGTTCCTCGCTGCGCTACATGCCCTACACAGAGGACTGGATAGTCGTCGAGTACTTTGCCGATCACGACAGCGATTACCTCGTAAGCTGCTGCTGATTGTCGTAACCGTTCGAATTCATCAGCTGCCCAAAAAGCGACTGTTTCAAAACAAATTGTCTGCCTTGTGTTGTGATCACCTTCTAAAAGAAAAATCTCTTTACTGATGTCTTTCCTTCGTCTTTTACTCATTTTCCCCCACCATTCACTTGATGACTCTCCATTGCACTCACTCATCGCACTCGCTCATCTTATCGTCTTGCGGCGTTGTGCTAATTTAGTGATTAAACTGTAATCATTTGCTAGAAAGTGACGAGCTAAATATATAATCAATCTGAATTCTCTTTGTGGTTCTGCAACTGAAATAGAAAATGAATCTTAGTCGCCTAAGCTTAAATTCAGCCTTAGCAAAGTATAATTAGAAAATTATATTGGTCTAAAGCTTTTATCGTTGACCTTTGCCAACTAAGCCTCTATTATGATGTATATGAAATATGCTTAGATTAGTGTAAAATTCATTATGCATGTTTACACTGCGAAGCTCCCTTCATATCAAGGTTATGCCATATGTGATTGAACTACAAACTAACGTATCTAATCTTGATCAACTAACGCATATTAAACATGACTTTGTCGAGTGGTCTCAAGGTGCTGTTAGCTCTTGAGAGTCGAGTAGTTGATAAGGCAAACACGATCAAACAGTCTCAAAATAAACTAGATCAATTGTATAATATATATAGATATATGTATATGTATGTCTCTAGCTGAGAGAGAGTGAGTCTGCCCTATGGTGCGGGTTGATGATAATCTGTTGAATTAATTGCTCTGCCGCGGGCCTGTCCTCGTTATTTTCGTTCAATTGATCATTTGACATTAACACTCGTTGGGTGGGGCGGGCAGTGGCCAGTCAGTCAACGGCAATTGAGCGGACGAGCACAGAGCAGAGCAGAGCATTTGTCGACTGTCGCATCAAAGAAGTTCGTCAAGATTCAGTACTTTCGGCACTTGGAGCAGCAATACAAGCGGCAGCAATATGCCCAGAAGGCGACGACGTCGACAACGGCGCCAACTTTAAATGGCAACAGCAATGGGGACAGTGGGAACAATGGGGAGTCTAGGGCTCTGGTCAGCCGTTGTCAGCTACTGAAGAGGCAACGTAATCTGTTCGATTTGGCTGCACTGTGCGATATGCCCGTGGATCGCTATACCGGCGATAGTTGGATTCTCGATGAGTACTTTGTCGATCACACCGACGACTATTTAGTGAGTGAGCGAACAGCAGAATCAGAGCAAACACTCACTCACTCACTCTCAGTGCATGCTTTGCCCCCTACACAGCTTGCTCTCCTACACACACACACGCTCTCACACTCAGTCACTCTCTCTCACTCTCTCTTGCTAGACAGCTGATCGAGTGCGCGCGCAGCTGCTCCTCCTAGCGCCTGTGCTTTGCCATTTGCTCAAAAACCGTTTTCGCCTTGGGGGCCGCCATTGGGGTAAATTAAAAATATACCACACACCAACAGTAAACGGAAAATCCACAATGCTCGGCATGCTTTTCGTTTGAGCATTTTCCAATTCTGAAACCGAAACAGAAACAGAAACAGATTCAAATCTTCGTTTGTCGGTTGTGTATCGTTCTCGGCTAACGTACGTCCGAGGCCTTTGGCTAACGTGTAACGGTACGTGTTTCTACACGCGTCTCTCTCGTTCTCTCACACTCTTGCTGCCTACCTCTATCTCACTCCAGCTCACTAACTGTCGCGAATTTGTTTATAATTTTACGTGTGTGTTGTGTGTATGTGTGTGCGTGTGTGTGTGTGCGTTGGGTGTAGAGGAAAATCTTTGAAAGACATGTTTAGCGATTACTTCATATTTGTCCAAACGAAACGCATTTGCCCCTGAGATTAAAGGAACTTGGGCAACTGCATACGACGACAACAACAAAAAGGCATTAAAAAACAATTATAAAGAGCATTTTTTAAGCATAGAGCGTGACATAATCAGGCAGCCCAAGAAACTAAATAAAAAAGACACAGAAACTTGAACAAATTTAAGTGCTTTAAAAATAAAATCGAAGCAGCAGCAGCAAGAACAACTACAAAAGAGCCGCAAAAATAAAACATTAGATAAAAAACATGTATTAAAAAGTACTTGCGTAAATTGTCGCCCGAATGGGTCTTTAATGTGCCATGCGCTTGGTTGAATAATAATCGAGTTGCACAGCTGTAAAATTGACAAATTGACAAATTGAGGCCTCGAATTTGCACTTTATCTGGCCTGAAGGAGACGCCTTTCGCTTAGCAGAAGAAGAGGCAGAGTGCAGCGCGGCGGCCAACCAAATCAAAACAAAAACTTAAAACTAACAAACACAATGCCAGCAACAACAACAACAACAAGACAACTTACACAAATGGAGCACACACGCACACACTCTCGTTAAAATGTATATATACCAGATTTATATGCGTACATATATATAGTATATATGCATCTGAGATCAACAGGGATTATTCATCAACAGCTAGCCGGGGCAGTTCCATCATGTTGATCTATGATGCTGCTGCATCTTCTTCTTCCGCCAAGCAATTTACTTGAAGTTATTTTTGTAATGTTTGGTTTTATTTTTGGTACGCTCGTTTATTTCCACAAAAACATAGCAAAAAGTCCAAGCACAGCACATATTGCCCATATAAGAAAAAGAGCCCAAGCTATATGGAGGCAAAGACTCTTCCTATTTTACAATATACTCAAACGTCCTCTCTCCCTCTCTCTGTGTGTGTGTGATATTTACACTTGACAAGCAGAGATTTGCAAAGGTGCAACAGTAAATGCTCGTGCAGTGAACTTCATAAAAATTTAGTAAATTCTTAAAACATATATTTGAAAAGTTAAAGCTTAAAAAATGTATAAATTAATTCGAATTCGGGATAAACATTAAAGGCATTGTAAATAAACAGTTTTTGTTGTTAAAAAATTGGCATTAAAAACCAACTGTTTACATAGCTGATTGCAAGAGGTAATACTGTACCACGCGCACACACATGCACAGCTATATATATATATTTATATACATATATATATATATATATATATATATATATATATATATATATATTCATATATATATCATGTATTATACACTACAACTACTGCGCCAATTTACGTGCGTTGTCGTCTTTCTATTTTTTGTTAAAAATAAAAACAGATTTTGAACAGAGAGCACACTCTGGCAGCGGCAACTAGCTAAACGAGATCTATATACAATATATATATATATATATACACATTTATATAGACAGATAGATGTACTTTCATACATATATTACAGACAGGCAGGGCCGTCAGTCGATTGGGCATATGTAGTCGCCCCATTGGGATGCGCTCGTGCTCCAGCGGCTCTCCTCTCTACACGACGCGCTGATTATACATGAGCACCTATATATAGGGCAAGGTATAGACTTTATGGGGGGTTTGTCGTTAGCCAGGAATTGGCAGGCTGATATGTGTTTTGCTTTGGTTTGAAAAACGGCGCCTCGATCAATGAGCTCATTGCTGTTTACGATATGTATATACTGATATATATATATATATATATCTGTGTGATTTGTCGAATGTCGAGTGGCCCAGCAAATGTGCCACTGATTCAGGTATAGACAACAATTACATATAAAATATATATTTGCTACAAGCACAACTCACATCGAGCGCCAATGTGCAGGGTGAAGGAAAATTGTTTTTCCTTTTCGATTTGTTTGTAGTTGCCGTTGTTGCTGTTGCTGTTGCTGTTGTTGTTGTTGGCAAGTTGCTAAACAATTAATAAGTCAAATCGAAACTAAACGACTAATTGCATTTGCCAAAATGCCAATGAGGCATTGACATTGAGCGTAGAACCTATACCCCCAGACCCACCGTTCCACCAAACCCAAGAAATGTATCGACCGATCTTCAATCTTCACAGGGCTATCGAACAGGTTTCTTTATTGCAAACGCCAGCAAAGTCGCGAGTCGCGTCGAGCAAGTCGAACCTAACGCAATTCACATTAGGATAGAGACCCCAGTGAAAAGTTAGATAACAGATTCAGATAGATCGCTCCAATCATATAAATATATATCAGTATACATATATACGCATATATATACATATATATCGCGATAACTGGCAGCCGCGATGTCCATCGAACTAAGCGAATTGATCGGACTCAGCTGCCCGGATTTGACTGCCCAACCGGACGGCAGTGGTCAGATCCAGTTGATTATCAATTCGGAACGTCGCCTGAGCATTAAACAAATGACGGCCACGGAGCTGGCCAATATGCGTGCTGCTGCTGCCGCCGAGGCTGAGGCACAGGCTCGTGCTCAAGCCGAGGCCAAGGCGCGAGCCTTGGTTGAGGAACAGGCGAATCTGGCCGCTGAGGTGGTGGCTCAGGCACGCGCACGTGCCGCTCTTGAAGCTGAACAGCAGCTACTTCGTGCCCGGGAGCAAGAGGAGCGTCGGGAAGTAGAACGACAGAGGCAATCGGACGCCACGCCTAGTCCATCGCCAAAGGGCGTTCTGCCGTCCATTGAGGCGCCGCGTGATCGCATCATTTCACTGCCCAACATCTTGGATGATGCTATGGAAATGCATTTGCTGAACGCAGTCGAGGGCAGTGGCAACTCTGGCGAGTCCTCGCCCACCAAGAGCAATTCGCACCTGGCCGACTCTATTGAGATGCTGCGCAAGCAGCGGGCAGCTCGCGCGGCACGCTCCCACAATCGCAGCCGAGAGCGCAGCACATCGCCAGCAGCGCGTAACCATGAGCGAAGCGCAGCACCCGACCGGCTGCACAGCTCCAGCATCAGCAGCATGGACTCGGCGTGTGCCAGTGGCAGTCGTCGTGGCAGCACGGCCAGTGCCATGAGCAGCGATCCGGCAGCGGAGCTGGCGGCTCCGCCCAAGTTTCCGATCTCCAAGACGGTGTCGGTGCCAAACATGAGTCGTCGCCGTAGCAGCTTAACTACACTTTTTCCGGGACCTTCGCCGTTGGTGGCGCCCGAACCGATGCTGCATACCAATCCTGAGCTATCGCTAGCAACGGATGCACCACGTCCGGGCGGCCAGGAAGATGGCTATCGTGATATACCCAGCGGCAAAATGGTGCATCGCACCAAGACACCACCGCCAGTGGGCGCCAATTTGGGTGTATGCCTCAAGCGGGTGACAGCTCCAAGCGGTTCGATAACCATTAAGCCCAAGGACTCGCCCATGCTGGGCGTGGTGCTGCGCAAAGTGGAAAAGAAGACGGCACCACAAAAGAGCGTGCTGGACGATGACAAGCCTCTCTACCATCTCTCAATTGTGCGCAGCGACAACAAGGAATACAAGCCGGCGGCAAAGCCAAAGCCTAAGCCAGCACCGCCAGCGGTGAAGCCATCGCCGGGCGGTATTCTGACCGGGCCACAGGTGGTGCGCACTGTCAACCGGCCGGCGCTAATGGCCAAGCCGCAACGACCACAGCCCGGGGTGCCTGTGACCATAACGAAAATCGAGGGCGATAAGATTATAATAATCAAAAAGATAATTGTGCCGAAGAACAGTAAGATACCGGAGCAGTATCTGCAGGTTGGTTCTGTCTGTCTGGTGATCTGTTGTCCAGTTCTGCGTCTAGTGTCAGTGGGTGTCTCTTCTTCTCGCTGCCCCCTTCTTTCCCACGTGTCTCTCTGTATCGAAATGTGTTTGAATTTGCCTCGATATTGCTGCTGCTATCGATATGTTTATCGATTACCATGTACACACACGCACACACACACACACACACACACACTGAACTGTATCAATATTAGTGAGCTTTCAATATGAACTGGTGCAAGCCGATAGCTTGGAACTAGTTCACATGAATAAATTCCTTTTAGTAATTCGCGAGCGTTTCTTCAGTTATTTAAATGAGTCAAGATGCAGGCAAAGCCGTCGCCGTTAAATCAACCGAGTTGGAGGCACAGCCTCCGCTTGTCGCCGTTGCATGCCCCAACGTCAACGCATTGAAGCCCAGTGAAGAGGCATTCGTGTCGTCATCGTCGTCGCCGTGCATCATGCAAAAGCCAACACCGCCGCCCGCGAGCGGTCAGCAGTTCTTTCAGGTCGTCTCGCCGCAGTTCGCGTCGGTGCTCTCGTCCAGTTTGCCAGAGACCAAGTGTGCGGTGCGCTCGCCCATCTCATCGCCGCTGGCGCTGCGGAAGAATCGACCGCTTCTGCCGGCCAGTCCGAAATCAACGCCGCCGCTGCCGCGTAAACACCATACCATGGCGTACAATGCGGCCACAGGTGCCATCACAACACCTGCACGTCCCATGGCCACCATAGCCAGTAGTCCAGCGTCAAGCATATCGCTGTCATCCTGCAGCTCGCCCTCATCGTCGCCTCCGCCGCCTCCGGTGCCGTGTCGAGCACCCAAGCAAAAGGCGAGCACAAGTCAAGGCAAGATTCCAGGCGAGATCGACTTGGATAAGCTGCTGCAGCAGCAGCAGCAGCTCGAGGAGAAGTCAGCTGCGGCCACCAGCAGCGCCAAGCTGGATGCCAATTTTTATGATGCTGAGATCGAAATGATGAACAAATATTTGAAGAGTCTGCCCGACTACAGCGAGCTGGATCGGAAGCTGCATAAGGAGTTCCAGGAGTGCGAGGATCTCTATGATCGGCTCAAGCGCCAACAGCAACAGCAGCCGCTCACCAAGTCCAACTCGCATCAATCTGTGGCGGCCAAAACGGCATTACCATGCGCTCCCAGCGGCCTCTCAAAATCCTCGTCGATTAATTTTGCCAACAATCTGACCTCCGGCCGGGCACCTCGCTTAGCCTATCCATCGATTTTCGCCCAGCCCAATGCTAATGAGCAGCCCAAGCTACAGCGCAGCATATCCAGCTCCAACATGCCCTTGGGCGCGCCCAGCTCCGGGCCACTGCGTCCACAGGAAGCGTCCAAGAACGGACCGCAGACCGACTCGAATCTCTCGCTCAACAAGCAGCTGATGAACGATTTCTGGAGCGAGAATCTGTGCAGTTCGCAGAAGCGGCAGACGCCGAAGCGCACGTTTTGGAACTATGAGAAGATTTGCGGTGCACAGCTGGGCGATGCTGGGCAGCCCTTCAAAGTGGATGCCAAGACGGCCAAGAAGCTGGCCATATTTGATCCAACGGTCGCTGAGGCTGCGCAGAAGGAGCTGCAAAAGCAGCAGCCGGCGCAGCAGCAACAGCAGCCACACAGCCATCGCCTACAGAAGAACGCCTCGTTGTCGCACTTGGATCTGAAGGTCAGACAGGCCGTGACCAAAGACGATCTCTACAAGCTCATCGTATGCAATGAGCAGTCGCCCACGTCGACGACGACGACGACTACGACTACGCCTTTCACCACTCGCGTGCCCGTCAAGCAGCAACAGCAGCCGCTGCCAGCTGCTCAGCAGCTTAACAAGAGCGTCTCTATGACGCATGTTTCCGGCATTGCAGCGCCAGCTCCGCTGCTGCGCAGCTCCAGTCGCACGCACATCCCCTGCTACATGAGGCATCTGCCGTCGCTCAGTCGCAGCACATCCAACTCGGCGATATTGGTGAGCACCCCGGCAGCAGCCGCAGCCGCAGCCGCAGCAACAACAGCGACAACGGGGACAACGCAGTCGCGCAAGGAGCCGCCCACAGTGAAGCAACAACAGCAGAAGCCAAATGCTGGCGTGCTCAAAAGCAACAGCAGCTCTTGTGTGCCGTCGCCACGTTGTGCCGCCGCGCTGTTTCGCCGACCCACAGAACCAGGCAAACAAGCTGCGACAGCTGCTGCAGCATCGCTTGCCACGCCGATCGCGGAGGCATCGAATGAGACGAGTGCGTCGCTGGAGCGTAAGTCGGAGAAGAGCAACAGCACCGTCAGCAGCAGCAGCTTCACTGTGACCAACTGCTGCACGACGCATCTGCCGCAGCTCTCAAAGTTCACCTCATCCTTTCACATACCCTCAACAGTTGAGCACAATGCCAACTTAGATCAAGCAGCAACAACAGCAACGGCTACAGCGCCAACAGCAGCATCAGCAGCGACAGCATCGACGGCAACGTCATCAGCGGCGACAAAGCGTCAAAAAGACGTCGACAACAAGCTAGAGAAATGTCTAAATGACATGCTAAAGCTAAAGAGCAATAACAACAATGCAATTATGTCACAATCGCTGACAGCTGAACACAAAGAGGAGAGCGGCAGCAGCAACATCAACAGCAACAGCAACAGCGCCAGCAAAATTGCCAGCGAGTCGCAAATACCCGTGCCAGTGCAGCTGTACGATCCGCAGAAGCCGCTAATGCAGCAGCAGCAGCAGAGGATGGCATATCCCATAGGCAAATCGAACTCCACGTCGCAGCTGCCGATGGGCTATCAGCGTCTACTGCAGCAGCAGCAGCATCAGCAGCAGCAACAACAGCCGCAGCAACAGCAGCAGCAGCAGCAACATTATCCACAACAAAAGCGTCCATTTTTAAACTGGAACTCATTCGCCTGCTCAGTCATGAATGGCAGCAGCGATCCCTTTCAGCAGCAGCAACATCAGCCTCACAAGCTGCAGCAATCTTATTCCTCCTCGCACGTGGCCAAGCAGGCGCCCAAGTCCAGCTCCGGCTTGGCCATGTTCATGCAAAAGAACACCAACAAGGAGAACAAATTCGGGCAGCCGCAAACGCAGCAGCAGCCGCCATTGGGCATGGCCCCGCAGATGTATGGCAGCAGCTATCAGGCGCTGAGCAATAATGCGAAGCCTGCTTATCCACGGACAGGCGCTGCACCGCTGACCCACTCGGCATCGTTCAGTGCTGCACAGCGACCCAGCCTGATGCAGCCTCATAATAATTATGGATACGGCATGATGAGTCGCAACTATTACAATCTGCCCAAGCAGCAGCAGCAACAACAGCAGCAGCAGCAGCAACACGAGCGTAAACCACTGCAGACCTTCGATCCGTATGCGTATCTCAAACCCAGTCAGAGCCAATTGCTGCACCCGGTAAAGTACCAGGTGCAGCCCCAGCCCCAGCCCCAGCCTCAACCACATCCGCATACGCAGTTTCTGAACGCTTCCGTTGGCACGTCTGGCGTCGGTGGTGGCGTTGCTGGCGGTGCTGCGCTTCAATACGATCCAAATACAAATACGCAATTGTTTTATGCACCGCTGCCGGCAGCATCGACGGGCATGCAACCACAGGCAGCGCAGCAACCGCACCATCTACAGCAGCAGCAGCAGCAGCCAATACAACAAAGCAATTCTGTCATATTCAGCCATACAAAACAACAACAACAACAACAACAACAACAACAGCAGCAGCAGCAGCAAAATGAAATGTCCAAGTCCGTTCTGGGCCAGCATTTCATCGAGGTAGATTCGTTGCCCAACTATTTCTTTTGTTATTGTTTTGTGTCTTGTATTTTTTTGTTACTGTTATATGTTGCACATGTGTCCATGCCTCTTGCTACCAAACTAACACAGCATAACAAACAAACGCTCGGCGTGGCAGCGCTCAGCCTCCCAAAATAGAGCACTGACTCATCGTGCTCCAAAGAGGCCAACCGCTTGCTCTTTGCTTACCTCGTTACCTCCTCGCGCTCTCTGCTGGGGCTGTGTGTGGGGATGGCCAAGAACACAAGTTGTCGATTGTGACGCGCACTTCCTGTGCGAAACTTGCCCCCGCTCACTGCACCTTGCCCACTCTTTGGTCGCCTTGTCGCAGATGCGCTTCTGCGGCCTTTCGCATCAGACTCTTGCACTTGCCTCGAACGGGCGACAACGTTGCACAATCAACAAAAAAAATATAGCAAAATAGAACCGAAATTCAATGTCAATTTTGTGGTTCGCTAAAAATAGCAACACACTTAATTTATGTTGTTTATTTAGTGCAATAAAAAAAATATTTAACGGGCAACACTTAAGATTGATTCTCTTTTAATTTTCCAAACGAAAAACAAAACTATAATAATCTAATGTTCGTATTTTGTTTAAATATTGCTAAACTTCTATTTATAATTTAAATATGTGAAACAAAACTCGCACGAGTCGACCAACGAAATGCCTGCCTCTAAAGTATGTAACAGCCACCAACAATGGGGCAGAGGCAGACATAAAACATGCTTGCCGCTGCATGCTCTTCCTCTCTGAACTGTTGTAGCGTCGGGTCATAGAGACGCAACGAAGACTGATTACCCTAATGCTTAGCTGTGACAGGAATTTTCTCTTTTAGTTGGCTTTTTATGCTCGAAATGGGCGAAGAGATATGCGATAGATAGTGGAATAAATCGCAATAGCTTATCAAATATATTAGATAGAAAGTGGGTTTGACAGAGACATGCTCCAGTAATAATATATTACACTAGCCAACAAGATTTAGTAAACAAAAATCAATGCTTAATCCAAACTTGATACAAACTTGACTTTCGAAAGAGTTGCAATCCAAAAGTAATGGAAAGTCTGTTATAGATCATTTTAAAATGTTTTTTTAGAAGAGAGTTTTGAATACCGGAAAATATTATTTGAACCTGAAATCTTTGTTAAAATTTCATTAAGATTTTCACTTAATTAATTCTGAGCAATTCCAAAATTCTTCTCAAAAGTTTGTTCTATAACTTTTAATACTATTAATTATAGAGCTCATTGATTTATAAATTTAATAGTTCATTCAGATATGCTTAGCACAATATTCTAACAATTGTATTGAGAAAATGTTTTTTGTTTGTACTTTTTAGTTGTAGACCTTCGTTCTATATACTATCCCAAGTTTTGGCTAGAGTATTCCCATGCGGTTTTGAGCCAATTGACGTTTGCTTTGGCGTCTGCTTGTGGTTAGTTTTTTTTTTTTTTTTATTTGCTACCTAGCCAAACAATAATAGAAACTGGCGGCTGTGCAGCCACAGCGGCAGAGGAGGTAGCACTGGCAGTAGCAGCATCAGCAGCAGCAGCTCTCCCGCAGTGGCCACAAGCGCGAACGCCCGGTTCAGAGATCGAAACGGAGCGTGTTCTATGTTCCGCCCTGAGCACATACTCGGCAGCTACTTTGGCGCTGTCGTCGTAGCGATATTTTTCAATTTTTATAATTAGTATTTGTGGCGTGCGCTTTCGTAAATGTTGCGCTGATTTCGGATTGTTTTTTGCTATTTCTTCTTGAAAACGCCAAGACGCGCTGCTTGGGAAAATTGAAAAATACAAAATAATAGTCGAGGAAACGCGCAAAAATTCGAATGGCTGAAAGTGCATGTAAATTGTAAAACAGGACAAAAATTTGCAATAAACCAAAATAAATAAATAGATCGAAATTCGAGAGTGGAAATTAAATTTGGAATCGGAATCGCTCTTGAAATTGTCGCTGCTTCTGTTGTGTGTCTATTTCTGTCGAATAGCTGCCAAATATCGTACAATTTCAATTATTCTAACAACACATGAAAATACGCTCTTTATATTGTAAATACGTATATTCTATTATACTATACTTAACTTATATATATGCATACAGTACAATGCAAATGCTCGCCCCGTCGAGTAAATGCCAAAGACAAGTCTAGTCATAGCACGAAAACGGACAACAGAAATCGAAAACTTTTAGTACAATTCATTCAGAGGAAGAGTCTTAACTTGCCAACCCGATTTCCAGTCAGTTCTTTTCCCCCTCACTCACATGTGGATATTCACGCATATTATTAATATTATCGGATTTTCGTCAGAGCGAATAAGAAGAAGAGTAGAAGAAGCCCACGCGCGAAAAGAAAATGGCTACGTTTTTAAGTCGTTTTCATCGGGAAAAAAGCGAAAAGACTTTGCCAAATGCTGTGAATGCCGCAGACAGCAGTAGCAAGAAAACAGCTGATATGGAGGCGGCGACGCCGACTGAGGCAGCGGCAGCGGCAGCGCAGCCGCGTCAACAGCGACGCTACATGCGCAGCGCAACGGCAGCGAGCGTAACGCAACTGCTCTCTGAAAGCTGCAACAGTTTGCTGCAGCGCTTTCGACGCAATCCGAGCGAACGACCTGATAACAAACAGCAGCAGCAGCAACACCAACAACAGCAGCAGCAGCAGCAGCACCGCAATCGGTAATCGATGCAAAAGAAATGAAGCGAAAGAGCTACATACACACACGCACACACACACATACATACGTATAAATTATTTTTAATTTTGCGGTGATTTTTTTTTCGTCAAACAACAAAAACTCGGTCAAAATGTTGCCAGACGCGTCGCAGCTCTCATCATTTATTTTATTTTCATTTGATTTCTTTTTGTTTGTTATTTTTGGTTGATCTTTTTTTTTCAACGTTAATTTAAGTATGCAATTTGCCCCATTGCCGTTAGCTGCAGTTAGTTGCAGCGCAGCAGCGCGCTGCTTCGTTTCTTGACGCGTTCTACTCTTTAGCATTAAGAGGCCAATTATGTAAACATCGTGTCGGGTGCGTTGTAAATCGTCTTGAACTCCCCCTTTATGGGTGTGGGTGTGTGTGTGCTAAAGTGTGAAAATTGATTGTGGAAAATTGTCGAGAATTTGATTCAATTTCAGACTGACAATAGCAAGCAACACAAAGAAAGCGAACGATTGAGAGTTCACTGTAAAGTTTGTGCTGTTAAGACATTCAATTGAACTGCAATCATTTACATAAGAATAATCATACATCTAACAACATGAATTGCGTACAAATGACAGTTTTTAGTGGTTTCTAGGCCGTTTAACTAGCCCAATGACATCTATACTAGAAGTAGTAGACCTCATAAACCTCAAGTATATACGCACAGTATGTACTTAAGTTTACATATTTTTGATTAATAGCTAGCTAATTAAAAGTTTTAATTCAAAAGTTTCAATTTTCAAAATGCAAGGAAATTCGAAAAGCTTTTAGCCTCACAGCTTTCAAGTTCGCTATTGCGGCGAACCCTCTCTCTCTCTCTCTCTTTCTCTCTTTCTGGCTGTTTGTATGATTCTCGCCTGTCTGGCAACTCTTCGCAGTTCTTCCTACTCTTGTTCTTTTCTAGCCTGAGAGATTGACGCCATTGTATTTGTCTTTCGCTCTCTCGCGCTCACGCTCTTATGCGGTCTGTGTGCTTTTAATGCATTTACTCTTCACTAATTTATTTTTATTACGCGCATTTGGAATACACATAAAACGTAATTGTTTTGTCGTCGCAGCTTTAATCTTTTTTTTTCTTTTTGTTGATGCGAGTTCAAGGCTTTTCCTCCGCAAGACTTTCGATCGTTTCCTTGTTTCGCAAAAAGCCGGAAATGTTACAGCTCTGCGATCAGTTCAGCCGTAATTAAATGCATTTTCTTTAGAAGCAGGCAACAGAACAAGTCATCTATCCACCCACTCATGCACACGCTCACTCTCTCACTCTCACCCGTCCTCTCTCGCTCTCTATCTCTCTTGCATTCTCTTTGTTTTTGGCTCGCACAGCTGCTCCGGCTGCTGGGCAATGCGCAATATTTTCACACTTTTTCACAAAAATAAAAACGATTCCTCAATATTTTTTGGTAGACGCGCGGTGTATTTTCCCCATATTTTTCCTATACATCCACGGCGCGTCCGTCGCATGAATTTCGATCGACGAATTTCAGCTTTTCTCAGTTATTATTTGGTCCGTGTCGTGGCAACGCGCGTTCGTCGCGATTCAGGCGCGTGGAAAATACCAAAATACCAAAAATATACAACACAAAATCGACACCAAATTGAAAAAAGGGAAAGCTTTAAGTGCGTCATTAGCAATTCTTGTTTTGTTTTGGGCTTTTATAGTGCAGCGGCCATACCCGAGGATAACACCAACAGCAGCAGCAATAACAACAGCAACAACAGTAAGGAAAGCAACGAAAACAGACGCAGTAGCTCTAAGACCCCAACGAATGAAAGCTTCAATAACAATAACAACAACAGTAATAATAGGAACAACAAAAACAACAACAACAAAGACAAAGACAAAGGCAATCTCACAAAACAGAAACGTCGCCGCAGCTCGGAAAAATCTACGAGCGGTCGTAGACGCCCGGAAGGGGAACGTGAACGCGAACGGGAACGGGAACGGGAACGGGATAAAGAACGAGATAGGGATAGGGAACGGGAACAGAACGCCATGAGCGATCGTCATAGACGTTACTATGCCGGCGGTGGCCTCGGCTATCATCCGATTAGCTCCACCAGCGGCAGCAGCAGCAACGCTCTCATGGGTCGCTATCAGAAGAGCTCAACGACGGCCAATGCGCTCGACCGGCTGCGCACCCATCTGAGTCCCGTGGGCAGTAGCTATAACTATAAGCCCGCTATACGAGGATTGGGCACCGGCTTAAGGCGTGACCTGGACGATGTTAGTATGATAAGAGCGTGCCGCCGTGTGAATGCCAATGGAGAGCGTAGCGCGTGTTATTTGATCAGAACCAAAATCATCCCGTGACTCACGGTCAGAGCATTTGCTTGCTTTCTGTCTAGTTTTTTACGCTTTGGAAAACACTTGGAACTTAGTTGGCCCATTTTCACCTGTCATCGTGAGTCACAGCAAAGTCAAGTCGCTGTCCCAATTCTGTCAGAGCTTGAACAAGGCGGGTTGGAGGTGGAAGGAGATTGCATCCTCAAAGACTGCACTGGCCACCTATTGCCACATAATATTTTAATAGATATTAATACGTATATTATATATATGGCAGGTGTACATAACTAATATGTATCTGCGCTGATTGTGCTCTCAGATAGACACAAATATATATATATATATATATGTAGAGGAATACGTATATTTAGTGTGCCCACACGAACTGTTTTATAGCGCTTCTATATGCTTCTCTATATCTTCCTACTTGCCGTGTGCGTTTATTTTCGATTCCAAGCAAATGTCCATGCCTCTCCGGCTCCTCGCCCCGCTCCTGTGTCTGTCTCCCATGTCTCTTTCGGCTCTCAGCTCTCTGGCTGGCATTAAATGTATAAAAAGCTATTCACAATTTCACGATTCTGGCATTTGGGTATAAATATATATATAAACTCTGAAGGTCGGCGTGCCGTGGATATTTTGTTTAGATTTTCGCTAGGCGTTCTAAATAACATAGACAGCAGCCCCCAACTCCCCGGTCCGCCTTCTCGAAGCGTTAGAGAAAGCTGCTGGATAGACGCTTGAAATGCGAGTGAAATGATGTGAAATTAAGTGGCCCAAACACTGTTATTAGCCATTGCCGAAAAGGCCACTTAGATGGGTCTGCGTATAGCGAGTGCTAGGTCTAGGTCTACCTGCGTTTAGCTCAGACAGAGCGTGAACGTCTGCGTTTACGTCGCGCAGTCGTTTCCATTGGCTTCACACGAGCGCTGCTTGAAAGCACTTTCCTTATACATTATGAACTCCTCCCCAATTTGACTGGTTTCTCTTCTTGGGACGCACAGCGTCGCGATCTGCACTTGGACAAAGACAAGACGCCCACATTGTCGGCCGTTTCGCGGCTGGAGAATAAATATTCGGACATTTTGGAGCGCACTGCGGCTGGGCGACGCCGTCACGAGGAGGATCGCGACAAGACGCTAGAACCGGACGACTATGGTGGCTATTCCAGTGGACTGTTGCGCAGCGCTACCTCGCATCAGCTGGCCAAGGGGAAGCTGTCATCGAGCTCCTTTAATGCCGGCGATCGCAAGGAGCGCACACCCTACAGAACGCGCGCTCAACGACAGCGCTACATGGCCGACTCCAGTGATAGTGGCTACCTGACCAGTGGCAATCGGCTGCTGGACGAGAACTATCCGGTGGACTATGGCCACAGTCGCTACCAGCCGCAGGACTATCATGAAGCGCTACGAGCTGGCGGCGCCACAGGCTACTCAACAGGTCGATATGGGCGGCGAGGTGGAGAGGAGGACGTTGCGCTCACCTCGGGTCGCCTGTCGCGCGCTTATGGACCGAAGACCGAGCTGCCGTCAGCTGATCGGCCTGACAGCAAACATGCAGATGATTACGCTGCGAGCTCTCGCAGCCGGTTTGCCAATCGCCGCAGGGAGCCGGCTGCTCAGCCTGAGCTAACAGCCGAGGATCGTGAGATTCTAGCCGATGATCGATCCTCGGAGGATAATGCGGCCATTCTGATGCTGCTGCGCGAAGACAATCAGTTCCTGGAGACCAAGAAGTTTGAGGAGCGCATGCGCAGGCGACGTGAGCTTAAAGAGCGCGTCAAGCGCATGGAAGAAACAGCCGCAGAGACTAAGAAGACTGAAGCAGCCGCAGCAGCAGCAGCAGCTGTGGCACAAGCCGAGGCAATGGAAAAGCAAGCAGCCAAGGAAGCAGCAGCTGCAGCGGCAACAGCAGCAGCAGCAGCAGCATCATCGTCTGCGGCAACAACAACGGAAGAAGCACCCAAGAAAAAGTCGCGCAGCAAAAAAGTAACTAACGATGATAGTGATTCAAGCAGCTCATGCTCGTCAGAGAGTAGCTCTGATGAGGACGTTACCGAGACAGACTGTTCAACTGGTGTCCAACTAACCAACACAGCTGACACAGCACAGAAAACGAAAAGCACCACAGACAAGGCCAAAACACCCACCAACTCTGTCAATGGTGCCACAGTTCCGTCATCAACAACCACAACAACAACAACAATGACCAATAATAACAAGACCAACAACACGAACTCATCCACAACCACCAACACCATCCCTTCTGCTCTCTCTAACCTCTCTCTGCACGACACGGCAGCGACAGCCAGCGGCAGTGGCAGCAGCAGCAGCAGCGCCAACAACAAAAGTCGTTTTCTGCTTCACTCAGATCGCAACAACAACAACAACGACAACGACCTGTCCAAGTATAAGCCCAGCAATATCCTGCACTCCTCTAGTTCCGGTGCGCTGGCCTTCGGCGGCATTGGGGCTCGCTTCGCAGCAGCGGACACCCGTCGCCAGCAGCAGCAGCGCTATCAAGGCGCCGGCTCCCGCACAGCTGCTGTGCTGAGCGAGTTTGAACGCTACAAGCCCAGCAGCGGCTCGAGCTATCTGCATGAGGGCTACGGCATCAGTGGGCGGCGTTCGAATGCGTTGGGCAGTTCGCTGCACCAGCGGCCGCAACTGGATCCCTACCAGCAGGCGCCGTCGTCGTCCGCGTCGCACTATCAGCATCAGCACGATCAGTATCTGCTGTCAAAGAGCGCCACGTCGTCGGCGCTGTTCCATAGGTCACGCATTCCAAAGACACTCTCGACCTTTGTAAGCCACTCGATGCATTTTTCTATGCAGCTTGAGCTTTCTGCCAAACGCCCACCGCCTACCGCCACCCGCAACTCACTCCACACTTTACAGTACTGCTAACTAACAGCGCGCGCCATGTTAACTAACAGCCGTTTGTTCAGCGTTCTCTCTCTCTCTCTCTCACTGCATGTAAGAAAACTTGATCGAAATCTATTTTTTTCATATATGAAATATTTATTGAAAATGCTTAATTTTTCTTTTACCAAACACAAAAGATTTGAATATATATTTATATCTAAAAGTAATTAAAAAGTAATAGTCAAACGTTTAGCTAAATATTTGAAAAGACAACAATTTATAGCCGTAAGCGAATGCAATTTGTTTTTGCCCATGCGTTTTATGGTTCGTTTTATTTTTGTTCTTAATATTTTTACTGCCCCGTATTTACATATGTGTATACATGCATATCTATGTGTATATATATACAAAAATGTTAAATCATATTTGTTGTATGTTTTATATTTACAAAAAAAAAAAATTTAACCATTTACGTAAAACACAAAATCTCAAAACAAAAAAAAATTTGTCCGAACTAATTTTCTTATCGAACAAACGAAACGTATTTTTCTCGTGTTTTTTCTGAATATGATGATGAAAATCACAATGATGATGATGATGATGGGTTGATGTACAAACAACTTGATGATGATGATGATGAATTGATGTAAATGGTTGGTTTATGGATTGTCTGTACTCTGCGGATTAATTGTGAATTGGTGAAATGATAAAAATTTGGAAAACTGGATTTGTGCTGTGGTGCCAACGTGGGATCGGATCGGGATCATCTGGCTGGATTCGAAATTGATATAATGACCATCATCTGCTGACTGACGGGATATCTGGATGATGCTGGCGGTCCACAAACAAAATGTCTCTTTTTTTTCTTTTTTCTCTTTCTTTTTTTGTTTCTTTTTCTCTCTATTTCAAATTACATACTCTAACCACACACGCACCTTATGTATTCGTCTGTATAACTGCCATCGACTACAACTACAACAACCACGCCCCCTGCTACAACAACGTCTCGCAACCCACTACCAAATGCGCTCAAACATATCTCGCTTAATATTCGCCGTCGTCGTCGTCGTCGTCGTCGTCCTCATCGTCGTCGTTTTGCCCCTTCTGAATCAACGGATCAATGCACCTTGCAATCGCACCATCAACGCGCCATCGCCAACAACAACAACAACAACACCACCACCGACACCACCAACCACTCGTCGAATGCTCGCCCTCTCCAATAACAGACAGCAAAGCCCGTCATTCAAGATGATGCTGATGGTCACTTAATATACCACAACGGAGACATTCTCCATCACAGATGTTCGTGACAATTTTTTCGTTTTTAATTTTTCCATATGTTTATGTTTAGAGTTTACCACAAACTTTCCAATTTTTTGATTTCAAAGACAATGAGCAAAAACTGCCAACTGCCAACTGCGCACAATAATTCTTCTACTCGTAACTCGTACAGTTTTCAACTATCCAAGTTTTCTTTATTATTTCTTAATTATATTTCGACAAAATCGTCTCGTCGCGTCGCATCACATCGCGTGCGCCGCCGCCTCAAAGGCACGTTTAAAAAAGCGCTAAAACACAGAAAGAAACAAATATATAAAACAAAATTAAAAGACAAAATTTTCACACAATTTTCGCCATAATTTTCTGAAAGCAAGAAACAAAGAGAAAAACCCTTAAATTTCAAGTTCAACTGCAATTAAACTATACAAAATTTTTTACTTTTACCGGTCATAATTAAATTGGAGTCTCTCACACTCACACACACACACACACACACACACACACACACGCACACACAGTCACATAGACTTGTAAATTTCCTGAACTTTCAGCGCATAATTAATGAAATAATATTGAAACTGAAAACTTTTCCGTATACAAATTGTTCAAAGCAGCAGCTCGAGCATATTTTGTGGTATTTTTGCTTAAATCCGAAAGATGCCCAGTTACAGGTTTAGATTTTAGCGTAAACAATTAACAATTATAGTCGCTGTTATTGACTTGACAACATTTACTACAATGCGCCTCCTTTTGCCACATTTCAGATAAGATCATGGCCACACTGGGCGAGGGTACTTTCGGACGTGTGGTCAAGGTCAAAGACATGGAACGGTAAGTGCACTGAAATACCAAAAAAATGAATACACAAACACCCACACACACGCACACACATATATATATATTGAAATAATAATATAATTGTACGCAAATTCACATTTGATTCACAGTGATTTTTGCATGGCCTTGAAGATCATCAAGAATGTTGAAAAATATCGCGAGGCAGCCAAACTGGAGATCAATGCCTTGGAGAAGATTGCACAAAAAGATCCGCATGGTGAACAGTAAGTTTTTATATATGTTTATATATGTAAAGAAAATATTGAATAAATATTCGTTAATCCCATTACAGTCTGTGCGTGAAAATGGTTGACTGGTTTGACTATCATGGACACATGTGCATAGTTTTTGAAATGCTGGGACTTAGTGTTTTCGATTTTTTGGTCTGTATTTTGAGAGCCTTCTCGGTTGGTGACCCGTAACTCATTTCCTGTTCTGATTGCAGCGCGAGAACAACTACGAGCCATATTCTCTGGACCAAGTGCGTCACATGGCCTATCAATTATGCTACTCCGTTAAGTTTCTGCACGACAATCGTTTAACGCACACAGATCTCAAGCCGGAGAATATACTGTTTGTCGATTCGGATTACACGTCTCATTATAATCATAAAGCTGTATGTATTAAACTGGCTAAATTATATGTATTTATAGTTGTATTTCACGCCTTACTCTCTTCTCTCCAAAAGAATCGGGAAGTGCGTCGCGTCAAGAACACAGACGTGCGTCTGATTGATTTTGGTTCGGCCACCTTCGATCATGAGCATCATAGCACAATTGTCTCGACGCGCCATTATCGTGCGCCGGAGGTGATATTGGAGCTTGGTTGGTCACAGCCTTGCGATGTTTGGTCTATCGGGTGAGTTAAAAACTTAGCTTTACTATGAAAACATTCGTCTAATTTCTCGAAATTTGCTTTCAGTTGCATTCTGTTTGAGCTATATTTGGGTATTACGCTATTCCAGACGCATGACAACCGCGAGCATCTTGCCATGATGGAGCACATCTTGGGACAAATTCCATATCGCATGGCACGGTAATACAATGCAGCTCATGCTTTTTTCTCCCAAGGCGCAGTACTCTTCATCGAAATCGTTTAACGTTTAGCAATCACACTCTTTACAGCAAAACCAAAACAAAGTACTTCTATCATGGTAAGTTAGATTGGGATGAGAAGTCCAGCGCGGGACGTTATGTGCGCGATCATTGCAAGCCCCTGTGCCTCTGTCAACTGAGCTATACCGAGGACCACTGCGAGCTGTTCAGCTTGATTAAGAGGATGCTGGAATACGAGCCCTCGTCGCGTATCACGTTAGGTAAGTCAATCTACACATATAAATTTGATTACAGATCTAATTCTCAATTTGCGCAGGTGAGGCTTTGCGACATCCGTTCTTTGATAGGTTACCACCGCATCAGCGGGTCGGCGAAGCGGGCGCCAACAAGCAGCCACTCTCGTCCGGCAGTAGCAGCCGCGAGCGCTCTCACAGTCTGTCCAGATGAGAATTACAGCGATTTGGTTATTGTTGACAACAGCGACGACGACATCAACGTTATTCAACATACACAACTACAAACATGCGTACACACACAGTGAGAAGAGTCTTCAATCAACGTAATGCAACACATGATTGAGCAGCAGACAAACAGCAGCAACAATAACAATTACAACTACAATAATATTAATATACTAATGGCGAACCCTAATTTAAGTTCTAAAGTCTTATTTAGAAATTTTGTAACTTGACTTGTATAGAAGGCAATTTCTACACAAAAAAATAACCCAATTGTTAAGTAAATATTGTGTACATGCTGCACGCTCTGCTCGATTTGATCCTGTGCATTGTCTCATCCCAGCCGCCAATCGTGTTTTGTTTTGTAATGATAACCAAATCGTGCATAATATATTGATAGTGCGTCCTCCTAGCCCGATACCGACGCCGCCAAACCCAAATACCTAAATGTAAATGCACACATAAATGTGCACGCTCTTAACTTGAGATAGAAAAAGAGACCTCCCCCAACACGACTGCATTGCTTAAAGAAAATTAAACTACAAATGTAAATGTACTATATAAGAAATCAATCGATAAAGCGCTAGTTGAAATGCAGATCCATGCGCAAGCTGTCAATTGCCATGGACTTGCTTCTAATCTGTAATTAATCTATTATTTTTCGAGTGCGTGAGTTGCAAGCTAATGCAAGCCAATACACACACTTAGGTCCATAGCTAACCCCACATATATATATTTATATGTGTATGCCAATATCATATGTAAAGATCTATTCGTATGACACCTCGCCCCAGAGGGTCCAACAAGCAACAAAAAAGCAAACGCTGCTTAATTCTTTGTATAAATTACTTAGCAGCCAGTCATTTTTTCTTAGGTTATGTTTAATGTGTAGAATCGGCGCTGTTTGTTCAGTTATTTTTCCGTCAAAGTACACCCAAACAATACCAATACACATACACATACACATACACATACACATACACAAACACACACACACACACACATTTATATATATTTATATGAAGAATGAAAAAAAAAAACACTAGAAAGTGGGGGAATGCAAGTATATAGTTACATATACTTAACATACTTAATTCAAATGATTGTGAGTTAGTTTAATATTACATAAATATTAATTTTAAATTACATTATTTGCAATTAATTAACCCGATCAACCAGCATATAAGATCTACAAAAAAAAACACAACTATTATTGTCAAGTTATTTAAAGTGAAATAAATTTTAAAAAATATTTTCTTGGATTTTATTCATTACAAAATTCTCTTATCACGAATACATATTTTCTTGGACTATCGCGAACTGCAAAATATTAGCTGATATGAGTGGCTGATCAGCCTCTATATGTAACTAATATAATCCCCATTCTCTGCGTCATCGAACACGATGTTTGCTCGCAGGGGTCACGAGATTTTTATAAAAACTCATCTGAATTTCCAGGCGCACAGAAACGTAAACGAGCTGATAACGATTTCAGTCACAGAAACTTAAAGCTGACTTCCGCATGCTTAACAGCAACTGTAAATTGAAAATATCTATATATATATATATATATATATATATATTTATATTTATATTTATATATATATATATGGCTTATACCACATTCTTTGGTGCTGTTCAAAGTTGGCTGCAGAACAAAATTATAACTTGGATTACAAATTCTTTTTGCTTCTGCGTTTTCAACCAGCACAAAAATTATGTTTAAACGGGCTCTTGTCGTTAACCAGGCAGAGTATTCTAAGACTTACTTTATCTGGGATTTATCAAGATTCCATTCAACACAAATGTGCCCCAAAAGATCAGTAATTGCAGTGTTTTCAGAATTTTCGGGAATATTTTAGCATTTATTTGTTGTTCATTTTAGTGGATTTTCGCTACGTGTTTAAATGTCAATTTGTTTTTGTTGTGTTTTCTAGAATTTTACAATTAGTTTCAACTAAATAAATAATAACAATTTATAAATATAATTCTCTTCTTTTTTTGTTTTGTTTTTTTTTGTTTGTTTTGTTTTTGTTCTCCAACTCGCTAGTTAAGTGTTTCGAGTGTTTGTTTGCTTTAACGTAAATAATTCGTTTGATATTTCCCATTCAATAAGTATCTCGAAGTTAGAAATAGTCTCAGTTATATGCTTTTGATTACAAAGTTTCTTCTGCAAGAATTTGTTGAATTAGGCAAAGGAAAAGAGAAAACAATAAGCACATCGAGATGTGCATTAATTGGCTGATTTAGAACTTAATGGCTAAAATTCGGCTTATGCTAGCTAAATATATAAAAATAATAGTTAAGTCTAAAGATTGCAACGAAAACAAAAAACCTATGCAAACTATGGTCTATACGCAATAAATAAATATGTACCTAAACATTTACAATCTGTTCAATATATTGACAATAATAGGTATGTTCATCTGATCCATCTATATTAATATATACACATTTAAAAAAAACAACTGAGTTTTGCGTAAGCAACCGAAAACTATTCTTTGCTTATTGCTCAACCATTCTCTCTATCTCTCTCGCTCTCCTTTCTCTAAATTTCCTTCTTCCGCTTTGTAACTTCGTTTCCGTTAACATTTTTATATTGTTTTATTGTCTATTTCAAAGATGTGGCAACGCCGCACAGGCGCAACTAAGCAGAGTCGTAATTCGATAGAAAATTATAGACAGTTTGGGGCTGACATCTAACTACACATATGTATGAATATATATATATATATATATAGCATATATCTCTATCTGTATATATACTGTTTATAGCTGCCTCTACTTGTGGCCAATGACGAGCGTATAGTTTGCTGTGGTTACTGTCGACGGCAACGCCGACAGCGCTGGTCATTTGGCCAGCTTCAAGATCTCGGCTGCTGCCGCTGCCGCCGCCGTCGCAGTTGCTCCAGTTGTTGTTGCTGCCGGCACGCCCGTTGGTGGAGCGGGCGCTATGCGTATGGGCTTGGCACGCTGCTGACTAAAGAGGCCGCTCAGTGTGGCTGCCGTGCTAGCGGTCAACGTCACGCTGGCACCCCCAACGTTCGTCTGTCCACTTGGCATGGCTCCTGCGCGCTTGCCGCGCACCATTCCATTGCTGGCGTTGTTGGTGGATGTGGGATGTTGCTGCTGTGGCTGTTGCAGCTGGTGGCCAATTACTGCGGATGCTGGCGTTGCTGCTGTTGCTGTTGCTGCTGCTGCGGTTGCCGAGGCTGAAATGTTATCCAACTCAGTCATTGCTTCTTGTATTGCCCGCTCGAGTTGCGAGTTCAGTTTGCGGCTCCTTTGTGGGTTGGTTGGTGGGTTGGTACATGGTTTTTGGTTGTGGTGTGTGTGTGTGTGCGTGCGTGTGTGTTGTGGTGTGGTTTTTTTGGAAGGGTTTCAGTTGGGGGTGTTTGAGTTGATTGAGTGTTGTTGATGATGATGATGATGATGTTGCACACATAGGGTTATACACACACATATGCATACGCATACACACACGTTGCGATTTATTGTTTTTTCAGCGCATAATTAAAAAAAAAGAAACAAGAATATTAATTAGCAAAAATAAAATTAAAATATACAAATTAAAATGGAAACTAAGTTCAAATTGCATTCATATGCCAATCAGTGCTACACTGCATAAGAGATACGAGTAACATTCAAATTTCAATACTACGGGAAAAACTATTGCAAAGAAATATCTCAATTCCAAATTCAAGTACTTAATATTATTAACTTATTACGGCGCTGGCTCGAATTTCACTTTAGTTTCTACTCAATCGAGCCAGCACTGCACAAGGAACTTGATCTAAATACTAAATATATTTATATGCAACTTAATAGGATGACAAACGAAACTAATAAAAATTTATATTATACACAAGTTAAATAACTTCTACGTAAGCTTATGACAATTAAAACGAGCTGATCAAGCTTCTCTCTTTCGAGGTGCTGCTGCCTGCTGAAGAGGTCTAAGACAAAAGCGTGAATCAATGTAGCTCTTAGCCGAAATCTGTAATCTACTCGGACAGCGTATCGGGCGCAGTCAAGATCTCTGTCTCTCTCTGTCTCTCAAGTGGCATAAGCATGAGATACCACCCAATTCGCCTAGTGATGCTCACTTTCTGGTGTCCTTTTGCGCCTTGTGGTGCGCGTCCAAGCCCTCGGAAAGGCTCTGCAACAAGTTGACCGGTATTAGCTCGGAGGTGGAACGGCCGCCGCCGCCAAACCACTGCACCCACACGTGATCGAACTGCTGCGATGGTGTGCAGACACCGTCGGGCATCTTGACTATCTTGCCGGGCCAGGCGGGATGTCCTCGCGCCGGCCCCCAAATCAGCTCGCCAATGGCAAATGTGCGCGGTGGCAACAGAGCCACGCCATTTGGCGAATTTCTGGCCAACGTGCGATGGAGTCGACGTGCCCGTTTCGTGGGCGTGCGGCAGCTGGCTTTGAGTGGTGCAGCTTCACTGAGCGCCGGTGCATCCGAAATGGGCGGCAGCTGTGTGGTGGTCGGCGACTCTACATATAGAGATTTGGAGCAAGCAGCGGCTTGGTTAATGTGGCCGAGACTCGATACCCGACACCAAATACCCGACAAAGCAGAAAGAACACAAAACAAAGCGGAGTGCAGAGGGATGCGAGAGGTGCGACAAGTGCTTGGCATGCAACAGGTGTGTGAGTGAGCAGGTTGATTGATTGATTGATTGATTGATTGATTGGTGGGTCAGTTAGTGAATGGATGCAGTTAGTGGTGGCTGTGGTGCATTAGGACACTGGCAAAGCCTTACCCTGGTAGTCAACGCTAACTACTTTGTGATTATGGACATAGACGTTTTGATGACTATTCGAGGTTGGGGGCTGCTGGTGATGGTGGTGCTGGTGGTGTTGGTGGTGCATGACTTGGCGACCCGTCGCCGCGGTTGTTATTGATGGTGTTGACAATGTAGCCGACGATGACGATGAGATGGACAGGGATGTGGTGCTAGTCAATCGCATACCTTGACCCATAAGTCCCACTGCGTGATTGCTCTCCGTCGACGCCTGCTGCGCTGTGATGTGAATGCGTCGAATCTTCGGCTCCGTTGGCTTATAGATGCTGCTGGGCTGGCTAAACAAGTTGCTGCTGCAGATGGCTGTGAAGATGGCAAGGAATTAGATCAGGTAGCCAGCAGGTAAGGCTATATCAAATCTACTCACTGCGCTCGCAGTCCGTGGACGAGGGTGACTGGCGACTCTCGACGCTTTGTGGCGAAATAGCCGCATCCGGCTCTGAGCTAGAGACGCACTGCACCTGCAAAACAGAGTTGATTAATATAAATGAAGGCGTTGTAATCTAGGTTAACAGACAAAGATTACTGACCATATCACCGCTGCCGCTGCTGCGATGACTGGGCGGTCGCTCGGGGCTGCGCGGGCTGCACGTTGTGGTATCCGGTGGACTGGCTGCAGTCACTTGGCGATTGGTGTGCGACTCGGAGACATAGCTGGTCGTCTGTGGTGGCTGCAGGCTGATCTGCTGCGGCTGCTGCTGCTGTGGCTGTGGCTGCTGCTGTGGCTGTTGCTGCTGCTGCTGAATCTGTATGGTGGCAGTGGGACTGGCCTGTACGAAGGATGCGCCGTTTTGCTGAGCTGCGGGCATCACCAAGCCCATGGGCGTCGAGTAGATCTGGCCAATGGGACTGAGCTGTCCGTTGGCGCCCACAATATACTGCTGGCCACCGGCGCTGGGCGATATGAAGGAGGGCTTGTTTTGTGGCGAGGGCGTGCGCAGCATCACCTGCCCCTGATGCGTGAGCAGACTCGTCGTGGGCATATTTTGTATCTGCAGCAGCGTTGCGTCTGGGCCCATGACCAGGCCGGCTGGCATAAGCAGCTGCTGCCCAATGAGATTCACGTGCTGCAGTATCTGGCCATTCTGGAGCAGCAGCTGCTGCGGCTGGGGTGCAGCCGTCGCTGGCTTGTTGACCACAATGCCCTGAATGCCCGGGCTCAGCTGGAATTGCTGCGAGAATTGTGGCGGAGGTGCGGGCGCTGCAACGGCAGCGGCATTGGCCGCTTGCTGCAGCAGGGCTGGCGCCTGGCTGGGTATGCTGGGCGAGATCTGGGGCGAATGCGTCTTCGCCGGCGAGCCGCCTACGCCACAGACCAACGGCGGCGGCGGAGTGCTGCACACGGAGGTCTTGCGCTTTCGTGGCCGTCGCTTGGCCTCGGGCGACGTTATAATGGGTGCAACTGGCTGTGGCATGCCCAGCAGCTGCTGATGCTGCTCCTGATGCTGATGCTGCTGCTGCTGCTGCTGCTGCTGGTGATGGACGATGTAGCCGCCATTGGCCAATGTGTTGAGCAGCACCGTCTGCGACGCCGCCGCCGAGCCCGCCGGACTGATCTGACTGATTTGGCTGGCCTGCGAGCTAATAATCTGATGGTGCAGCAGCTTAGCCCCGCCAGCATTAAGTATCGGAGAAGGTTGGCTAACAATGTAGCCGCCGCCCGGCTGGGCATGCAGCTGGGCTGCCTGCGGCGGCCGCTGAGCCTGCGCAGCATTTGGCTGCTGTTTGCCAGCGTTGGGTATGACCAGCAGTTGGCCAGAGGAGGTCATGATCAGCTGGTTGCCGCCACTGTTGTTCGCCATCGACTGCAGCTGCGCCACAGCGGAGTTGGCGCTGCTCAGCGTGGTGCCTGGACGACTCATGCCCGCCGTGGTCGTCACGATGCTGCGCGTGAGCGTCGCTGCTCCATTGTTGGCCATTGCCTGCCTCTGAGCCGGGCCCACTATGGGCTGGCACTGCTGGCGCAGCAGACGCAGCTGCGCCGTGGGCTGGGCCTGGCCTTGCACCTGGGGCTGACGCATCTGCAGTTGAATTTGCGCCTGTTGCGGCTTGGGCGAGGCGCTGGGCGTGCTCTTGGCCGAGTCTAGTGAGTCTGTGGGCGGGGAGAGGCTGTGTCGCGGGCTCTCGTGGCTGGTTGAGATGGCGCCCACTTGCTCCGGGCGCTTTTCTGCCTCGGGCCCGCTGCTGGATACTGGCGACTCCTGAGGCGCCGGCACCACCGTAATGCTGGTAATTTGTGGTTTCTGTGGGCGCGCAAAGGCAGCGGCCGTGTCCACATGCAGCGAGCGAGGCGCAACACCAGACGCTGCACTTGGCTCCAGCTCCCACTTGCCGGCGGTGAGCAAAGAGAGGCGTCGAATGCCTCGACGCTGCTGCTGCTGCTGGGAGCTGTGCACAATGGGCTCCTGGGGCAGTGCACGGGCCGTGGCCGTGCCCGTGGCGTTTGCCGTGACTGGCTTAGCATCCAGGCCCACGCTCAGCGTATTGTGCAGCAGCGCCGTTTGCTGCTGCAAGTAGCCTGCGGGATCATCCTTGAAGTTCGGCTGCTGCTGAGCTGCGGGAAGGGCAGCAGGCGTAGCAAGCGTTGTCACGGGTTTTATCACATGCGCTGGGACTGCAGCTGGCTCTGCAAGTGGCAGTGCACCAGGAGCAGGAGCAGGAGCAGCAGCAGCAGCTGGAGCAGGAGCAGGAGCAGAAGCTGTTCGCTTTGGCGCGCTGTCCATGCCCATTGCTTGACTAGTTTGCATGACGGCCGCGTTTGTGGATATGGGCGTGGCTGTGGCTGGAACTGTTGCGGCATACGAAGTCCTGCTCGCCAGCTTATAGTTGTTGTTGTTGTTGCTGTTGTTATTGTTGCCATATTTGTGGCAATCAGCGTCTGAAATGTGGCAAAAAGAAATTCAAAGCAAAACTCAGTACATTTTTCGCGCAAGTCTCTCTCGTTGGTTATGCAAAGTGCGTCGTCCTTAAAGTGCCCGCAACGTGCCCTGGCCAGCAGCACAGCACAGCAAAGGGCGTTCCGCAAAGGTCGTCACTTGCCACTTGCCATTTGCCACTTGCTGCTTGCCGCTTGACAAAAGCAGACAACAAAAAAGGCACCAAATGCCAAATTGCTGCCAAAGCGAAGCACAATAAAATCAAAGCACAGGAACGTGCACAGCAAACCCAAAAGCGAGGGCAAGTGAAAAGGATCTGGAGAGTGGAGCAAAGCTTGGAGCTTAAATTCAGCGCTCAGATAATGTTAAGCTTAATTAAAATGCAATATAAAGCGAACTAGTGCTGCCTTACAGCTTAAAGCGAACAGAAACTTCAAGTGTTTTGAGCTATGAAATGGAACGCGCTGAACAAATCCATAAAAGGTAACTCTTAAATAAGTTTACCTGTGTTTCAAAGTAAGCATTGTCATAATTAAAATTTCATTTAAATAAGCTAAGCAGTAGTTAGAGTGAGACTTGAGTTTACAACTGAGATTCAGTCCAAGTTAATATTAGGAACGCACTAAAGTTGCATCAGACAAACTCGACGATGTTTTTTGATGAACATTTCGAATTTAACAAATATAATAATTGTTAAACAAAGTTAGATTCAAAAAGTTTTCACAACAAAAAACGAAAATAAAATTCGTTTTACTTGACTTTTTAATGGCTATACTGAACAGACCACACATAGAATGCATAGCTGCAAATCCACTCAGTGTACAAACACACACACCCACACACCCACCCACACACACACCCACTCACACTCACATGCAAACACTTATTATTTAAGCCGCAATCGCGAACATTTCTAAAACGCAACAAACTTTTGCTTGGCGCAGCATTTTTAATGCTGCTGCCCCGCTGATTGGGGCAACAACTGCCCCAACGACAGACTAACTGTGGCAGCACCGCCTGCCGCTACAACCCAACAGTTGGTGCGAGTGGGCGCGGCTGATAGGCGGATCGCAATGGACGCGCATGGCTAAACTTCGCCGTCAAGTCCCTTTGTTTCAATTAACCTTTTCATTTGAAAGTTTTAACAATGTTTGCTAACTGTTTTGCCCAGCTGGCGCGCAGCGTCACGCCCACAAGGAGCCAGCTCCTTTGCATGGTCAGCCAACACAACAGCAAGTGTCAGAGTCAGAGGTAAAGGGCTCACGCTTAAAGGTGACCCCAAACGCGCTCGAAACCCTTTTATTGTGTGTGGCTCGCTCGCTCCCTCTCCCTCTAGCACTCCCTCTCCCTCTCTGGTCTCTGGGAAATCAACAAATACTTTTCGTATCTCAAATTGAAATCCAAATGCCACAAAAGACCTGAATTGAAAGCCAGACACCCAAAAAGCTATGCAAAATGTCAAGCTGAGATCGTTGAACAAACCGAATTTAGCATACACTGCAAACAATTTCAGGCAATCAAATTGCAAATTTAATTCAATTGTCTTCGTTTTAGTCTCCGCTGAGCAAAGTCAAAGTAATTCGAAACGTGTTTGCAGTTATTTAATTAGCTAATGAAATTTTCGTAAATGTCTAAAACTCTTTTAGCTGAGTTGTTCAACACTAGCACGTTGAATAGAGCTGCTACACAACACTATAAACTTTGAACACACATTTCAACAATAAAATGCTGTTGGATAAAGTTTGAAAGGCACTTTGTGGCCCAAAGCTCATGTTAGCTCAGTTAGCATTGGCTGGCAGAAAAGTTTGGGCTTGGCAAGGACTCGTCGCTGGGAGCGCTCTGAAGTGGAAATGTTAAACAGTTGGGGCTATTTAATAAACATAATATTTGTTTATGTGAGCGCTCGGATCCATGGAGCTGCCCCCAGAGGCATTCAGCAGATGAGGCGACATTCCTGAACGGCTTTTGACAGCACAAACATGTTCAGGTCCTTTGACTGACCCATACAAAGGACGAAATCAAAACACTCTCGCACACACACACACACACAGAGATGGGGCAGAGAGACAAGCAAACAAACAACAGGCGGAACAACATGACGCAAGCGTATGGAGGCAGCTGCAAATGCACTTCCTGCTGCCACGCCCACGACCTCAAAGCGTTTGGGCTTAAAGCTTGTTGAACCCATTTTTCTGTTTTTTTTTCTGTTTTTTTTTTGTATTCTAGCTTTCAGCATGTGTGCGTAGCACCCTTCTTTTTGCCATATTCTTTTCTCTCACTCTCACTGTCTCTCTCTACCTCGCTCTTCCTCTGTCTATCTCTTTCCCTTTCTCTCTGTGTGTGCATTTTCACTTTATCATTGTCTAGGCAGCATTTCCCACTTGCCAGCAGCCCAAGTCCACTGCAATTGCATCCGCGTGTGTGTGCGTGTGTGTGTGTGCCTGTGTGCGTGTGTGTGTGTGCCTGTGTGCGTGTGTGTGTGTGCCTGTGTGTGTGTGTGTGCATTGTTTGTTTGCACCGTGTGCTTTTGGCTCCCATTGGGCTGCCTTGCGCGATGTTTTGCTTTACTTTTCTAGTGCTCGCACGTATCTACACTATTTTCAACTGCTTTTCCTCATACCCTTCCGCTGCACAAGCTGTTTTTCCTTGAGTTTGTCGTTCTGTTTGCCAAAAAAGAAAAAGGAAACAAATGCAGCCTGCACAATTCTGTTCCTTTAGCATACTTTAGTGCGCAGCAAAGTTGCCATGGCGCGCGAGCTACGAAGTTGGGCAGCTGCGGCACATAAGATACTTATGATTGCTTGAGATATCTCCAAATGAATTGTGCATGAAGTAATCAGTCGAACACAGCAAAACAATGTGAGTTACAATTTTAAGAACATTTCAAAGTGGTCAAAAAGCTGTGAGCAGATTTGCTCTCAACTATTGTGAGTGATACCAAATTCATTGTGAATATAACATTCATAAGCTGCTTCATAAGAGCTCTTCAAGTGCACTTGGAAAACGTTGAAAAACAACTCGAATGTGCAGTCAAGCATTTAGCTTGAATATTGTCTTTGCTTATCTTTAAGCAAAGTTTGTCCACAAATTAGTTTGGCTATCAGCTGTCACTCACCTTTGTTGGCCAATTCTAATGTTGCTGCTGCTGTTGCTGTGGCTGCGGCTGTGGCTGTGGCTGATGCTGTCGCCGTTGCTGTTGTCGTCGTTGCCGTTGCCGTTGCCGTTGCTGCCGTTGTTGTTGTTGTCGCTGCCATCAACGCAGTAAACGCATCACTGACCGTGGCGACAGCAGCTGCTGTCGCTTTCGCCATCGACATTGTTGCCGCCATCATTAAATCCTTGGCCGGCTGGGAATTGTGCAACTGCTCTGAGTCGAGCAAGTGCCGTTGGTGTGAGCAGAGCGGCATAATCGTCGTCTCTTGGCTGCTACCTGGCGACACCTTTAATGGCATGTTGGGCACCTGCAATTAACATAATGCAACAAATTGTCACATTAGCAATTAGAATTCAAACAGCTCGACGATAATGAATTGCGGCGCCGTCAACGACGCATTTGCGATTGTTTCTGTCAATTTGAAATCGATATTTTAATCACACACACACACGCACACACACACACAGTTACTGTGATAGGCACATGCTTGCTGCTGCTTATTTACATACAAAACGTGAGTCGCATAGACAAAAAAAAAGCTCCACAAACGCCTTAACGCAGTTCTAGGCGGCGCCTTTTATACCCTGGCTTTAAATGCGATGAGGTCGTCTGTGCTATATATGCTACATATAATTAGAGTTCAGGCATGGCTGGGAAATTTCTTAATTTTTAACCTGCCTAAGCTCAAGCTTAACTCAGTATTTCAATCTTATTTAAAATGGATTTAAAGTTCTATGTTTTCATTAAGAAATCTATACAAAGCAGCCAGCAGCAGAGTATGACAAAGCTAGGCAGCTTAACACGCCGTTGTTTACTTGGCTGTTTGTTTTGCTTTGTTAACCTTCAGCGGAGCAGGCGAGCCGAACACACGCATCGCATTCAATTAGCATTTTTGTATATAGATAGACGATACAAGTCGAATCGAGCACATGTAATCCAATCAGAGGCTGCAAATTGCGCTTAAAAAGTAGATCAAAAGATTCGCTGGCGCTGCCATAGGCACGCCTCCAGCCTGGCGGCGACAGGTGCTAGGAGGAGGCTAGGAATTTATGCAAATTAGTCATTTGGGGGCATCGATTTGCACGCCTCGAAGCATGACGACGACCCTTTTTTGGGGCTGTGTGGCGCGCCTTTTGTGCCACTTCAATCAGTGGACGGCAATTGCTTCATTGGCCGCTTAAGCGCTGCAAACGAGTCGCTCGACCAATTTGGTCAACAATTTGCGCAAACCAATCCAAGTGAAAATTCCACAGACCAAACTTGGCTGAGCAAAAAACAGCAAACAAACTAAGCAAAAGCAACAACAAACAAAGCGTTGCAGTGCTCAAAAAGCAATGAGCTCCTCGCCTTAAAAGTCGATTGTGACTGCATAACAACTGCATCACTCACAAATGTTGCTAACAGCGACTGCTCCAGACCTTTGCAACGAACAACGACAAAAACAGTCGAGTTGTTGGGCAATGACTCAACTGTTTTTCTCACAGCAAACGCATTTTCCATATTCAGAGCGAGAGAAACAGATTTGTTCATTTGCCACGCCCAAAGACGTGATGAGCATCTATATAGCATTTCGTATGCCTCTTTAATCCCCTGCCCCAAGCAATCGATTTCCAAATGATGAATCTCTGCGATTGTCATTGACTTTGCTCTCAATTTTCATACTCCAATTGCTGTTTGCGGTTGCTCCCAGTTGCAGCTGCAGCTGCCACTTGCCACTTGGTCAAAAGGCTGTTGGCATCTTTAAGCAACAATATCTATCTGCCCCTACCTCTCTCTCTCTCTCTCTCGCTCTGTGCTTGCTCCCTCTTGCTAGCTGAATGGAAACCACAGCAACGACTTCTGGACCCACCACCCACACCTTACCTTTCCGCCTGCTGTATATGCATATGTATATTGTGCATATTGTGCAGCTGGCTCTTCATATTTTGCCTGTTGGTAATACGATAAACGAAGTGCAACCCATACAGAATACACGTTGGCATAACAACCCAACGTATTCCAGCCATATACACGAAAATTTAATTGGCATTTAATGGAAAAATAATTAGTTAGCAACAGACAACATGCAGCATCAACAGCAACAATTGTAATTGCTGAGAGCTGAAAAAACAGCGAAACGTGTTGCTAGCAAACAATTTTAACTCATATTATAGTGAGTGAAAAAGGAATGTTAAAATTGTGAATGCATCAAGCCATATATAACCATAAATCTATTTATCTTTAATTCATTTTGGCTACAAATTCACATATAAAATAAACACAATAAAGTTTGCAATATAAAGCGAATATAAACTTTGATGCGTTTTACATATTGAACGTCAGCTTTGTTCTGGCTCAGTCAACACAGTCAACCAGTTAGTTTAGTCTGTGCAATACATCCTTTTGGGCATGTCCTGTACAGGGTATAGATACATGCATTTCTCATTATCCTTATGTAAAGTCTTGTTAGCGTTTCAAATACATAAAACGTTATGTGCATTTACAGATGGCATGTTCAGAATACATTTTTGCATATTTGACATATTAACCAGCGTTGTTTTTGACAGAAATTAGGTGGGGCGAGGGACGGAGTGCAGACATGGGACACGCCTATGTAAAGCACGCAATAAAATGCCAAGCGACAGAGGCAAAAAAAGGCAACAACAACGAGTGAAAATACCAACAAAACATTGCACTTTTGCATGCATAATTGCGACGAAATTAAAGCAAAATGCGCAGACAGCAGGCAGTGGGGCGCGGGGAGCGATGAGGCGGCCGACAGCCACATGAGTGCCACATGAGTGGTGGCAGCAACACCAGCAGCGGCAGCAGTTGGGCAGGTGTGAAGCTTGTGCACAGGTGCATGGCCGGTGTTGGATTTCATTAACATCATAATGACCGGCGAGCGAGCGACGCCAGACGGCCGACAGCTTTAATCCTGGCCGGCTGGCCTGCCACAACAACGAGGTTGGACGCATGCAGACCAACACCTCAGTCAGACCAGCACCACCCTCTAGAATGCGGCTCATGCTTTCGAGTTTTCTTGAACTGCAGCTGACGCTTCAACTCTAACCCTCGCTGGCTATCGGGGCGCACTCGCGACAGGAACCAGCGCCACTGCCGGATGTGAGTAATCGCTCAGTCACGTCGTTGCGTTGCGTTGCGTTGCATTGTCCTGCAGGACAAGATTCCTGTGCCCCACTGGACACCAGCAAGCCAGGTCAGGCCATGCATGACGCAACCCGCAACGGAAGTAGCTCTGCTCACATGCAATGGCCCGCCTAATGGATACCAAGCAACAGCAGCAGGAGAGTAGAACCACTCGGATGTGGCCAGATACAGCACGTTGTAAGCACGCAGCATTTTTGTGTGCAGTTAGCTGGTAAATTCTTGACATTTTCCAATCAGAGCAGCAACCTTTTGCATTCGCCGGAAAATGCAAAACGCCTTCCAGCGGAGCTGCCTTTGTCTGCTCTCTAAGAACTCAAATACTGTTTAAATTTAACAGCAGCTAGTCGGAGTTGAACGTTGTGAGGAGGTTGCAACTTCTTTTGTTCATCGTTCAACCACACTGCCGTCTTAATGCCACGCTGTCTGCTCTTGGCGCGTACAACATTTAATTTGGACTAATGAAGTTTCTATAAGAACCCGCCTAAATGACTGGCAAGAGAGCGATGCGCCAACCGTGGCAAACGACCCAAAGCAGACCAAGCTGAACCGCAAAAAAAGTCAGCAGAGAAAAGGATCCCAAACTCGAAACTCAGCCAAAAATTCAATTTGGCCCAAAAGTGAAGTGGAAATTTGCGCGGCAATTGCTCTTCCTGCTTGCAGCTCGAGTGACGTGCAAATTGCACCAAAGAAGTGGAAACATGAAAAAAAGAAGACCATTTACTAAAGTGACACGAGCGCAGATACCCTGTAAAGCAGTGACGTAGATGTTGAATTGCTTTTTCTTTTTTATGTATTCATATTATTTTGCCATATCATATATCATGTGGAAGTCTAAAACTGAATTGTTTATCCATGGAATTTAAGCAAACGTTTCAAACAACTTTATCACAGGCAACTTCAGGGCCTGACACTTAAGAAGCAACTCTGTTGTGTACTTAGTGCTGGGTATAGATAGCGAACTGACACATCCATCGCCGCGGCCCACCTGCCGTCGCTGGCCCAGCGCTAATTGTTTTAGTTGTTGTTCCATGAATATGCTAAATTGTCTGCTGCGTTTTGCGTCAACCCGTTGTTGCACGCCTCGCCTGCTCCTCTCGTGCTGCTCACTCAGCAAATGTTTATAAATGCAAATTGGCCGAAAAGTGCAGCAGCAGCAACAGCAGCAGCAGCAGGGACACCGACAGCGTCACTTTCTGGACGTGCTCGGTTAAATATTGTGTAGTGTGTGCCCTGAAAGAGTCGGAGACAGAGGCGAGCGGGCGTTGCGGCCGGTTTAAATGACTGAAACGATTCACTGGGATTGACTGGGGTTCACTTTCGGTTTCGGGTCGGCCCTGGCCCGGACAAGTGCTGCCAGCTTGGCCCTGACATCGCAGGCCCTGCGCTGCTCCCACCGCTGATCATGATGTGGGGCAGATAGCCTTCACACACACGCACACTAGACGCAACCAGTTGAGCAGATGGAAAACAAACTTGGGCGCTGGCCCATACAAATAACAGCATTTTGTCTTCAGTAGCTTGTGCGTGTGCGTGTGCGTGTGAGTGTCGTAAGCAGCAACAACAACAACAACAAACAGTTCCAATTGCGTTTTAATTTTTGGGTTTCATTTTTATTTTTATTGAGAGTTGTAAATTTTGAGCTGCCGTCGACGGTCGGCGCTGACCTTCTCAAGTTTGTTCGTTGCTCCAACTGCTGTTGTTGTTGTTTGTTTGCATTGAGCTTGCGAGCAACAGACACGCCGTATGACAGACTTACACAAAGCCATAACAATCTGAGCCCGGGGCCAAAGTTTTATTTGTTTGCTCAACTTGCGTTACACAAATTGCGTTCAATGTGCTCAAAATAGAACCCAGTGAAATACTTCAAGTATGCATATATATACCATATATATATATATATATATATGTATAGCTGCATGCTTATATACCTCAACATATGTACGCTCAAAGTCAGCTGGGAAGAAAATCAATTTCAATTGTTTCGCACTTATCGCAACGGCGCTGCGTTTCGCGTTTTTCGTGTGCATTTTGCGATTCGATTGGAAATTTCAATTGCAAATAATTGTTTAATTAGCGTCAATTGCAGTTCATCTATATCCATGTGTGTGTGTGTGTGTGGAGTATATAGAGATATAGCACTTATATCAGCAAAGCGCCTTTGAGAGGCAATAAAGTTAATGCGCCTGTTTCATTTACCAACTAACGATAAAATGTGCCACGATTAAGTATACGCCACAAATATTACGCATACGTTATGTTGAACGGCAATCATTTCTACACAAAACCGAAATCAATATACACACACTGTGTGTGTGTGTGTGTGTACCCTGTTTTATACAGCTATGTATAAGGTCATAGATATTTGTATAAAGATATACACAAACAATAGCCAATACATAATGAGCACAGGGTCATTGTTATATGTATATAAATGTATATAAATATATATATATATATACATATATATAGTATATAGGATAAGGTCATGCATACTACTCGAGGTGCACGATTTACTGTTTATTTTTAGGACTCTGGCAATTGTGAGTGTAGAAAAAAAAAGGAATTTAATTTTAGTTTTATATTTTTATACAATTAATGCGATGTTACTCAGACATGACCAGGTTTTTGGGCTCTTGGTTTACATGAATTGATTTGTTTACCATTTTTGATATACACATATATACTATATCAACAATATAGCTACATTTGTTCGGGCTCAACTTTAAGTCATGACTTCGCTTCGCAATTGGCAGCCAGAGCTAAATAAATATTTGTTTAAGCACTTTCCAATTGCCAGTTCGGGCGAGCTACGGCTCGATTGCAAGCGCACATGCATGCACGCAAATCTATGAACACTTGGACAACTACACACATCATAATTTGCAGCACAAACTGTGCAACATGACAGGCAAGATAGCGCTATGCGATATGGGCTGTTATGGGGCATGCCTAATGCACCGCTTCGCTCGTGGACGCAGTGTGACACTTGAGTGGCGACTTTCACCCAACCAGCAAGCAACAAAAAAGGCAATCCCTAACCTACCACACCTCGTTGCAAGAGACACAAAGGCAACTTAAGCGACAGCAAAATGGCAATAATCAAAACAAAAAAGCAAACAAACCAATAAACGAACGTAGACTTCATTACGGAGGCACATCAATCATTGCCAAAACACGAAACCCCAGCGCCAACAGGGATAGGCTGGCAGAAGGGAGCCAGCGGGGCGACATTCGAGTTGAATGTGCCAAGAGACGTCGACGAGAGTAGACAAAACACAAAAAACCCAAAAAATAAAAGCACAGTTGCCATTTTGCCACAACGACGTGCAGATAGACAGAACGAGAGAGAGGGGTAAGGAGAGGCGGCGGGTGAAACACAAAGGGAATTGGGAAAAAGAGAGTGTGAGAGAGATCTGCAGCTGGAGCCAAGACAGTCAACGACTTGTGGTCAGCTTGTTGATGGGCAGGGCAGAGAGCTCGCAAGAGGGCTTATACGGTGGCACAATAAAGTGTTTAGTAAACAAATTGCGGCTGCCTTTTGATAATATGCACGCAGTCAGCTGAGCAGCTGAGCAGCTGCAGCGCAGCCTGCAACGCACACACGAGGGGCAGAAAGTTAGTCCAGGGGGCGGCAATAGGGATAAGTTATAAGTACATTGCACCGAAATATCGATTGACGAAAGCCACAAAGAAGCCAAAAGCAAGAAGAAGAGAAGGAGCTGGAGAGCGGTTGAGGTAGTATATATTTATGTGTGTGTGTGTGTGTGTGTGTGTGTGTGCGGGCGATGAAAAGGACATTGATTGTGTGCGGGCGGTTGGACAGACGGGCGTTGGCGCCGACTTCACGCAAAAACCAAAGAGAAAACCATAAACTTAAATTAATGACCTCAGCCGAGGCGTAGCGCTCAAAAGGCGAAGAACGGGACCGAGTGCAAGCGAAGCGAAAAGTCAATAAGAGCAAGAGCAAGAGCAAGAGCAAGAGCAAGAGCCAGAGCCAGAGCCAGCAGAAGATGAAGACAAAGAAATTGAGCAAGCAGCGGCAGAGCGCTGGCAAGCACAGTGATTTACCGTTGCAGTTGCGCTGCTCCAATTGGAAATGAATCTTATTGCTGGCGATTTCACTGCGATTCTCAATATGAAAACACATAAAGATGAAAATGCTTGTCAATTTGGAGCAACGTCTACTTCTGCTGCTGCTGCTGCGAGTACGGCAGATGGTCGGCCGTTTGAAGCAGTCAACATTGGCTAAGTGATTATGCAGTTGCCGTCGAGTCGACGCCGGCGTTGACGTTGACGTTGACGTTGAAGTCGACATAGCCGATTTGTTGTCAAACTGGTTTTACAAATATTTTGTGTTCATCTGTTGCCCAGGCGGTGGGGTATGGGTGTGTGAGTGTGTGCGTGTGTGTGTGTTGCCAGGCGGCAGTTACATGGCTGCAACGCTTAGTGAAAGTCGCTTGAATGCCGTTTTCTTCCTGCCCCCGCCACACCCCGCTTTGTCCAGACGCTTGTCAGCCCCCATTGCTAGTTAGCTCAATGCGCATTCAATTAGGTTTAGCTCAAGCTTTTGGCTTTGACTGCCAGCTAACCCAGGCTGGTATTTACAGACAATTATGAGACAAACTAGTTGGATTTGCTGCTAACTTACCTGAGCATTAAAATCGAAAAAGTATTCCGGCCGCAGCGGACACGGCAGGCCGCACTTGCAGGTACCCTGTGTTAGCAAATAGTCCTTGATTTGGAATTGTGTGCGCAGCGTTTTGCCCGTTGGACTGTAATAAGCAAATAGAGTCAAGAGATAAATGGTAATGTACATGTAATGAAGCCGATGTCGTCGTAATTAATGCTATAAATTATTTATTAGTTAATAGAACAATTTGTTGTATGCAAATGTCAATTAAAAACTCGTCAACCATAGCTAAAGTGTGCCCTCAACTGGCCCAAGCCAGCAGACCAATTAACCCCAACTAAGTTAGCAGCCTAACAGCTAACAGAGTGCAAAGGCTGCACGAGCAACACGCGGCTGTTTAACTAACAGCTCATTAACATAATGGGCAAGTGATGCGCCGCTTCGCATTAACATGACAATGTTAAACGACAGTTGGCAACGCTCGCACACACATGCATACAGCAGTCTATACATATGCAATATGTGTGTATGTGTGTATGTGTGCACATACATAAATTAATACCAATCAGAATTGCTCTCGCTGCTCGTTTTGATCGCATGTCAAATAAGTGCGCGCCACTCAGCGCATAATTCAAACTGGTTTTTACGTATTTACACGCAGCTCTCGCTCTCCACGTGAGCTTATCGTTGAGCTCTTAGCTCTGTGCGGCTTAGCCGGGGCCCTCGTGGAGTTGAGTCGCGTGATTTGATGATCCGGCTTCACTGCAGAAGTGGGCATACAAATCAATTCAATGTTAACCTAGGGCTGGACTCTTACAATGGATTACTGCAAAGGCAATATCATAACTAATTTTCAGTCTGTATTTACTTTCGACTCATAAATGCTTTACACATCAGAATCAACATATGAGTATAACTAATATTTACTATTATTATTTGTAGCATATACGTTTTATGCCAATTAAATTATATGAAATTAATATTATTAATAATATTTTAATTGTTTCTTATTGCATTCCAAAATTAAGGTAATAAATATGGAATGTTAAGAACAATTTCTATAAAGCTTTTTAAAGATTTATAAATATATATTTATCTTTCGAAGAACAACCCAATTTATTTCAAGTATTTTTAAAGCTCTCTATTATTGTAACACGCCACTCGAATTTCATAATTTTCTAGTTTTTCCAACTGGTTACTGCGTATTTGGTAGTCTTTTGTTATGGAATCTCTGGAATCTAGTTCAACTCGCTTTGCAACAATTGCTAACTGCGTTTTAGGGTATTTGGGTATTCTACCCCAACCGAAAGACACATTCGTAATCCGTTTTCCGCTCATTTCATTTTTACAACAATGAAATTTATAAAAGAGCGAAGATTTAATTTTGAACAACATTAAAATATGCGCAGAACCAACAAAAAACAAATCCAGTGAATCAAGTTTTATTTTTTATTCTTTCCTTTTTTTTTTTGGTTCTCAACTTTGTCGAGCCCCTTGCAGGGGCCACGCATGACCGCAAATGTTGAAAAGTTGTTCTCGGTTTATATATATACAGATATGTGCATATATGTTGCGCATAAAAATCATTGGGGTTAAAAAACATGGCGAAAACAAAAATTTAAAAAAAAAAAACAAAGGAAAAAGTTGAAAAAAATCAACGCTTGCTGCTTATTAATTATAAAGTGTGAGCATGTTGATGGAATCAAGGGCGCTGCCAATGATGATGACGACGCCGAGGCGAGGCAAGGCGAGGCGCGTCGCACTTGAGCCCCGGGGCTCAGCAGCGAGGCTTCTCAGCCAGAAATGTTGAATAGGACAAGCTGCGCAACAGACGAGTGGAAAGGGTAGAGCCTGGTGCTCACTCTTCGTCTCGTGTGGGAAATCTGAATAATGCATATCAAGTGTGAAAGCGGCAGGGGCACTAAACGGAACGAAACTAAAGGACGGCAGGAACAGCAGCAGCAGCAACAGAGACGACAATCTACATAATTGAGCGGCAACAGCGGCAACAAGCGTGTTGCGGGTTAAACGAGTATGCGAGAATTGTCAATTGAAGAAGCCCGGCAGCAGCAGCACCACAGGATGAGTTGGATCAGGGTCTGCGACTGACACTGGGACTGCGACTGAGACTGAGCCTCAACGGGGTCCACGGTCAACGTCGCATTCGTTCTCATCAATAGGCCTCACAGAAAAAGAACGAAGCAGAGTGCTCAGTAGGGAATGCCGACTAGAAATTACCCTAGGTATATTTATAATCGATATTTATCGATTGATGAATATCAAGTATGGTGTGTCTAGTAGGCAACAACATTGTAAAACTATTCGAACTCTATTCTTCATCACAAAACGCCAATGATCGATATTTATCGATTAATAAATATCAAATATGGGGTGTCTAGGCGCCAAATCCATTGTGCAAATATTAAAAAGCTATCCTTCAAGCCATAAAAACTCAATCGAAATTTATCGATTTTATGACAAGGAAATGATAATATCACAAGAGAAAAATAATAAATACTTTATGTTGTTAGTCTCCAGGTTGGACAAGATAGAGCAGATAAATATAAACATGCACTGAATATATAACCTTAGTATTCGCTTCTACAAATGCTTACATATATTACCACAAAACTCATATGCCCCATTAGACTATTTTCAATGTGTTCAGGGTATGGGAAAAGGGCTATCTGGCAATTGAAAGCTGAAACTGGTTTGTTTTATTAATTATTTTCAACTAGTTGCTTGGCCGTCAGCGCAAATCGATGGCAAGTCAATTGGCTAAATGTGCGCAGAGGTTGTTGGCGGGAGAGGGCATCATCAACGCCAATGCTTATAGCTCAATTTGTATGCCGTTGGCGTGGCCCACGGTTGGCTTAAGGGCTCGCAATTACGACCAGAAGGCAATCCGATAGTCCCTTCAAGCAAGGAGCTTGGCTCATTATATTATTTATTTATAAAAACGCGCTAATAACGCGAGGGATTGGGCGCTTCAAGCACTGGAGCTGAGTTCACATAAAAAGGCGTTGAGCTAACGAGTTAAAATAATTTAATAAATTACGTACACAAAGAGCGTCAAGTGGCCAAAGTGGCCGCCTGAATGCGTCAAAAAGCACGCTCGAACGCAGCCCGGCTCGAGTAGGTGGAAAAGTTGTACGCCTCTGTGACCTTGAAGTGCACCCTCGAGCCAGCCGTGAACGAGGAGGGACGAGGGCACGAGGAGCACAGCTGCAAAGACACAAGAGTCGAGGGGCATGCGCTGAATGGGCCTATTACTAAATTAATAAACCCGAACGACGCCAGCAAAAGGCAACGTCAACAAGGGCCAAAAGGCGAACGGGCCAAAGCTCTAAAATATTCTGACACAAATACCAAAGAATTGCCCACCGATGGTGGCATGGGCACAGAGACTTGTTATTGCAACGTTAAGCGTAAGCAGTCGACTCTGAAGACCCCAGGGGATGCCTTTTTACTAATCAAATTCTTTTGATGAATTTCACTGCAGCTAAAGAACGTGCATAACATAGGGCGTGCTGTTAGTAACAGACAGCTGTAAAGAGCAATTAACATAGCTCTATGTTAACATAAGACGTACGTCTTACGAAGGAATAAAGATAATTAATTTCTAATTGAATTGCTTTGATAAGTATATGTGTAATAGCAGAGCTAAGAATAGAGTTTATCCAAAAGAGGGCAACAAATTAAGTACATTAGGATAACAGCGAAAATACATGAAATGTTTAATTTCTTCATCCTCCCAGCACCCAGCATCTGTTCCCATGAAAAAACGTTTAGCGAGAAATTTGTGTGGTGGGCGTTGGCCAAAAATCAACACAAAATCTGCAACAAGAGTGCAGGTCTTCGGAGTCAGAAAACTGCAGGCGGTAGACACAGACGTCGACGACAGCTGATGCAACCTACGCGCTGCAAGTAGAAGCAGCCGCTCTCAAGCCCATGATGGACAGACCCGCTGGCAGCGGCTGGAATTGCGCTGTGACTCTGGCTGTGTCTGTGACTGAGTCTGTCGTATGTAAAGAAAATTGAAAAACTGTCCAACTCTCCGACTGTCTGACTGTCTGCCAGTCTGTCCGTCTGACTTTGCCAAACTATTCCGCATTCTTTTTTTTTCTTTTTGCAGTCGGTTGAATTGCTGGCGGCCTTGCGGGGCGCTCGGGTCGCCTCCATTCCAGCTGCCGCATCTAATTTATGATTTATGTGTGTGGCACAGTAGGCGGGCCCTCGTTTTGACCTGGAAATGTGCATGTGTCACAATTGTGTGTGTGTGTGAGTGTGTGTGTGTGACGTCACGGCGCGCAGTCAACGACTTGAAAAGGCTTGCGCAACAATTATTGATTTACCAGAGGCCTCTGCCCTATATGCTTCCATCCTTGAGCACAATCGCCGCTTTCTCATTGCAGGCGCAACATTCTTTCCGAGAAAATAGCCTTGGCTGCCCAGTGTGGGGGACAGCTTAACACAAAGATGGTATTCATTTTGCCACTAGCCCAACCCCTTGAGCCCAGCTAACGTTGCTTATCTCCTCTGTTCAAATGGACGAAAGCTCACAAAGAATTTGCCAAGGGGCAAAAATAAAAATTCTAAACAAACAACATGCAGCAACACGCAACACGAAACATGGCAGTGGCAGCTGCCGCTGCTGCAATTGTGAACAAACGGTGGACATGCAACGTTGCTTGACCACTCCAACTAAAGTGTTCCAAATGGCTAGTAGCACAAAATCGAATAAAATATTAATGACGACAGCAGACAAAACAGCTCAAACTCTCGTTTATCGCTATTGATTAAAACTGTCCCAATTCAAGTTACAAATAAACAACTGGAAACAAGCCACATTTTGTGTATCTTTTTCATTTCTAAGAATGTGAGCATCGGTTTTTCAGCGTTTCCTGCGATTGAACGCAGAAGCCAATCGCCAAGAGGCAATGGCATGGCAGCCAGTCAAGCCAACTCGACTCTAGGCACTTATGGAATCAACGATTATCCAACTCTGATGACAACAATGTCAGGGAGGCAGTCACAAAGCCGTAAACTATTTGCACAGCGCCAAAGACCCGCTGAGTACCCGCACTACACCTCCTCCGCCTCCTCCTCTCGCCCACTTATCTGCTTCTACCCTGCGAACCCTGCAGACAGCTCTCTGGTCCCCAGTCAGACGACGCTTGGGCAACAGCACAGCAACAGCAGCAGAGGCAGGAAAACCAGCAGAACAATTAAAAGTACTTGGGCAATGGGGCACATACAGACGGTGGCTTGTTTTCGACATATTTGTGTAAATATTGTATTTGTGTTTGTAATTATGTCGGCTTGATGATAACTCGCAGATAATGCTCAGGTAAATACTCGCTGTCTGTGTACATACGGCAGACAGTCGAACAGGCCAATAATGTCAAGTGCTCGACTTTTAAATACCCTGTACCCATTTAAGTTAAGTTAAATGGGGAATATCGTAGTTAAGCGAACATCTGTAATATATATTTGGAAGATATATTTATCGATCGATTGATTTCGATCGATTTTTAAGCTGTCTTATGCAGATATGATTGGAAATCATATTATTATATGTAAAGTATAGCATATTACTAGATCGTCCTACTACAATTGCTGGCACACCAAAGCTTTTGTATAAGAGAGATACAAATAATCATCGGCTTGCCGCTGATAGCCTCTTCTGTCCTCTTTTTGTAGTTAACATTGGACTGGGAATACAAATGTGAATGAATCTGACAAGACATTTGTAGCTTAACGTGAATGCTGCCAAAAGCAAACGAAAGCAACCGATTCTCGTATTGCCCACCCACTCGAACTGCCCATCCGCTAAGCTACCCCTTTAACAAGCATTTCCTGTTTGGCAAGAAAACATTTTTATGGCTTCGAATATGCAGTGGCAGACAATGCACAGATTGACTTTTAGCTGGGGCTAGTAGTTGTAAATGTCATGTAAGAGACAGAGACAGAGACAGAGACAGAGACAGAGACAGAGACGGAGGCAGAGGCAGAGATGGAGATAGAAGCTAAGATATAGAAACAGAGTCAGGAGACAGCGACTCACCTGATGTAGGCCACTTCATTGTTGTGGGTTAGTCGACGCCAGCCTGGAGCCAAATTTGCGCTGTTGTGAATGTTGTTGCTGCTGCTGCTGCTGTTACTACTGTTGTTGTTGCTGCTGCTGTTGTGGTTTGCATTATTGTTAGCATTGTTGGTTTTGGTCACATTCTTTGCATAGAGTTGCTGCTGCTGTTGTTGCTGCTGTTGTTGCTGCTGCTGATGTTGATTGTTCTGACTCATTTGACGCGATGCAATTGTTGCTGGCATACAGTGCGTGGCAGCAACAGTTGCTGATGCGGCTGCTGCTGACTTAACAGGCAACTTAATTTGTGCTGCACGCTGTTTGGCTTGTTGCTGCTGCTGCTGGTGCTGCTGCTGTTGCTGTTGCTGGTGTTGCATCGGCGAGCCAATCGCTGGACACACAAATATGTGCTGACTGTGGCGCAATTGTTGTTGTTGCTGCTGCCCAGCAACATTTGCAGCTTGCATCATGTTGGCGCTACCATTTACCAAACCAGCTGGTAATATTTGCTGCTGCTGCTGCTGCTGCTGCTGCTGATGTTGTTGTTGTTGATGCATTGCGGCATTTGTAACGACCCGCGATACAAATTTTGTTTGCTGCTGATAGAATTGCTGCTGCTGCTGTTGCTGTTGCTGCAACATCTGCTGTTGTTGCTGTTGCTTGTACATGTTGAGCTGCTGTTGTTGATGCTGTTGCAACTCATTGACCTGCAGCACGCCAGCAACCGATTCCGCATTGCCAACAATGTTCAGTTTGTGATGCTGCTGTTGCTGTTGCTGCTGTTGCTGTTGCAGCTGTTGGCCAGCGGATGCGGCTGCCATGTTAATAACAGCAGCCGTTTAAAAGCGCTTGATTTGTGAGCTGCAAATGAACATCAGTGTTTAGTGGATTTTAAAGTGCGAGCACAAATGTACACATACACATATTCACACACACACAACAGATAGCTATGTATGCATATTTCCATATACTATATAGTATATACATATATTCATTAATATATATATATATTATATACATTAATATATATATATTAGTATATATATGTATGTATGAGCAAGCCCATGCAGACGCAGAATTTTTGGGAATTTGTAAAGTCTGTGATTCAGAGCTATTTACAAAAATTTGAGTAAATTAGTTGCCCAACTAGAAAAACACTCTGTATTCAGCACTTATAATTAATTAAGTTTGGCGCAACATGATGAAACATTAGTCTTTTTTATTGCAGTGTGTATAAGTAGCAAGCAAATTGATAAAGTAATTACAACATATTTGATATTCTTAATATCGATAAAAAAAATAGTAGATGTCTCTAACTAATTACTAGCTAATGGCTAGCTATCGATAGTTTACGATGTGTAGGTTATTAAAAGCTATCGAACTTGATTGGTGATATCTTATAATTAGCTTTTGATGCATCTTGGTTTAAGATTAATATTTCATATAAAAATATATATGTCTAAAAACCAATAATCCCGTTCAAATTAAATATTCGTTGTAGTTATTAGCGAAATTGTTTTTTTTTTTTGTACAAATAGACGAACTATGATTGTAACGTGCGTGGCAACAGGGATATATTTGTACATATGTATGTGTACATTTCCAACTACGTTGCGAATATGTGAATTGACCATTAATGGTGAAAATATATACAAGCGCACACATATATATGAAATATACACATAAATTCCAACACAGGCACACAATTTGTCAAGCCTGTGTTTTTATGCTATCTTCGGATTTCGCTACTCACCTTTTAACGTAATTTTCGTTTTGCTCATTTGCCAACATATTCAATTAATTTGAGTTATTGTGTAAACGAGACGCGACCATGTCATTTTGCTGCTGCCGCTTCTGCTGTTGTTGCTGTCTCGCGTTTTTAAGCACTTAATTTCACTTTTTTTTTACAGCTTTTCTTGTTGTAATAGCACGACAACGACTTTTGTATTGTTGTTTAGCTGCTGACTTCGTTGTGTTTGCGTTGTTGTTGGTGGTGTTGTTGTTGTTGGTTTTCATACAATCTGCTGCTCATGACTTCATTTGGAATTCAGAAAACGAACGTCGCTCGCTGCCAGAAACAGAAACAGAGAGCAAAGAGCGCGCAACGCGTAAATGTAGGTGAATGGAGCATGAAGCAGCCGCCAACGTCGCAGTCGCAGTCGCAGTCGCCAGTAGACAACAGCAACAACGACAACGACAATGGCTCAAGAGTAAGCAGGCGGGGGAGATAGGTGGCGGAGTATCGGGGAGCGAGAGTAGAGTGAACGACGCTCAACTCAGCCCAACGAAACGTTTTGTTTTATGAAAAAATTTGTTCTGCCTAAATACTTATTATGCGCGTAAAGCAGAACAATTTGCCAGACGCGACTCTTGTTGTTCTGTTGTCACTTTTTAATAGCATGCATTCATGTGTGTGCGTGTACATACGTGCATACATATATTTATGTACACACACAAATTCCTGCATAGCTATGTTATGCATCTGTATGTAAATTTACGTATGTGTATATAATTAATGCGTAAGTCAGTCTGTCTGTCTGCTCATGTGTGGACACCACCTGCCCTCCGGTTCTGCTCTAATGATCATAATAAGAATACAGCCAAGGGAAACAAGCGTACACATACACTCACACACGCGCGCGCGTACACAAAATTGTAATACGTCGAGTGACCTCAAATGCTTATCTGCATTTCACATGCGCTTTTTTGGCAGCTGCTGCACTTACTAACACAAACACACACACCTACATACACATGTTCATTAGACTGTTTGAATATATTTAACTGGCAGCTTAGAGCATTTTAACTTCATTTTGACTAAACGTTGATTTAATTTTATTATGCACAAACAGCAATTAAATGGGAATTAATTACAACGATTTCATTCGTTGGCTTTATTCACGCAACATTGACAACCGAGCGAACGACGATTCGACACTCGACTCTCGTACGCGCACACGAAATATTTTACTCAATAACTATGGATTTTTTCAATTTGTATTTTTTTTTTTTGTCACCTTGAAGGGCAAAATGCTCTGATATTAAAACATAAGCTTTGATTTTCACAGCCACTTACGAATCGAAATTCTGCTAATTATTTCACTTTTGCGTGTGCGCGCATTTGTTTTTGGAATTTTTCGACTGCCCAAAATTCCATTCACTAGTAGAAACTAGTGATGTCAAAATCATCAATATATCCGTGCACATCGATATTTTTGGCAAGAATCGTAACTATCCCTGATAATGCTATCGATAAGAGTTCATTACGTTACTCATTTTGCGTTTACGTTACGCATGCTACGTTGTGTATTTTTGAAGCTCTACGTTACATACTCTACGTATTATACGCTTGAAAATAATAATTGTCAAAGTACAATAATTTAATACTACATAGCAAAACAAGAAAAATTGTATATATTGTACTAAGAAAAAGTTTCCTACTGTAAAGCACCATAATAAGGAAACGAACGTTAAATTTGCTTCACCCAAGTGTATTGTCATATGCAAACCGATTTGAATATCGATTAATTAAGCGTTGCAACACTGAAGCGGTAACAACAACGCGCGCGGAACCGGCGATTTCTGCATTAATACGTTTCGCGAACTCCTAGCTTTGATTTGTTTATATTAAATTAAAATAAACAAGTAAAGTGGTGTTGTTAAAAGACCGCAACAATGACCGGCGCGGCTATAACTACCTGCAAACTGCTGTTATTTGGCCGTTGCGTGCGCGCCGTATTGCTCAGCGTGGGCGTACAATTTTTGTTGCTAACCGTTTTTTTGCTGTTAGTTAATTTTCAATTGTTGCATCCACTGAATTGGATAATGGGCTCGCTACGCTTAGTGTGCAGCTTCTACACATGGTTTGCCTGCATCCCACTCCTAGGTGCCATCGTGTTCTATGGAATGGCACTCTCCCATCAGCATCTTGCCGAACGCCGCTATTGCCCTACCCGATATCGGTGGCTGCTGCACAATGGTCCGCGAAAGCTATTGTTTCTGCTTGCTCATGCGGTCGTGGGCTACCTAACCGCATGGCTGTACACGGGATACCTACATTCGGACTACCGGTATGTTATATTTGATTCATTTTTAACTTTTGTACTATTCTGTTGCTTTTATAGTCATTTTATCTACAAGTCGTATGGCCAGGACTTTGTGAACTCCTATCACATCTTTCTGCTGGGCATGGGACTTTGCGCTGGCGGCTATTACTTTGCTAGCGAGTACATACAAGAAGAAATTTCCATTGATTTCGACTTTGCCGAACAGTCGCGCCCAGAGAAACTACGCGAGCTGCTCTATGCTACGTTGCTGAAGGCGCCAATAAGTTCCGTGATGCCGACGATATGCTACACGCTTGTATTTTGGCTGTTTGGTTCATTTTTAAGGCATCGACTAAGTATTTTACTCCACGTGGACACAGACGATAGGCTACTTGGAATCATAGATGTAATCAGCAATGGACGATTGTTATTCTATGCCTGGTTGCTGGGCGCTCAGATAGTTAGCAATATGCATTTAATGCGATGCTTTTATGCCACAATGCTATCGGAGCGTTTACCAATGGTGGTTGGACGCAATCGTGCTTCCGTTCCCAGTGAGCAGGAGCTCACCATTGTGGCCGGTCTGGGTGTCTTCAATGTTCATGTGGTACAGTGTCTGGCTGCTAATTTCTTGTTTCAAGAAGCCCAACGCAACACTTCATCAGTACGCACAGAGATCTTTCAGCTTACTGAGCCGGGTAATCATCCAGCTAATTGGCGCGCGCTCTGCGACCAATGTGTAAGCATCGTGGGCGGCTTTACCGATGAGCTTAACGATTCAATGAGACAGATCCCCTTAGATCAACCTATTCACAGCGATGCCAGCACCGCGCTTCTAGCAGAGAAGATGCTGCTACGACAATACAATCAATTGCATGGCATTCGGCCAGTTGTTTCACCAACTTATATGGATGCTCCCAACAGGGAGTGGGATGCAAAAGGCACGGATAGTATACGCCATGTTCCCAATTGGTGTGAGCGCACATCATCTAAATTGGAAAAATCGATGCAGCAACTGTTGCACCGTATTCCTGGCATCGTTTACTTCTTCTATGAACCGGAGGGCGCCAAAACGGAATTTCTCATAGAGAACGCGCTGCCTGTAATCTGGTTGACGCAGGCGCTGGCCCATATATGCGTCGCTTCTATTAAAGAGGACAGTTATGGCGTCGTGCAGGATGATTTACCGACAATCATCAAGGCGTTACATCGTCTCAAATGTGATTTGGACAGATTGGCCAATGGCATGCCCAACTTACGTACTAACAGCAACAATTTCAATCATTTGCGCTATGCAGTCCGTCGCAGTCTCTACAACATTTGCACATCGTTCTACAAATATCTTGGTGACTTATCGTCAACGGGCGAAGAGCTGCGACAGCTGCAGACGTTCGTATATCAGGGATAGGAGTCATACACACTTTGTAAACATCTCTCATAATTTGTTCTTCAGTAACAATTAAAATTAATAAATACAATTACAATGTACACTCGACTTTTTACCTATCTATATGTGCAAATGTATGTAGATTTAACACTTCAATTTGATTGTTTAAATCAAGTAGTTTATCCATTTGGTACAGCATTGTGTGCGAACTATTGCTCCATTAGGGTTTGTACATACATGAGTAGTACCAAGTCCTGATCCTTATTCAGATTTGGTCATAGCAATGATTTCACTTGCAACGCAGCATTGTCCACCGTCTCGTTTAGCGATTTTTCCAGCTTTTCTGCTACTTCATCCATGTGCTGCAATGCTTGCTTTCCCTTGCGGTCGCGACCATCGATAAAGATTTGTGTTTGCAGATAGTTGAGCGCACGGAATGTCATGCCGCCCTCTGGATCATAAGAGCCCAAATATGCTTTAGGATATCTTGCGCTAGCACTCTGATCTGGCGTAGATGGATCGAAGGGCACATACTCTTGCAGGGGTTCCTTATGCCAGCGGAAGATGCTGCGTGAATCTAATAAAAAATAATATAAAATAGCAATATAGCAATATATATACATTTATTTATATATATATATTATCACGCACCTAGATCTGCCAGAACGCGCGTCATTTCACGTATTTGTGCATCCTGACGCTCCAGACGAAAGTTCATTTCAGTCAGAGTGTTTGTCAGCTGCATCTTCTCCAATTGGAAAGCTTCATTCTTTTTGTTTTCTTTTATCGTTTGCCGCGAATACTCAAATATCAGCAAACCAGCGCCAATGGCAAAGATAATAAACTCCCCAAGCAGATTGGCACCCAGCTCAATGGCCATGGCTTCAGTTAATGGTGGCACCGTGACTGGTCGTCCAAGATTCAGTGCCCACATCTTGGTCTTCACCTCTACCCAATTGTAAACTGTGAGCAAACGATAATTGATCGGCATTAATCACTTTAATGTAAATGTCATAAGAAATATTATCTCTTACACTGTGCTGGCGGCATGCATATATATTTCCTGAAGAATGGACTTGATTTTGCATTGGACTTTAATACATTTGCAATGGGCTTGCTAATTTGTTTGATTGCCAACACGCCAAGTTTGGCGGCTGGAAATACTCCAATAACCATTTCTTATGTTAATTTATGTTACAAAATCTCAGCGCAGAAAACTAATAGAAACCAGGGCTGGCGAAAAAATTGACTTGCCGACTAGTTAACGCGAGACGATAAATGATAATCGATTAAAATAACGAAAGATTTCGTGACTTAACGTTTTAAATTATTGAATTAAATTTTCAAAAAATCATAGTTTTTGATTATTTGTCCTATATGTTTCGCAGTAATTTAATTGATCACGTATTGAATCTATTTGTTTTTTCTGCCAATCGAGCAAATTATTCAATGTGTCTATTACTATTAGTAGCTGTTCTTGATTCATTTTGTGGTTGTCATGCTTTATCTGACTGCGTTTTGCCGTCCATGAAGTTTCAATGCATATTAGTAGTACGCTTACGAACACAATAAAAACTTCGCTTAAAAGGTTTGCGCCCAATCTTATGGCCATATTTTCCGAGACCTTAGGGATTCGTTTGGGTTGCGGTAATCTTAGCATGCGCATTTTTGATCTTGTCTCGACCCAATATATTAGTTGACCAGCCGGGGCGCAAAGATACGTTTTAAATACCCGATTGTTTTGGGCAAAAGTATTTAAAACTCTGCTTAATGGGGTAGCGATCTGCTTAAGCCCATAAACTGCAATTTTCCCAATAGGATATGCACTGATTGCCATTTCGAATACCGATAATTTTTAAAAGACCCCAAAATTACCAAAACATTATGTTTGACAGAAAGTCGAAAGCAACTGATTTATTAAACAAGTAACAAAAATTGTTAATTTTCATGAGAACTAGTCAAATCCACGACCCGAGCTTTAAGACGTATTATCTCGTGTGTCTGACATAAGACCCTATCATTCAAAATTTCCAATTCCTTTTTCAGCTTTATCTTCTCTTCTCGATGTTGCTGGTGCTTCAACGCATCTTTGTGCTTTTGTCTGTATAAAATTAGAATGATTTTAAATTACCAAAGTTAAGAAGTATACACCTACCGTGAGAACTCCAATATTAAGAAACTGACGGCAATTATAAATATAATCAGCTCACCCAGCAGTTCGCTTCCAATTTGAATAGCCAGTGTGTTGTTTAAAGGAGGGACAAATTTCGGTTGATTCATGCCAAGTATGCGCATTTTGGTTCTCACCCCGATCCAATGGTAGGCTACAGATTGTATTGTAAAACAAAATCGTAAGCCTTGAGCTACAATATCAGAAGCTTCTTACTTTGTGCAGTTGGGGCGACTAAATATTTGCGCAATGGTTCATTGAATTTGGCGGTATCTTTGATACCTTTGACTACTGGCTTACTAATATGTTTCAAAGCTAAAAGGCTTAGTTTTAGAAGAGGAAAGCTAACCATTATTGATCATTACAATTTAGTCTATAATTTCTGTCATTACTGAATGAAAACCCAAAACAACATATACAGAACGTTCAATACTATTTTTAAAAGTTATTTAAATTATATTACTTATTTAAATACAAATAACGAGTTTGATAATTGTTCACCAATTCGTTACATCGATGAGTATCGCTAGCAGTTTATAAATCGACAGCTAATAATTTTCAAGGTATCGATATAATTTTTTCTTTTTACATCGCAAAGCTTATACGAATATTGGCAATTTGAATACTAAAAATTAGTGTGCAAGCAAACTTATCCGGTTTCTCCAATTAAATTATGGATAAACCTGAAGTGTTAAAGCCTGCGACCACTGGAAGCTGTGTGGCTTGTGGTATCAAATCCAGTCTTGTTTGCCATAGATGTGGTGATTTTTATTGCAGAAAAAAATGTCAGCTGAATGATTGGCAACGTCATAGGTATATATGTTTTTCAATACCCGCCCTGGTGCACCCCTTAGAATGCTCCGCTTTTGGCATTATGGAAGTTCCGCTACTGCACGCAGCTCAACAAGTTTGCAATAACGAAGAAGTCAATGCTGCCAATATAGGCAAAATAAATGCTGAGCTAATCAAAAAAAAACATGATGGAACTGCTCCTCTTACGACGGATAGAGGAAGCGAAAAAGAATTTGATAAGGCCTCCAATACCGACGAATCTGTAATCGCAACAGCCAGCAGCAACAGCAGCAACAATAACAACAGCTCAAATTTCATTACAAAAAGAACGTACGGGAGAATAATTGATCCTCCGCCCCATGTAGCTTTGCCACTAAGTGGAAGCATCGTTTATCTTACTGGCTTTCGATCGGCAAACCGCTGTTTTGTTCGCGATGCCAGCGAAAAGGCTGAGAAGGCATATTTAGAAATTTGCCAAAAGGTGTGTGGGTGTATACATACAAACATTAAATACATTTCATTGTGATATAAATTGTCTTTTTAGATTCAGTTGTTGGGCAAAGAGATGAACAAATTATATAAACCGAAGATCCATTCATATGTCCTTTCCAAATATAAAGATCAATTTCAGCGTGCCAAAGTAATTCCTGGACAATTTCTGCGTCTTCACTATTTGGATTTGGGCATTGTCAAGCCAAGAGGCTGCTCTGAAATTCGGGAGATAAACGTCGAAATCATGCAACTGCCCTGTCGCATCGTAGAGTGTCAGCTAAAGGGCATTGGTCACTCTCCACTGAGCTATGATCTCAGAAATTTCCTTTCAAAATTCGAGAACAAACGATTTATAATTAGCTATGGCTGCAATAAGCAAATAGATCTACTACATGTGGAGACAAACAAATCATTGAATGTAGAGATAATCGAATTTAATAAGCAAATTTTTGGTTGTGCAACATCATATGGGAATAAGCTAATGCCTGCCAAACCAGATCCAAGGGACAAGAACACTTTGGAGACCAAAATGGAAAGAAATATACAAGATAACTTCCCTCAAAAGGATGCACGTAATATGGAAGCTAAATTAGAAAATCAACCGACCACAAAATGTGATCAGCTCATAAAACCAATAGAACTAAATATAACCACAGAACGAACACCAATTGCAAAAGATGAACAAGATAGTAAATCACGTAGCTTACAAAGCTTAGATAACAAGTTGACAAATGAAAATGAAAAAGCAAAAGAAAATGTGCCATCTAATAATAATAGAGAGATTAATACCATGTCAGCTGTAACTAACAAAAATGAAAATTCGACAAAAGAAGCTATTGGAAACGTGAAAACTCATATAGGGAAAATATTTATGGATAACAAAAAAGATGAAACAGAGAATCAATCGCCATCTTCTGTCATTACTAAAACTAGTATTGAACCTTTATTAGTTGCTGTACGTAAATGGAATATTGTCGAATTCGTCATTCTGGATAATGTGTTTAAATGTTTCTAGCCCTTCGAAACGCGCCGTCTTGCCATCAATTCGAGAGAAGGACTCAATGTTTTCATTGTGGACAATGCAAATATTTCCCGGGGCATTTTTGGCGCTGTCGATTGTTCGTATGCCCGCAATTTCGCCGACTTGAAGCATCGCTTGTCGCTGTACAAGGACTCGCAGCCCTACAAACCTGTGTAAGTAAACGAAAATGAAATAATAAACTAATAAACTATTAGTTTTAGTAACTTTTAACACATTTGCATTTATTAGGGTCAGGGAATATGTTATTGCCAAATTTAAAGATGCTTGGTATCGTGCCAAGGTGATGGATATTAAAACGAACCAGTATACCCGTACATGCGACGTCATGTATGTTGATTTTACCAATGTATCCACTGTTAACGAGAAGGATATTCGACGTTACCCACCGGACTTGATCGAACCTTGTCGTACAAGCGTTTGCCTCATTGAAGGTTTTTTTATTTTTACTTTCTCTTAACATATTTATCTATAAATCAAAAATTTAATACAGGCTTTCCTCACCGGCTAACAAAGGCACAAATCAGCTTCTTACAGGAAAAGTTGCACATACATAATCAGTTGCACATTGATGGTGTCAGTTATTTACAGGATATGGCATTGGTCAGGTGCAGTGCGTTGACCGATGCACTTAATAAAATACCGTAGATCTACAAAAACATACACTAACATTCGATATACCACAGATTAGTAGTACTTTAATTCGAAATATCAAAAAAAGTATAAAAATATAAATGTTTAATAAATGTGTTAAAAACAGAAAAAGGTGGTAATCATGCATTATTTGAAAATATCGATTGCTTTAACGTAATACATATCGCACTTGATATATATATCGATTGAAGCTTGTCTTTCGATAATTTCCTTAAACTTTCTATTGCGGTATATCGAAAAAAGTTCTTAGTCGCAAAACAGATCGCCCCCAACTCGCTGCTCGTAATTTGGTGTCGGTGTATACAGCCTGTGCATTTAAAGTAAAATAATTCCCAAACAGGAGAAGGAATACATCTATACCTTAACGTCACTTTTAATACTCACACAAGGTAAGCTTTTGAATATATAACTAGTAATATATATATATATATATATATATATATATATTGCTTGTTTTATATCTCTATACATATATATATATGTAAATAAATATGTATGTAAGAACCGCGATGACATAGTGCGTAACTATGAAAGAGTAGTTTTGCCCAAATGAGCTTTAGTTTGTTGATGATGCAAACGGTTTATCCGCACTATGAAAATTAACTGATCCATCCATACATTCACTGACGTAGCAACAAAAGCACATACACAGGCACACTCGTTTGTGTGACCGGCCGATGCGCGGGTAAAAAATATGTAAAGGTGAAATAGAAGTCATTCCATGCCAAGGCACACAGAAACACTCATACACTCTTACAAACATATAGAGCAAACACGCCATTGGAAAATGCAATAATAATCACTAAGTGTCAATTTTTTTTTTTTAAACATTAAATTGAATACCTTTATCACTTCTACATATACACAGCAAACAACATACATGTATGTAATTATTTATGTATTAATGTGTGAAAAATACGAAATCCCACGACGCGACGATGAGTAATTAACCGCTGATTATAATTTACCGGCTTAAATTCATTTCAATTTGTTTAATTTGATTGCTCGTCGACTTTTAACAGAGCGTATTTTTATGTTTGTAACTTCATTTATTGTGACAATGTCCTTCGCAAGCAGGTTCAAGGGCAGAGACCAATAGCCTTTTGCAAATTGATAAAAAAAGCCCCAGCACTTTCACTTAAAAAGAACTTTGTATAATCTGTTGTTTTGTTGTTTTGCTTCTTAAAAGCGCTCAGCACAAAAGCTCTGCTAGTGCTGTGCGTGTCACGCGTAAGGCACCCCCGCAGCAGACGGCTTCCACGCAATCGCTTCATGTGGCTGGTGGGAGTGAGATAGAATGATAAAGAGCATGCGTGCTGTGCGGAATGGAGATTATATTATTTTACTCAAATCAAGGTCAGACGCGGCAGTGGTGGCAGCTCTTTCTGTATTCGACAGCTGATAATTAGAATTTTGTATTGCTTTTATTTTTATATACTTTCAGTGCGAGTGTGTTTATTGTCGGCATCTAACAGCTGACGATCAGTTTTTTGTTTACGCTCTCACCGATCTCAAGTATTAGTGAACTCAATCATATGGCCAGCTGACTAAGCGTCCAGCTTAGTGCTCGGTGCCGCGAGTGTGACAGCAAGATATCAAGCTTTTTATTTTGAGATAAACTTTTACGAAATGCCGCTCGCCATTTTGCTTGGGCGGCTTTTTAGGGGTGGCCTGTTGCCGTTCGCCTGTTTGCACCACTGGCGGCAGCGCCGCCGCTCTCTCTCGGCTCGGCAGCAGCATTCGTTTGGCATTTTCACCAGAGTCTCGTGGTTTTGCGCTCATTGTGCATTACCGACATTCTGAATGCTTTTGCCAAAAATTTTCCACCCAGACTCGGCCAGTCGAACGTTTTATGCCATTGTGTGAAAAACCCCGGTGCGCTTAGGTTTTAAACGCAAACATTTTCGCCATACAGCGCATCGTTAGTTTCTGTTTTGTGCGTATCATCTGCATTCGTATTGGGCAACATTCTAAATATAATTATCGTGATTTATACACCGTCAATCTAGTAGGCAACAAAATGGTTAACGTAACAATTTATGACGAGGCACCGCAGCTAAAGGTAAGCAGCCCTAACCGACTACAGAATCCGCAGAACAGTATTTATATATGTATCCATAAAGATATGCCTATCAGGTTGAAAAGAAATTGAAGCAGATATTCGCTTACTTTTGTGGCTATATCATTATGCAACGGTTTTAATTGTTTTTTTTTCTTGCTGCAAATGCAAAAGTTGTGACCTTCGCAGATGCAGCGCCGGCCCGTGGCCGATGCATGAATTCTCTTCCGTCTGTCAGTCTCTCGTATTGCGTCTCTGGCAGCTCCACTCCTAGTCTCGTCGGCTGGCACTCTCTCATGCGTGCGAAGCCTCCTCTCTCTCTCTCTGACTATCTTTCTCTTTCTTTGCGTGTCGGTAGGGGAATATCGATATAACGAACCATAAACCGCCGAAGTCAGCAGAAGTTTATTACCCACCTCACTGAGAACAATAATTATTTCTATTATTGGAAATTGTATTTCATAAGGCCTGCTTTATATTTATTATAGCCAAACGAAGTACCGCAAAACATGGCTGCCGGAGCTGAAAGCCAATTGGAACATATGTGCCGCCTGCAGTTCGACTCACCTGTACCCCATGTGCGTCTGTCCGGCATTGTGTGCACCATCGGACCTGCATCGCGCAGTGTCGAGATGCTGGAGAAGATGATCGCCACTGGCATGAATGTGGCACGCATGAACTTCTCTCATGGCTCGCACGAATACCACGCTGAGACCGTGGCCAATGTGCGTCAGGCTGTTAAGAACTATTCGGCCAAGCTGGGATACGAGCATCCAGTTGCCATTGCCCTGGATACCAAGGGTCCTGAGATCCGTACTGGTCTCATTGGCGGCAGCGGCACTGCTGAGATTGAGCTGAAGAAGGGCGAGACTCTTAAGCTTACCACCAACAAGGATTTCCTCGAAAAGGGCTCCCTTGAGGTTGTCTATGTGGACTACGTGAACATTGTCAACGTCGTAAAGCCGGGCAATCGCGTCTTTGTCGATGATGGACTCATCTCGCTGGTTGTGCGCGAAGTTTCCAAGGACACGGTGACTTGCGAGGTGGAGAACGGTGGTGCCCTTGGCTCCCGCAAGGGTGTCAATCTGCCCGGCGTGCCCGTCGATTTGCCAGCTGTGTCCGAAAAGGACAAGTCTGACTTGCAGTTCGGTGTAGAGCAGGATGTGGACATGATCTTTGCATCGTTCATTCGTAATGCTGCCGCACTGACTGAAATCCGCAAAGTCCTGGGCGAGAAGGGTAAGAACATCAAGATCATCTCCAAGATTGAGAACCAGCAGGGCATGCACAATCTGGATGAGATCATTGAGGCCGGCGACGGTATCATGGTTGCTCGCGGTGATCTTGGCATTGAGATACCTGCCGAGAAGGTGTTCCTGGCCCAGAAGGCAATGATCGCTCGTTGCAACAAGGCCGGCAAGCCCGTTATTTGCGCCACTCAGATGTTGGAGTCCATGGTGAAGAAGCCACGTCCAACTCGCGCCGAAATCTCCGACGTGGCCAACGCCGTGCTCGATGGCGCTGATTGTGTCATGTTGTCTGGCGAGACCGCCAAGGGCGAATACCCTCTGGAGTGTGTGCTGACCATGGCCAAGACGTGCAAGGAAGCCGAGGCCGCTTTGTGGCATCAGAATCTGTTTGCAGATTTGGTGCGCGGAGCCTCCGCAACCACTCTGAATGCTGCTCATGCGGCGGCCATTGCCGCTGTCGAGGCAGCCAACAAGGCCAAGGCAGCCGCCATTGTGGTGATCACCACCAGCGGCAAGTCCGCATTCCTGGTGAGCAAGTATCGCCCACGTTGCCCCATCATTGCCGTCACGCGTTTCGCGCAAACTGCTCGTCAGGCCCATCTGTACCGCGGCCTGGTGCCACTTATCTACAAGGGTAGGTGTTACGTCCCACTGTTCAAATTTAAAAATCTAATGTAAAATCAATTTAGCAGAGCCTGCCCTCGATGACTGGCTAAAGGATGTCGATGTGCGTGTCCAGTTCGGTTTGCAGGTGGGCAAGAAGAACGGCTTCATCAAAGCCGGCGACTCCGTGGTGATTGTCACTGGCTGGAAGCAGGGCTCCGGCTTCACCAACACCATTCGTATTGTGTAAGTAGAATGCAACCTGGAAACTCCAAGATTGTCTTAGCTAACCCTTCGCCTATCTTGCAGCACCGTCGAATAAGCCAGGTCTCTGAGACGAGAGATCAATGACAGCACTGCGAACACGTTTCAAGCGCTGTGCGCGTGCATCAATTACTGTTATTAACCAAGTTAATTTATTACAAATTCTCAAAAAATATATACGGATTATTGGATAACGAAATTGGATACATTTATCTGCTGTCAAAGCACCACAGATTGGCTCCACGGAGTCACTCTTTCACACATACACACAAATACAAACATACAAATATAATTTATCATTGTTAAATATAGAGTTCTTTATAGTAACAAAGATTAATAAAAAACTATATGTATACATAACTGCAAATTGATTTTAACTAATCAGACAGCCCAATTCAAGTTACTTCCTTCAAATAGATTAACAAATTGATTGAAATTGGATTGTTAGATCAGACGTTATTTATGTAGACTCTATTGTTGTTAAATTGTACTGCATTAACTGATATTAACAGTATTTGATTCATTTCTAATTTTGGAATTATATATATATATACCTTAGTTGATATATATACCTTAGTTGACTTTTTATACCCTGAACCCATTGAAAATGGGAATTAAGGTTATAATGGTTTGATGAAAATGTATGTAAGAGCAGAAGGAGGTGTGACAAAGTATACGTATATATATTCTTGATCAGAATGACGAGCTGAGTCGATCCAGCTGTCTGTCTGTCCGTTCTTCCCTCCGTCTCTCTAATGATCTCAGAAGCTACAAAAGCAAGAAACTTGACATTTTAACTGTATATTCGTGCACACCATGCGCAGCACGCGCTTATCATCCTTTTTTGATAACGCATCCCATTTCCTTATTATCGATAAGAATCGATCATTTTACTTGGTTTTTCAAGTATAGCTCGAATACCGTAAATGCTGAACACTTCGAATTTACTGTGTTGGTTTCTGTACTGAATACAAAAATTTTTGTATATTTTCGATTTTAAAGATCTCCCCTAAATTAGCAAAAAACCTGTTTCAAATAATAGAGAGTTGTGCTTTAAAAAACACATGTCATAATCACTGTGGGTGTGTGTGTATGTGTTGTTCAGTGTATCAGGATTCAGGGTATCGTTTAGTCGCGCCTTCTCGGCTAGAGCACTCTTACTTATTTATTTTTGTTTCTGTATTTAGTTGACTATTTCATCAAAATTAAACAAAATAGTTTTTCTAAATTACACTTCCCAAAATTTCGAAAAAAAACCGTACAATTTTAGCACTTTAATGACATTCATTTCGCGGTTCGCAATTCGAACGTCTGCCACACTGCAGATGTTGCTGCCACGGGTTGATTCTGCTAAGTTCTCCAACACTGCCAATTCAAAAAATGTAAGCGTCTCATAAAGAAATGAGTATACTATGGCCTAACTATAAGACTTGTAGGAAAATAAATCTGAGGTAGTGCTGGATCGCGGGCCGTTCTCCTCGCAATTGGACTATCAATCTCGCATAAAATTTAATTCGCCCGCTTTGGGATATCCGTTAAGCGGCATCATATGCACTATCGGGCCTGCTTCCAATAATGAAAAAGTGATGCTAAAACTAATTGAAGCCGGCATGCGAGTTGTCCGATTAAACTTCTCACATGGCTCATACGAGGAGCATTACGCAGCAATACAAGCGGCTAGAGAGGCTATCATGGCCTATACGAGAAAGATTGGAGTATACAAACCTGTGGCTATTGCATTGGATACCAAGGGACCGGAAATACGTACGGGTCAGTTATCAGGCAGCGAAACTGCAGAAGTTGATATTAAGCAAGGTGATCAAATCAAGCTATCCACCCAAAAGGACATGGAGACCAAAGGCAGCAAAGATTCCATATACGTAGACTATAAACAGCTGCCAAAGATAGTTAAGAAAGGAAACTTAATATTTATTGATGATGGGCAGATCTCGCTGCGAGTTAAGGAGATGACTGACTCAGAAGTTACTTGCGAGATTGTAAACGGCGGAAAATTGGGATCTCGAAAAGGTGTGAACCTTCCGGGTATCCCTGTCGATTTGCCATCTGTTTCGGAAAAGGATAAAAAAGATTTACTATTTGGTGTTGAGAATGATGTGGACATGATCTTTGCATCTTTTATACGAAATGCCGAGGCCATCAAAGACATTCGTGAAGTGCTGGGACCGAATGGAAAACACATTAAAATCATATCGAAAATTGAGAATCAACAGGGCATGCATAATATTGATGACATCATTAATGCTTCTGACGGAATCATGGTGGCTCGCGGTGATCTTGGCATCGAGATCTTGACTGAGGAAGTTGTACTGGCCCAAAAGGCGATAATAGCCAAATGCAACAAGGTTGGAAAGCCCGTAATATGTGCCACTCAGATGCTGGATTCAATGCAAGGCAGGCCACGACCAACGCGTGCCGAAGCTTCTGATGTTGCCAATGCCATATTTGATGGAGCCGACTGTGTTATGCTATCCGGTGAAACGGCCAAAGGCAAATACCCGATGGAATGTGTCAAGTGCATGGCGAAAATTTGTGCTAAGGTGGAAAATGTTTTATGGTATGACAGATTACAAAACGAGGTAAGGAGCTATATGAAATCTTCTTCACCCGACAACATTTCCGCGATTGCTGCCGGGATAAGTGAGATCGCTTCAACGGGTGAAGCCAGTGCTATAGTTATAGCGAGCCCATGTCCGATTGTGCCTAATTTAATAAGTCAATTTCGACCCAGATGCCCGATTGTTTTTCTCACTGGTGAACGCAGGGTAGCACGTCAGTCGAATATTTATCGCGGTATCTACCCGATCGTGCCAGAGATAATGTCCCATGGTTGCGAAGATTTTAAATCTATTCTAGCTATTGGATTACAGAATATGGCTAAGATGAAAATCGTGGATCTAAGTAAACCTACGACACTTATGATAGTAAATGCCTTACAAGCAGAGAGGATAATATTCCGCTTAATGTTCACAAAATAAAAAAAAAAGTAAAAATGAAAATCCGAATAAGTTTCCCATGCGCAAGCAAGCGAAGCATATGCGCGTTTAAGGAAAGAAAACCAAAAAAAAAATAAAATAAACAGTTACGATGAAAGAAAAAATTGCAGCTCAAATGGAAAATTGTAAGAATATTTTCAAGACAACACAAAGTCTGCGACTAAATATGGAGAATAAAATAAATTCGTAAAATAACACTTTTTAGCGCTAATCCTCACTGTCATTACTGAAAACTATTTTCTATCCATAATTTAAAGTCTTATGTTTTGAATAAAATAATAAAATATTTATTGTTATTGGGAACTTTCCCACTATACCCTTCATTTTATGAACGTTAATAAACATTTTATAAATTACTTGCACGTTATTATGGTGCTGCCAGACTGTTAAAAACTAATCGATTGATATTGCGCGCTAATCAGTTGATTACTATCGATTGGGTCTTAGGCTTATCGATTGGTAAACAAATCAAAAGTGGACTTGTGAAATAGCAACAATTAAGGAGTGACTAATAATAGTTTTTAAGCGAATAACAACAGGAGTGCATTCTAAATGGCTCTGCCTTCAAGAAAAGCGACAAGTGCAACTGGAACGAACGCCGTTGTGCAAGCTGTCGAAACATACATTCAAAACCAAAACTTGCTGGGTGAGATTGCCGAACTGGATGAATTGCTATATGATTTAATTGATCTTCATAAGAACAATGAAGTGGCCCTTAAACGCGTACTTCAGTGCATCTATAACCTGTTGCAGAGCAACAACAGGTGGAATGTGAAATTTGGCTCGAAGGTATTTCACAAACTTATTTCTGTTATTATCGCCGAGAGCGATGATGACGGAATTCCACATGGTCTGCACCGCCAGCTGGTGGCTAACTTGCTCATCTGTGTTCAAATTCATGCACGCAAATTTCCTCGCATCGATGGCAAATTCTTACTACGTCAACTGTGGTCTCTCAGCCTAAGCAGTGAGCGGCAGCCGCATGCCGCTCAAATCCTAGTGCAGCTCTTTGATGATTTTTTACGTGAAATGGGCGATGAGTGCGCCTGTTCAACTGAGTTACACGCAGTCATACAAGACCTGCTGCACTCGGAAGTTCGCGAGCAACGCAGATCAGCGTACTTTCTTATGAGAAAGCTTCTTATGATATTACAAGAAGAATCAACTGCTGACACTGCTGGACGGAGTAGACGCGTGTTCGACACGCTTAAATGCGATGAGCCGATGTGGTCCTCCTATATCGTCATAATGGAGACTCTGGAAGAGCAACAATCGCATTTAGTGCTGCCAACCCTGAGCACGTTGCTGCCCCGTATTGCGGAGAGCAATCAGGAGGACGATTGGCTGGTTTGGCTACGCATTCTATATGCTCGTCTATTACAGGATAACAACATATTGGTTCTGCGCTGGACATTAGAATTTTTCTTCAGCCGCTTTGACGTGTCTAAACTGTGCCGTAACCAGCTTCTAGCTGAATTCCTATCAGCCACAAATCGGACACAGCTCTACAATGTTGAAAGTTACTTTTTGCCAGAGATAAATATGGAGACATTCATGTCCGACGAGTCCGAGGCACAGGAGTTTTTGGAAGCATTAGGTACAGTGCCGTGGCATTCCGTGCCACTACACTTTTGGCTGAGCAAAATGAAGCCGGTAAAAGCTGCTCTCACTAACAAAAAAGTGCTCCTGCAGCTCAGCTCAAGAGTACGCGCATTAACCAATGCAACGTTGCGGCAAAAAGCTATCGATCTAGTATTTAATCTGCTAGAGGTAAGTCGCTGCTCATTTCAATTTGCACATATATAATTAATTACTTTAATCCTTTATTGTAGAGCACTATAAGCAGCTTGACACTGGCCGATTACATGATCTTCATTGAGACTCTTGTCAATGTGAGCGATCGTTTTTATGACAATCTACGTTTAAAAGCAAAGATGCAAAATTGCGAGAGCTTTGCAGAAGCGATTCCGCGCTTTAACAAACGTTGCAGTGAAATTATATTGAAGGATGGTGGCATATCGATATTGATAGATGAACTTATCAAACAATTGAGGGAATTACCAAGTTCGCAACACGGTTGGCTGCGCCTAGTTCCAATTTTCAGTTTGAATGACATGGAGCCTGAGCAACAACAGATCTGTTTGCATTTTTACAGAACTCAATATAATATCAATACTGAAATGTTTGAGAAGGCCGCAAATCTTGGGGAAATACAGCAACATATGCTGCAGAAACTGAACTGTCAAACGAAAGATGAAAAATCGTTTGTGCTGGAGCACTGCGTCGATTGCTTTGTTCGGGCCAACCTCCAAAGCTGGAGTCAAATGAAAGAGCTACACTTACAGCCATGTGATCTTCTAGAAAGTGGTACAAAAGCAACGTTGGTTCATTTGACACAACTATTGGAAACTAGCGACACAAGAATCGAAGACGAAGCAAATGTGCTTTCCACAGTGATCAACTTGTCAAACAAACATCCAAACTGTGACGAAGTGTAAGTCAAAACAAAAATATACTAATCTATATAGTACATTAATATATTCTACTATTGCAGCACCGCGAGCATTGTAAGTTATGCGAAAAGCTTTTTGAGCGATGATGAAAATGCGAAACTTGTGAGAGATATGATTAATAAACACAATGGTCTCATATCTTGGTACATATTGACCAATGCGATCCCCAACTCCTTAATTGTGGAAAGTATCCTAAATGGCGAGATCAGCACCGGGGATGCACGGTAAATAAACTTCAAAGTAAATTAAATAAGTTAAATCTATATGTATTCATAAATACACAGGATTGAGGCAGCATATATCGACAGCCTTACCAATTCTCCATTTGGAGATGTGGATCTACGAACTAGATCAATATACTTTCTGAAACAGAAACCAAAGCCGGATGTAGTGCATGCTCTCTGTAGTGAACTGCAGGATATCAACAAGGAGTTGAACGCGAAGAAGCCGCGTTACTTTGAAAATTGCAAAGAGCACAGAATAAAAATACGCATTGCTAGAGCACTTTTAATATTAAAGGACGGAATCAAATGGTCCGATGAAATGTGGAACGCTGTGCTGGCACTCAATGATCAGCAGAACATAAGCTATATGTATGAGTGCCTTGTAGCTCAGCTGCTGCCTGATTTCAATGAATTGGTGAATCGAATGCAGTTATTGGGAACACTAAAACCAAGCCAGCAGATATCAGTAATTTCAATTGCATATATCTATTGCCTTCTGAATTGGAAAGTTCTTGAGTTGACGCATTTACAATGCATTGTAAGCTTGCTGATGCCACATACAATGGGTGCCCATTATCAAACCCGACTTTTCGCCCAACTCGTTCTACATAATCTTGCAATTAAGTGCGAAAAATGCAGGTAATTATTATATACTATATTATATATATTTATATGCAACTCACCTATTAATTATTCTTAGTATGGAATGGCCTACACTTAACGTAATAAAGGCTAGCATTGAAATGACATTGGGAACAAAGTTGGCCGAGTTGAATAACGAAACTCGCCTCTTATTACCGGAAATAAGTTCAAATTATTTAAATGCTGATATTATCTTGTATATGACAAATACGCCATTTGATGAATATGTAAAACCTATGATCACTGACGATGCGCTTAAAGCCAGGATAGAAGCAACACGCGCTGCTTTGAAAGCGAGACGGAATCCAACAACAGTTATGCCGAAAAGTGGCGTTGATACGGCCAATTTAAATGTTCAGCGGAAAATGAATCCTATTAACGATATTTATATTGACAATGACTTAGCCCAAAGTTCAGAGCAATTGAATGACCGGGAGCTGATAGTGGTTGCGTCTCTCATAGACAAGTTACCCAATCTTGGCGGCTTAGCGCGCACCTGCGAGGTGTTGGGCGTTAAAACCTTGGTTTTGGGTGCCAAATCTTTTGCGCTCAAAAGTGATTTTGTTAATTTAAGGTAAGAATTTATTTATTAAGTTGATAGCGTATAATAATGACTATTTCGTTTCAGCATGACCGCCGAGAAGACTCTTAATATTGCTGAAGTAAAGCCCGCATCACTTGCCAGTTATTTGGTTGAAAAACAATCCCAGGGATATAAAATTGTTGGTGCTGAGCAAACAGCGCACAGCGTAAATTTCACAGAATTTAAATTTCCTGAAAAATGTGTCCTGCTGTTGGGGTAAATTTGTTATAGATCCTTAAGATATTCTATAAATATTAATAATCGCCTTTCACTCTTATAGTCATGAAAAACATGGAATCCCAGTGGATCTGATAGCATTATTAGATTTTGCTGTCGAAATACCACAGTTTGGAGTGGTGCGTTCCTTGAATGTGCATGTGACTGGCTCTTTGTTTATTTGGGAATACTGCAAACAGCATTTACAAAAGTAGCATATGTAAAAAAAGTCGTTTTTGTGGACTATAAGTGCCTAGACTTACGATTTTTCGAAATGTCTCAAATGTGATTTATAAGCTTACAATCTATTAAAAACACCTCTTTAAATCTTGAGTTGTTTGGCTTTCTAAGCCAAAACAATGAATACTAAATTTGTAGTGTTTATTTTATTTGTTTTGACTGCAATCTTGGCGCTGAGATTTATCATATTTTGTATTTATCAAATCATTAAACAAATATTAATTTATTGAAACAGTGCAGCTTGTATAAATCGATAACAAGTAATGAGTAATCGATGAAATGAATTTATCGACAAATATATCGATGCTCTTCGTGAATAAATAAACAAAAAAAGAAAACAAAATAAAGGAGCAAATCGTAAATAAGATGAGTTTCTCCGAAAATACTTCTGACTCTGACTGGTAAGCGCTCATAAGCATAATGAATTATCAAATTAAAGAATTAAACTATATTTAGGAAAGAAGCAAAAATAAAAGTAAAAAATAAAATAAAAACTGGATGTGGAAAATTGAAATACAGCCAAAAGTTTTGTGAAAAATGGCTCAGCCTCTTCGATCCATGGCTTAGCCGTTCCGCCGAGGATCCCAACAAACCATTCTGCCGAGCCTGCCAATGTCGTCTGGATTGCAATCGTTGTCACTTGGTGCGACATGAACGTACAACTAAACACAAGAGAAATTTAGAGTCACTGGTGACCAAAGGCGAAGGTGCGGTGCGCAAGGAGTTAAGCGTACGCCAAGAGCGTAGTAAATACTATCATCAGCGAAAGCGTGCGCTTAAGGAGGTGAAACAGGAACCCGTAAGCACAGTTCGGGAAAATGACCTTTTAGAGGTGGCACCAATTGCAGCAATTACCACCGATGGGGTCATCGAAGAAAGGTAGATATATATCCCCTTATCTCAGACAGTATTTAAAGTGATATTTAATGGCAGCACGCATAACTTCGAGGTAATTGAGGAAGCAGCACAGGAACAGCTACAAATTGCACCGATTGCAAACACGGAAGTGACGCTTATGACAGCAAACAACGCAAAAGTGGAACCACCTATTATTAAACCGGCCCCCAATCGAAACTCCAACTCTTCGTCTAATAAAGAAGGGCTAAAACTGTTGATGCAAATTCAACAAGACAAGAACGAGCTAATGGAATCCTTTCGAGAGCTGATTGGAGTTCAATTACCGCCCCCACCCCTACGAGAGAAAAATCATGTTGATCTGTTCTTCGAAAGTGTTAGCTCAAGTGTTAAGGCGCTTTCTCCGAAGCTCGTTGCAGAAGCAAAGATGAGAGTGTCGCAGCTTATTTGTGAACTCGAGCTGCGCGCCTTGAAAGATAATGGCGAACATGGAGATGCCGCAGGTATAGAGATGCCAATGTCACCAATGGCAAATAATGGTCATCTTATGACCCCGGATACCAACGTAGACCAACGCATTGCTAATTGCTTTAGAGCTATGACATAAATCAGAAAGCCGGGCTTATGATGCAAATATATTAATAAGAAAACTAGGTATAATTTGTACAAAAATTGTAAATAGATTTAAGTGGATATAAATGGATTATCCCAAGTCTGTATTTTGAAATAAAAGAATCGATTCATCGCATGTAACGTGGAAAGCATATCGATATATAGTATATTGGCATTGCACATCAACATCGGTCACTGTCGACGAATTGTATACAAATGTACACAATAAAAACGGGGCTTGAATGCAGAAATTAAGGTAAGCACTTACACATAAACGTAGGAATAACAAATGAAACATACGTATTTACATATTTTCAGCCACGAATAAATGCATACTTACACATTTCCATCATGGCTTTCAGGCGTCATAGCATGAAATCTAAGCCGCTGCTAAATCGCGAGCAACTTTTACAGAGCATAGTGAGAGATCGCAATTTGTTAAAAGAATATTTTCAAGATCTAGCTACAAATAAATCTAAATCGGCAGAGCAGAAAGAACCATCAACAATAGCCTTAAATCAGAAAACTATGCATATGCAACAACGCGACAGCTATGATCTGTTTTTTGAAAGTGCTTGTATCAGCATTAAAAGTTTGCCGCCCAAACTGGCAGCCGAGGCTAAAAGTCGCATTTCACAAATCATAACCGAATTTGAGCTGCGTGCAATTTCCCAGCAGGAAGCGCAACAGGAAAAGGAGAAGGAAAAGGAAAAGCAACAAATCGCTAAGACCATGCGACGGGCCAATGAATCGGCACTGGAACCCTCATCAGAGATTGTTTACGAATTTCAAGCGTACAGTTGAAGGAGCTGTCATGAATTCTCTGTCAGCATATTCAATTCAGAGAGAAATTTAGTATGTCTTGGCCTTTTTAACAGGATAACATCTTAAAATTTGTAAAAAAATTTGTATAAAATTAAAACATTCTTGGACACAATATTTTGGTTTTGGAAATTCGTTAAACTTAATGCTTTTGGCCTTATTTGGAATTGCATTCTAAAAGATTGATTATGACAAAAAACCCTAAAGTATGCATCATAGGGTCGGAAGGCTGGTAAGCCACTCTCCAAATAGTTTTTTTCTCTGTGACAATTTGCCATCTTTATACGTGTTTCAGGGGATCAGCAATCGCAACTGCTGTATGCAGAAATGTGGGCAAATTTGGATTTGATCCCCAAGTGAACATCTACGTGTACGATGAGATTGTGAGAAACAACTACCTCTCCGAGGTTATGAATGAAAGACATGAGAATATTAAATATTTACCTGGAATAAATCTGCCCGATAACTTGGTAACTTCCGCTTGTCAATTTATATTGTACAATTCAATTGCCTTTTCGCATTCAGGTTGCAGTCAATGACCTTATCGATGCTGCTCGCGACGCCGACATACTGATTTTTGCCACGCCGCATAGCTTCTTGAAAGCATATTGTAATATATTAAGTGAAAATGTGAAACCGGACGCCTATGCCGTCTCGCTAATAAAGGGACTCGAGCACATTAAAGATGGAGAAATTGATCTTTATTCGCACGCCATATCCAAGCAGTTGGGTATACCGTGCTATTCAATGATGAATGCCAATAGTGCTATGGAAATGGCACAGGGTAAACTCTGTGAGATGACTATTGGCTGCAACAACGAAAAACATGCGAGTGAATTGACCAAATTGATTCAGACCGAAAATTGCATGGTTTTTGTCATAGACGATATTGATGGGGTGGAACTGTGCAATACCCTGAAGGATTTAGTGGCGCTCAGTGCCGGCTTCATTGATGGCTTGCGATTGGGCGATAATGCCCGTGTCGCTTGCCTCCACCTGGGCTTAAAAGAAATGATGCGTTTCATCAAGAATTTCAATCCAACAACGAAAGTGTCTACACTATTCGAAAGCTGTGGTCTAGCGAATTCCGTGGCATCCTCTTATTGTGAGTAACAGTTCACATAAATGCAGGAAGGGTGAACCTATTAGTTCGTCTTCGCATTTACACTACTGAGTTATCCTCATCACTTTAAGTAATACTCATTTTTTTGCTAGGTGATAAGAACGTTACATTCGCCAAGAATTTGGTTACTTCACGAAAAACAATACCAGAAATTGAGGCAAATCTTCTTAGTGGTCGCAAATTGCTTGGTCCCATCATTGCAGAAGAGGTATTTTGCTATTTGGAAAAGTCGAATTTGCACAAAACGTGAGCTTAAGAAACTAATTAAATATACATACATACTATATGTAATAACACATATTTCTTCTCAAAGATATCCATTGTTTTCGATCATACATCGCATCTGCCAGAGGGAGCGGCCACCGCATGAAATTGTTGAGACCCTCCGTAACCATCCGGACTTGTGGTTAGTATACTTGGTGTTTTACAGCAGAAGCATTGGTTGAATAATCAATCCCATTTTGTTTTAGCAATTATACCATTACCAATCTGCAGAAAGATGAGTTTGCAATATTTAATTCCAACTCGGAAAGTATTCTCGAAAATGTAGCCGACACAGTTCCCGATTTCAGTACTGTTCCAGCAGAAAGCAGCAAAAATCTTGAGAACTTAAATGAGAAACACGTTCATAGCTCTTCTAAGGACGATGGCTTTTGGAAACCATATTTAGATTATTTTAATGATGAAAACAATTCTGCAGATATGAGAAATGTTGTTCGTAACTCTAATACTATGCCTGAAACTTGTCCATCCAAGCCCGATAAAAAAAGTATGGAATTTTCCTTTGAAATGGGCTCAGCGAAGAACGATCCGGAAATTTGTCTTCAAATAAGGGAATCTCCAATGCCACAAAAAAACCTCGATCTCATCGGCTCACAACACCCTGTGAATGAAATCGCAAGTGATAGTAAATTGTCTAACATTGCGAAAGATTCGCAAAGCACTCAGCTCACTAGGTTAGAAGCGGCGAATACAGGTTCCGATAATGCAAGAGCTACTAACATCCAACATCAAGTTAGACCCAAAATTGATAAATATGCAGCGCTAAAGGTGCGAGTAATGGGACGTAAAAATTATTCCAACAAGAAGTCCGCACCGGAGAAGACAACCAAAGCCAAAGCAGAATCGATTGATAGTCAAATTAGTAATAACTCTGGAGAGCAGGCGAGGAAATATTCCGATACGCCTAAGAAATCTAAGAGTTCATATAATAACCGTCGATTTGAAGATGATCACCAAGAGGAGCCTCTTTTCGATTTTATGCGTAAAAATAAAATGGAAGAGGAGCTAAATAAGTTAAAACAATCTACGATTAAGAACCAACTTATAAGTGAATATATGGTAAATCGGAGAGAAAGTGCTCAAAATAAAAACGATGGATTGGCAGAATATTCAGCGGAAAACATCGTGGGAAAGAAGAGTTCACATCCCGAAAGCTTCAAATACGATTATAAAATAAGTATTAGTTCCAAAAAGGTTCCCAGCAGTATGAATTCCGTAGCTGTAAGCAAAGCTGAACTGGATGGGCAGGATAATGTGAGCGAGAGCAACATAAATCCTTCTAATTGGGAGCAACTGAGAAAGGGCAAATTAGAGTTCGATGAAAAGCTGCCCAAGTCGCTTTTGTTGAAGCCTATAGCATTTAGAATTAACACTGGCGGTTCAAAATCAAAAGTTAATGTTGAGGTACGCAAAGCAGATAAGGTAAAAGATTCCATTTTTTTGCCTGACGCCAAGACTGAAAAGCCGACAAGTCGTGTAAATGCCAATGAGTTGCCAAATTTGAACCATAGCGTTCAAGCCGAGCCGGCAGTTGATAATCAGCAACCACAATACATTGATGAGAGAAACAGAAAGGATGCTCTTCCGCAGATAAGTAAGAGCGAGAAGCGTATATCTTCAATGTCTCCTCGATTGGCAATCGAGGAGCTAAGGCAGCTGGACATATCGGAAGAAAATGCCGTTGCTGTGAAACCCAAAGGTTCGCCTTATTCAAGCCAACAACAATCTAATGATAACAAAAAGGATAAAAATACGAGATTAATCAAATTCAATTATGACGAGGGCAAATCTGTTTCGCAATCGGAGCTAAGGGATACCAAACTCCTTAAGAATTTGGAAGCGGATGTGGAGATGGTTATTCTAGATAACGAGATACCCAAAGAAATCGAGTTCAAAGACAAGTCGGTGAAACAATATCGCAAGGATGAGAAGATGGAAGAAGAAAGGGTTCAGAAGAAAAGAGAATACAATCAGAACGATAACGAATGTACATCGAAATCGAAAAAGGAACAAAAAACAAATAAAAAGGTTGCGCAGGATCTTTTGGATGAACAAGTACATCAAGAGTCGGAAGAAGCTAAGAAATATGCTCAATATTTGCAGGTCAGACGTAGAGATCCTATAATTAAACGTCATCAAATGGACGAAGATAAAAGCTTGCATGCATTCAATTCAGAGGATCCACGGTCCAAATATCTAGAATACGATGTGTTACCAGATGACAGAGAGAATAACAAACTTAAAGAGGAAATTCAATTTAAGAAGCAGACACATGTACTCCCCAAGAATAGAATTCGTTCCAATAGTAGGGTTCAAGAGAAAGCTGAAACAACGGCAAAGGTGGCTCCTGTTAAAACTGCAAAGCATACATCAGAATGGGATTGGTTGGTGGATACTGAAAAAGTTGATAACTTAGTCGAGGAGAAAGAACAGAAGAATCAACACGAAGATCCCTCCAAATATCCCCCCAAATATCCCCCCAGATATCACCATTTGGTTGATTTTATTTCCAAAGAGGAGATAAATGTAAATAAAGTTAAAGAAGCCAAGAAATTAGAACGCAACCTTAAGCTGAAACAAAAATTGAATAAGAAATCTGGCGCCCAGGTCGAGGAATCGCAAGCTCAATTCAATGAAATGCCTCGGGAAGGTGAGTTCAAGGTATTGGATAGACCCAAGTTTACATTGCCGGCAAGCGCTTCACCGGTAAATCCACAATCGAGCGATAAACGGCCAACCGAGTTCGGTTATTCAGCACCGACAAACAAAACTAGTGAATTAAAACATGTGGAACTATCCCATCCGCCTCGCACAGAGAGGGGCCCAGAACAGGTTCCGACCGATAAACATTTAGATGTTTCAATCGATTCCAATCAATTGAGTAAACGTGGGGCTAAAGCGCAGCAAAAACCAATTTCGGAAAGAACCATTCCCAAGCGAATGGAGTCGCAACTCGGTAAAATCAGCAAACGATTAGCAAGTATCATGACCAAGGGCCAGAAGGACACAATCAATCATAGAGAGCGACCCGTCGCCTATGAGGGCAACGATCCATATGGCACAGACGAAGTTGGGCATACCAAGACTTCCTATAGCAACATTGGCGCACAGGATAATAGCAACAAAAAGATTGCCGTCAAGCCATTCCATCCGCCGCTCAATCCACGCGTTCGGATACCGCGCCCGCCATTCGATGTGCGAGATCAGGAATACCACACTATTAACTACCGACCTCAGGCTGAGCTGCAGCGCAACTCGATGTTGCCACAGATGCAGTTGTCGGTTGCATCTCAGTCAATACATGCGAGCGCTAATGTTACAAAGCTGCCCCGTCCCGTCTTAAAGCTACCTCCTTTTATGATGCGATCGTCTGTATTGGCCATAGAACTAGGATTTTTTGCCGCTTTACTGTCTCGCTATAGAGGTGGCTGCAAGTAACCTTTGGCTAATTACATCAAATTGGTTGAATGAATAACTCAAAATTTATACAGACAAAATTTCTTTCTTGGCAATAAATCCGTTTAACGCATAGTAGTTTAGGTAGATTTAAAATTTATTAGGACCAGACATACGTTTCGGCGGGGGCCCGACGTCGGAACACCTGACGCGCCTCCAGCGACTGCAGTGGTCGAAATGTGTGCAGCAGCGGTCGCCCTCGGCGGTCTCTAAGTTGCCAAAACTTCGGCAGCTCCAAATGCGAAATGGGCAACACCTCGGCAAACACGTGCCACAGCACAGACGGCGAGCATGGGGGCGTGGTCAGTGAGCCCATGTAGGCATAAAAGTTGCCCCTATCCAGGTTGCCAAGCAGCGATCCGAGTGTCAGGAAGGCAGGTGGGGTGTAGCTGCTATTAAAGTTGCCCAGGTGCAGCAGCGAGCCAAAGATCTCATTGAGACCGGGCTGATAGTACGGATAGCTGGTCTGCAAGCGACAGCGATTTTATATGCTATGTTTATGTGGACTCTAGGCCTTTTCACTTACACGCACCACCTTGAAGAGCACAGCGAGTACGGCCAGGCCATCGGTTTGATTTCTGGCCTCCTCGTCGCTCTGGTATCTAGTATTGCGGTGCACGATGTGCATTTCCAGATCGTAGCGCCGTCCGTTCAGCACGTGCTCGGAGCCCTTGCGTTGCGGCGAGCCCCAATGAAAGTGCACAGCCATCGCCTCGTAGAAGTCGCCCAGGAGTCCGCCGGTGACATAAGGACGTTCCCCCAGCACAGTTGCCGGCACTTTGAACTCGACTGCACAACAAATCAAAGATATCCATGAATAGGGCAAATACCTTCCTGGTCTAGCCCACATACCTGTATGTCCATTATTTCGCACACTCAAGAGCTCATCGAAGGGCTGCTCATAGTGGCCAAAGTGCAGCGGCGGCAAGCCAATGGGTATCGCCTTGTGTGTGCTCAATGGGATGGGCGACTGATAGGCACCCCCACATTGGGGATAGCTGTTTTGCCAAAGGTGTGGATCGTCGTAGCTGAAGCGCAGACCCTCCGGCAGCAAATCTAATTGATGATATAGATATAGATTGCAGGAAAATGTCATTTGTGGATCATCAGTGAAATGGAAAACTATAAAAAAGTCCTATAAAGAAAGGGAATTATGGTTCGGCTGGGACATCTTATTCGGTTCTGATTTCGGATTGCATCAACTGAATTATTTTCTAATATATTTCAATCTTGACCAACTCCCAATTGCCTAATTTTCTGACAGATCAGTTGCGTAACTCAGCTGTTGAGGCCTGCTGCAGGTCATCAGATGAGGGACATGGATTATCTCTATAGTTGATCTATAACTGTCACCATCCACAGCTTAGTTGGCCAATCCCAAGGGTATTTAATCACAATGGCTAACTGCTTTGACTCAATTCCCAACTCTCAGAGCCAATTGTCTACTGTAATTGTCCAATTTTTGTGGAGAAGTCGGGCAAAAGGCTAAGATATTTGCGCCATCTTATATAACCCTATTGTAAACAATAACAGCGCTGTGACATCTTCCATGGTTATTTGCTATTCGTAAAGCATTTGTGCATGCAATTTTAATTATTGTTATTATTTACAAGCCACTGCTTTGTTTACTATCCATTAGTTGTTCCATGCGTGTGCGTCACTCCCCCGCGATTTGACAGTTTTATGAGTGCTTAAAGTGGCATTCGAGAGTACTAGATTAGAGATGGCTCATAAATTCGCCCAGTGCGTAAGGTGCATGTACCGTTACAGATCGTAAGACCCATTGAACACGCATACACATACACACACGTATGTGGTCTTGTGCTGTCAGCACTTATTATACAATTGTAAATGACAGTCGTAGATATTCTATGGACACACTTGATTGATTTGTGGATAGAGCTCCCAATTTAACAATAATACCTACTCGCTGAGAAGGGCAGCAGAAACAGCAGACGCTGATAGAAGTCGCCAATTGCCGGAAAATGCATTCTGTGCAATTATATTGTCAATTACGCACAGACGTACATAAACTCTTATTCACGTCTAAATCAACTGATGTTTGCAATCGTTATGTACACCGGCGACCCGACCAAGAGGCTCACGCACGTTGAGCTGCCAACTGAGCCACGCTCATGGCTGGCTTAGGCCTTTATACGGATTCGTGGTCTCCGACAGCCCTTCGTCAGAGTCGAGATCTTTTGGGAAATGCCATCGGCTCTGGGGGGTGGATGACTTGAAAGTTTCTTTTTTTTACGCTCGATTTCTGCGGCTCAAAGACAGCGCCAACTTACAATACCGAAATGAGTTGACAAACAGACAGTTATGAACACCCACATAATATTCAAGGCCTTAAGCTGGGCATTTTTGGCAGCTGCACAGCTTCCAGAATTGCTTCTAGTTGAACTTCTGTGTTTACTATCAAAACTCATTATAAAAACATTCAGATTACATCGATGACATGCGAGAATTCCATGAAACTAAGCATTAAGCTTTATCTTTAAGAAATTACAGTTGTTTCAGAGAACAAAAATGTAGGCGACTAGAAAATACCCTAACCCAATTCAGTTTTCAATTTTCTCCTTTTCTTTATTTAATGTCTAAATTTATCGATATAGCACAGCAAAAAGAGCATTAAAATTTAAGCAGGTAATAATATTTATATTAACAAATTTTAACATTATTTGCTTTGATCTCATCCTAAGACAGCAGCTATAACTGTGCGAGGTACATTGCAAATAATCTACCTTTAAGTTGCATACCATGCCTAGCTATAATCAAGTAAAATTCTAAAACAAATTCGAACTGAAGTTCATTTTTGGGATCCATGGGAAAACACAGTCATTCGCTTCTAGCTCGACACAGTTTGAGGCAATGAAAAACTTATAAATGGGGGAAAAAAGTTGTACTGTTATAATAAATTTATAAGACTCGCGCCTTATGCCCTAATTCTAATAAATGGGAAACATATTTACTCTTAAGCATTTTAAATAAATTAAAGTGTTTGTTCAAAGGTTTTGAGCTATATATTACATAATGCAAGTCCTCCAAGAAACCAATTAATTTACCAATTTCAGAAACCCATTTGACTGATTTTCTACGTTTGCAGCACTTTTTAGCAAAAAGCTTTCGATAAGCATTTATTGGACAATTGCCAAGGGTATATTATAGCAGCTCAGAGATCAATATCAAGATCAAAGTCGAGCCAATTGTTGGCCGATAAATGTTTTTCGTGAATGCGCTGCGATTCACTTCAATGTTTATATATACGAAATCTCACAAATATTTCTCTTTCTCTCTGTTTTTATACTTATACAACAAATTTGATTTAAATTATATATAAAAAGAGCTTTTTCAAATAGATTTCGTGTGCTCAGTGGTAAAGTAATTACTTAAAAATAAAAAATAAAAACAAATTTTAAGATAATTTTAAAGACAAAATAATTGTTGTTCGTGTTTTTGTCCTAAGAATGGTATTATTTATATTTTATATTGTGTTCAGCCGTAAATATTTTAGTTTAGACATCTTTTCAAATATGTAGAAGTAGTTCGTCTCGCAGTTGGCTGACAAACACATATATTACCGTAACAAAATTAAATAACAAATTAAAATTTGTGCTTCTAAAATTGTCATAAGTTTAGATCCTGTTTATGCGTGTACATTTATTGATTTTTCGTTTGGACCCAACGAGTTACGGAACTCAATATAACAAAACGCAACAACCGGCTCAGCATCAGTTGCTGAGACGCAGCCGTTAAAAACGTCAACGCCGACGGCGGCTGAGCAGCTAATATTTTACCAATAAGAATTTTGCGCAGTACTCAACTGTGGCCAATAGGAAAACAAACGTAGTTGCGGGCAGAAGTCGTACTATATAAACAAAACGTCTCAAACAGAATAAACAGATAAATACAGAGAGAAAGAGTGCGCACAGTTATAAAGAAGAGACGCCGTAATGTGGAAAATTGTGAAAACTAAATTGTAACGTACTGACCTTATAATTGCTAATTAAAAAAAAAACAAAACAAAATCTAAAGCTACGCAAAAAGTCAACAAATATTTATCGAAACCCACACGACCAAAACAAAAACATGCGCGAGCTTTCTGAACTGCTACAATACCAGGCGTAAGTAAAATGTGTGAAAGAGCAAAAGAGAGGGAGAGGGGTGAACAGTGTGGAGAGCCGAATCGACACGAGACGAGACGAGACAAGGCAGTCACGCGAAGGCATAGAAGAGCGTCGCTTTGGCGCGCTATTTTCAGTGCGCGGTTCAACAATAAAGCGTAGATCCAACAGCAAAGCAATACTAAAATATTAACAAACTATGCCAATATGTAGGCTAATGCAATGTCAACGACAGGGACAGAGAGACAGACAGCAATAGCAATAGCAACCGCAACAACAGTAATAATAGGAAGTGCGAAATAACAAATAAAAATTTGATACCTCGAAAACGGCGAATGAGACGAGCAAAACACAGACGACGAAAACAGAACAAAGCGTAGTCAAAGCGTGCGCTGCTTTAGTCTGTCTCTCTGTCGGGCCAGTCAGCAGCGTGTACCCAAAAGCAATTATAATTTGTTTTGTCTCGTTTGGGTTTTGGCATGTGAGCGTGGACTCTTCACTTTGTTTTTTATTTATTTTTGTTATTTTCCGTCTCTCAAATTATTTCGGATATGTTAGCCAAAAGAATGTGCGGTATGCGCGTTTCAAAAAAGTATCAACTCAAGCCTCGTGGCTCAACAAAAAGTTGCTAAGCAATTCATTAGAAACGGTCTGCATCGAATACGACGACGGCTAAACAAAAAGTAAATTCGCAGTGGAGTTTTGCTCATTTTTTTTCGATGAGCTGTAAACGGTATTTCTAGTGCTATAAACAACAACAATTCTTTTAGTTAATATTCAAATATGCGTGGCGCTAGTGTTAATCATGCTGACTAATAAAACATGACCTGTTTGTCGCTTCAGGAACAGACTGATGGTCAAATCGAATCAACTTGTACTGGTGCGCCATGGCGAGAGCGAATTCAATCTGAAGAATCTGTTTTGCGGCTGGCACGATGCGCCGCTCAGTGCAGGTGGTAAGCTAACAATGCTGATAACAGTAATATACTCTTACTCGAGGGTATTCTACTTTTGTCATGAAGTTCGTAATGCTAAGTTGCTCAGCTAATACATTATTTAGTTTATACATTTATATATCTATTCTACTATCACACTGTATGCCAGTATATATAATATAATATATATAATATAATATATATATTATAATATAATATATATAATATACTATAAAATATATATAATATAATATATTTTTTCCCCATAGAGTATATTTTCGAGCCTTAAAACATTATTTCATAAATGAATATTGTATATTTAAGACTTGGTAGCTTTTTCGGCTTTGGTTTAATTGGCATTTAAAGTTATATATATTTATATATGAAAATTTATTTTGAAAAAAAAAAAATAAAAAATATTTAAAATTAAAAAAAATTGAAAATTATTGGTAAATCTGATTTTCAGCTTTTTATACCAATAAAAATTTTAATGTAAATTTTGCATTTTTTAATTTTATTTTATTAATTTTTTTATACGTATTTCCGTTCGATTTTGAAATTCGACGATTAACCTAATGAGACTCAAATATGTACCAATTGATCTATTTCTGACTATAAGATCTTCTCATGCTAATAATCGCTTTTTGTTATAGGTATAGAGGAGGCGCGCTCCGTGGCCGCTGCCAACTTGAATCGAGCCAAAATGACCTTCGACAAGGTTTACTGCTCGAAGCTTTGTCGTTCGAGGGAAACTGTCGAAGTGATATTAAGCGAAATGAAATGCTCCTTTTTGCCAATTGTATCCGATTGGCGGCTGAACGAGCGGCATTATGGCAACTTGACGGGGATTAATAAGCGCGCCCTGGCCAATGAGTATGGCGAGGAGATGGTGCAGTGCTGGCGACGCAACTACGACGGCTTGCCGCCAGCCATCGACACCTCCAATATCTACTACTATCAGATTGCCAACAATCCTGCCTTTCAGGAAGTGCCACCCACTGAATTCCCCCTCACCGAGTCCATGCGCATGTGCGTGGATCGCGTCAGCCCCGTTTGGCTAGAGATCAAAAAGGACATCCAAAAGGGTACGCGTCTGTTGGTCGTTGTCCATGGCACCATTGCCAGATCTCTGATTAAACTAATTGAAGGTATGTTAAAACAATTCCTCAACTCTTGCGACGTCTCCAAATACATTTCGCTCTTAGATATGACTGAAGAGCAGATTGAAAAGGTCAACATTCCCAATTGTGTGCCAATGATATACGATTTCAATATCAAGACCGGGAAGCTTAATGGGGGTCTCAAATATTTGGGCGATCTCGAATATATTGAGAAAATGAAGAAGAAAGTCGCGGCCATTGGCGATTGAAGATGTAAAAAGTTTGTTATAAAAGAACCAAGTATTTAACCCTAAGACCATATTATATAATTTTTGTATTTATCCGACTTTTTCGCCTTTTTTACTTTTCATTTTTATTTCTTGTTAAATACAAACTTTATCAAGTTGTCTTTTAATTTAAGATGCTTCCTCATTGATAACAGCTGATAAGCCACAAAGGGCCTCACGAGATAAGATATTTGTTAACCTTATGACTTGATGATCAACCTAGAAGATAAGTTATCATTTGAAAAAAGAAAGACAAATAAAACTTTTTGTATGCAATTTTATTGTTAATTAGTTTGAAGTGCATTTAGTAATACTTTTAGTTGCTGCCACGCCCACGCAATGTCAGTAGTAGTTCTGCTCGTTGTAGTTGTACAGCGAGTTCAGATTGTTGGGCAGTATATAGATGTCCTCGGGGCGGCCGTTGAACAGAAAGGGGCGCTTCAGGGACGTCAGCTTGGAGTCCTGCTGCGGAGCTGGCAGCGAGGCCAGGCCGAAGCTTTGCTGCGGGGCTGCATGGCCGTAGTTGGCGGCTGCAACTGGCCTGTACGGATTAGTGGGCGTGGGCGGGCGCACATTGAAGCTGCTGCCATATCCAGGTGCAAATGAGGCCAGTTCGTTGGCTGCGCCATTCATCTGATAAATGCCGGACGGTTTGCCATTGGCCAGAAAGTTGACGGGCAGATTGAAGACGGAGCCAAAGGTGGAGAACGTGGGCATGGGCTGGTAGGTGAGCAGGGGCGAGAAGCTGTTGGTAAACGGAGCCGGTGCCAGGTTGGTGGGCACAAACATGTACGGCGTGGGCGGCAGGCGCACATAGTAAATGGGCGAGTTACGAGCTGCCTGAGCAGCGGGAGGACGACGATCGCCGGCTGCACGAGACATGACCACATCCTCCAGTTCATTGCTGGCGCCCGGATAGGTGGGATAGAACATGTCCGGGGCTATGTACAGCGGAAAGGGTATTAGCAGCGGCTGAGCATACCCAATGAAGGGCAGCATCTTGGGCATGGGCATAGCCGGTGCAGGCGGTGCCATGCTCTCAAAAGAATTAGCGGCGGCAGCGGCAGAGGCTGCTGTATATGGATTCCAAGCATAGTTCGTTGCTGAGGCTGGCAAACGCGAGTCCTGCTTGAACTCGTGCAGCATTTGATACGGATCATCCTCCTCTTCGCTCTTGATGTCCTGCTGCTGCTGCTCGGCTGGCAGCTCCGGCTCATGCGCATACGCAGCTGCGGCTGCCTGCTGCTGCTGCTGCGATGCTTGCGGCAACTGCGGCTGCTTCGGCTGGGTCTGCTTCTTGACCAGCTGCGACAGATTGGCAGCCTGCGTGGAGCAGATCAGCAGCAAAGCCAGCAAAAGGCGCAGAATTGACATGGCTACGGCGTTAACTGTAAAGATATAGAAAGTTAAATTGATCAAGGAAAGTTAGTTAATTTAGAATTCCTAAGATCACGATTATCTTCAGATTCTAGACTCAATGTATTTTCCGTTTCGTTACTCGATATTGTTTAATAGAAAAAAATATATAGCTCGATTATATAGCTATATAATCTATATCTATATTATACATAGCTCTCAAACGCAAGCCGTACAAAAACTTTAACAGATCTTCTTTGCCACGCCCACAGCAAAATTTGCAAATTTAAAAAATAAAAAGTTGGTATGAAATTAAAAACAATAATTTTCCAAATTGTTGATGCCATTTAAATTCTTTTACAATTAAATATTTTTATATAAATTTTTAGTCGAATTAAAACTTTAGCAAATGATTTTTGCGCGCTTTTCCATTCACAATTGAAATGCACTTTTCTTTTTCAAAACTATTCACAATGTTTGGGCGCTGCGTACTTGTGAGTCGACGAGCTTCTCGATGTCTGAGTCTGAACAGGATTCTGGATCCTGTCGAGCTGCGCGAAAGAACGGATGAACTGCACCACAGACGCTCTGAGCTGACAATAAGTCTGAGCGCGCTTAGAAGCTGCGCTTTATATTGGCTAAGACGGCGCAGTCGACGTCGTCGCTGCGCAGGCGCAGAACTGGCCAAGCGCCAAGAGGCGAGAGCTGGCCCAAGCAGTTAGAAGCTGGCCAAAAGCTGTTGCTGCTGCTGCTGCTGCTGTTGCAGTTTCCATCTGTTTGGTGAGTTCGGTTCTGGGGTCGCTCCCAGGTGATAAATCGGCTAATTGCTGCCAGCCCAAACGTTAGCATATGTACATAAATATAATTATAATCGCACACTAGTGTCAATGGCCCCGTGTCAGCTGCACATGCAATTGCAGCAAATTAAATGAGTGAAGAAAAAAATGATCCGAGAAATGTTAATTATGGGCTCGTATGTCTGCATGCCTTGTAACTGACGCCCGCGATTATGTATTTTAATTTTTATGACACTGACGCCGGGCGGGAGGGGGAGCAGCCGAGGGCTCATTAGTCAACGATATCCAGAAAGCGATCTGCTTAGCGCCAAGCTTAAGCACCTGTGTATCTGTAACTGCAGCAGCGCCCCAGTCACGAACAACTGTTGCATAATTGGGCATAATTGTGCGATTACCTCGATGTACGAACATATGTAAGACGACTGTAATGCATACACACATCTGCACAGAGATAGTGTGCATCTTTATTGTCTGTATAATTCTTGGTTAATGCCAGCCATAAGCCCTTGCCCTGGGCCAAGCCTCTGCCAGCCACAGGTAAAGAGAAAGAGATGGAGAGAGAGAGAGAGTTGGCGTCCTATAATTATGTTGATTTTATAGACAGGCCGATAAACATAGATAGGCGCTCCCTGACTTTTGCACAACTGGGATGCTGTGCTTAATATTAATAATCTAATATAAATAATTTGTTTATTTGTCAATGCCAGCGGCGTTGGCGTTGGCGCCGGCGCCGTTGCTGCTGCGCTTGCGCTGCTCTCCTACAGATTAGGGCCATAATAAATTACATAGCTAATTAAGCGGCGACTGCTGGCGACTGTAACTGCAACTGGAGACAACCACGCAGATGCAAAGATGCAGATACAGCTGAAGATACCCATGCTACACGTTTGTGCTTGGATGCCGCAGATTGTGATGCTGCTGCTGCAGCTACTGGCAAACGAGCGACAACGGGCAGCAAGAGGGAGATAGACTGATAGAGAGAGGCTGCAACAACAATAATAATGAACGGGTGGTGCTATAATAGAGCCGAGTCAGGCCATGTTAGAGCCCAGCCCGCGCTCCTCAACGCAGGCGACGCGCCAACGTAATTAGCCTTGGAATGTCCTTGTGCACGTGACTATCACCCGACAGCGGGCTTTTTGTGCAGCTCCAGCAGCAGCAGCTAAATATAAACACGCGTGCCTGCGCATCATCAAACTTGGGCACACTTTCCTAACGAAGCCGATGTGTCGCACTAGGTGTAAATGCCGGCAATTGGAACGTACATAAAGGCAAACGTAAACGTAAACAACTATCAACTATCAGCTATCAGGCAATAGGGTTCATTAACACCAAGACGACGACGACGACGACGATGGCAACTGTTGACAACTGGACATACGCATACTTAGGCCAGTTACTTTTCGAATTCATCTTCATCCACATCATCATCATCAGCATCAGCCAGAGCAGTCGCAGTCGCAGCACATTTAAAGTAAACTACTTTTGATTTGTTTGTTTGTTTGTTTTTTTTTCGGCAAACTTTGGTTATTTGCAAAGTGCGCAAAAAAAATACATAAATAAATAACTAGGTCAGCCAGCGGCACCCATAGTATACCAGAGATCTAAAAAGAAGAACCCTTTCAGGCACTGTGTTCTATAGTGCTTAAGCAAACAAATTGATTCAATGAATAAAATACACAAAACTTGTGTCTCTCTTTGATATACTCTTACACTCCCTCAAATAAACGCGCTGCTAAATAATCGCAATTCTTATCATAATCTATGGGTCTCTGTTGTCTTAAAACACCTCGAAATAGTAAATTAGTTTAGTGATAAGCGGCAACAAAATGTTCTCAAAGAGATTTGGAACTTATCAGCAACTCATAATATTAAATAACATGTCTAAATGAAAGCTTGATTACGCAACCGATATACTCTGTTTGTGCAGTGTATAAGAGCTAAAGTTCACCTCTATTGCCGAATAATTAAAGCACTTAGACTGCACTCCAGAAACCACGAAACACGCGCCATCACTTGGCTACTTTCTTTAACCGCAAACAGGTGATTTTTTATGCGTTGCCCGGGCAATCACTTAGCCGAGCACACAAAATTATTCATTGTTTTTGTAATTACGGCATTTCTATTGACATAATTATTGTTCGTTTATTGAGCAAACACAATACTGTTCTCAGAGAGTTCAGAAGTCTCATTGGGCCGCCGGCAGCCAACAAGACGAGGTGGCCGAGTGGTTAAGGCGTTGGACTGCTAATCCAATGTGCTCTGCACGCGTGGGTTCGAATCCCATCCTCGTCGAATTTAATTTTTGGTAATTTTCTTTTAATATACAATTAAAATTGTATTGTGGCATAATGAAAGAATTTATCAAAATTGTTAGTAACTGTAATTAATTAATTTATTAAATATTTTTGCTTCATATAAAAAAAATTTTATATCGACGAGGATGGGATTCGAACCCACGCGTGCAGAGCACATTGGATTAGCAGTCCAACGCCTTAACCTCTCGGCCACCTCGTCATATGCGACCTTCGCAACTAGTTGATTACTTGATGCACAGCTTGATTAAAGAGCAAGCAGTGCTATAATATAGCATCACTAATTCTTTATGATAATAATGTATAAAATATTTATTTTCATATTAACTTTTTACTTTACATATATATACAAAATTCAATTTCTGTACATATGTTAAATATAATAACTTATTGATTAATAATTATATACTATAAAGTTGTAATAAGTGTACACTGCTTGCACTGCTAATGATTCTAATACACTGCTTTTCATACGATTGCACTGCTTTAGATATAAATCATTTCGCTCTCGCCGACTATGACTTGTAGAATCTTAGAACTACCCTTGACACGTGACGAGGTGGCCGAGTGGTTAAGGCGTTGGACTGCTAATCCAATGTGCTCTGCACGCGTGGGTTCGAATCCCATCCTCGTCGAATTACTTTTTGCAATTTCTTATTTTTACTTTAATACTATTTTTAAAATTAGTTATATACTATATTTAGGAGCAACGTTTTTGCAGCTGAATAAGTTCATAAATTAAGTTCCAATTCATAAGCCAAAACCCGCTACATAGTTTTAAATCGCTTTGCAGGCGAGATGCTTGTCTTATTTCAATTGAATCTAAAGTTTTTATGGCCACTCTTCTGCGCCACAGGGGACGTTTAATGACCAGCCCGGGTAGTGATATAAACGAAATGGGAAAAGATACATTGATAACAAGTTAAGTGTCAACAAGATGTGGATATGGATGTGAATGTGGGGAAGCTGCTTAGTAAGTGTATTCGCTAGAACCTCCTAAGTTTATTGACTTTGATCCAAGATACTGTCGTTTGCTTCAAGGTCGTCGTCTCGTCGAGCACATGCGGGAATCCACAATAATTGGGAAGAATTTGGTAGACGTAGGCGCAGGTATTTAAGCCGACCAACAAAAAGAAGAAGCAATATCTAATATACAATAACAACATTAAAAGACAATTGAAATAATGATCGTTGCTGTTGCGGCTTGAAGTAGTAAAGAGCGCTGGAGCAATTAAATTCATTTCGAATGATTTCTTTTCCATTCATTTGCGGCGACTAATTAATCCATTTAATACAATTGCCACTATCCCAAGATCGTACATAAATATAGTAAAAAATTTATAAAATGTTTGCCATTGTTGATTTTCGCCAACGGCTTTCGAGCGATAAAACATATTTCTTGTTCGTTAGTTGCGAAAACCCGTAGAAGTTTTGTGGTTACATTTTTTGCCTCCACCTGCACCTGCATCTGCAGCGGGCGACGTGTGGAAATCTCCTGCAATTATAAATCAGCAAAGGCAATAAAACTTAACTATCAATCGTTTGCTCCAATTGTCAGGAAATTGGAAAGTTTTGTGTTTAGTGCGGATATAAAGTAATTGAGATATAGTGAGCAAATCGTAAATGCAACCCGATGTGGGTGGTGTGAAAGCGACTGCTATAAAAATTAATATATATGTATAGCTAGATCTATATATATTATAGGGAAATAATTGAGAATGCAGCTAAATTCATATTCCACTGTCATATTTCTGCCTTCAAATAACTTCAAATAACAGCCTCCACTTAACTCAATATGCAGCAGCCTAGTTTTAACAGCGATCAAAGCCCAGTGCAGGGCACGCTTCGGCGCCCAGTTTAACCTTTTTGCTTGTGGTCACTTGGCACTTTCACAAAAAGAGTACAAAAAACAACAGCAAAGTAATAATAATAATAACATAAATAAATATGGCAGCGACAATGCATGGAATGCTCGACTTGTGCATACCCTGCACAATAATGTTTTTGCTCTTTCCATATCTATTTAATCATTTATGTAAATATTTTATATTTTCTATATATTTGTAGAACTTAAGACTTTATCCAACTCATATCAAGATCTGAAATTTATTTGATTTCATTAATTAGTTATCAAGATCGCAGCATACCCTGCAAAGCGATCGAGAAACATTGTATTTGTACGGCTGCAGATGAAACGCTGCTTATTTTCCTTTCGTTGCATTTCCTTTCGTCTGCTCTACAAATATTTAACTTTCAACGAAAGTCAGAGTCAAAGCAATTGCCATCCAATGCTGACCCCAATCTTGTGTAAGAAATTACTCAGAAAAATGCACACAAAAACAGATGGAACGAGATTTTTAGCATTGCATAAGACGCTAACAGCGATGGATGACAACTTCATTCCGAGTGCACAGCGCGAAAGCCGGGTGGCAATTAAATGGCGGTGGCCACATGCCAAGCGCCTCGAAATCAAAATCAAGCCAAGAGACAAAGGCCAGTTAGGCGGCTGAATCAGCTTAATCGTTTGCCGGCGAATGGGTTTAATGAACTTGCCAATTTATCGACAATAAAATGTGAAACTACTTATAATTAGGTACACACAAACACACACACCTGCACACACCTGCACACACCTGCACACACATACATATTTATGAACACATTTCAAGAGTGACGTAGCGATGGCCTTAACCTTAGCCATGGGTGGGTGTTCCAGCCATCAACTTGTACTCTGACTAATGCTAATGAAAACGTTAGCCACATAAATGGCCAATGTTCTAGACTGTCAGAGTGAAACAGTTGTTTGAAAGCCGTTTTTAATGCACTACTTCAAACACGCAAGTGCCTCAGTCAGCTCCGTCTGGCTGTCTGTCATATATTTGCTGGAGCTTCTTGATTAGTTCGTCTAGAACTTGGCATCGCCATCGCCATCGCCTTTGCCAACGTCATTGTCATTGTCTCGTGCTTCTGACTATCTATCTATATTGCTTCCGTCAGCATTAAACATATTACTCTTAACAATTCCCAGCTTAGCTCACACGAATCGCTAGATGGAACTGCTGCAGACATAAGATACGAGAGCTACTCTGGCTCTGGCTCTGGCTCTGTCTGTGGCTCCCGTTCGTGATTTGTGTTGTCTAATCGTTAACAATTATGCCAGCGCCAGATAGAACTTGCTGTTCTTGTACTTGTACTAAGCTGCGTGCAGTTAGTTAGATTAGACTCTGCAGCCATCGAGCAGGTATACAAATTCGTTCAAGCTGCTGCTGCTGCTGCTGCTGCTGGTATGCGAGAGTTTACGCACTTCAGCACACACTTTTGTATACATTGGCCACGCGTAATTGCTGACAGGGGGAAGCGAGAAGCTGTCGATGCTGATGAGCCTGCCGATGCTGCCGGCACGGCTAATTAATATTTAAAGGTGTTTTGATTGCCAATCCACTGTGACCGGGAGCTAACCAAATGCCAAATGATGTATTTGCGGTTATGTCATTTGTTTGTACAGAGCACAGGCAGTAGTAAAATAAAATAAAAAAAAAAAACGACCAAAAAAGGTTGCACTTTAATTAGTTAGACACTCGGATAGACACATGTAATTGCTGCTGTTAGAAACGTTGGCCAATTAGTGTTTGCTTCAGTTGGTGAAAGATGAGAAAGTGCTTGGTACATGGGGCGAATGGTGTTTACATAACGCCAAACAGCAGCACACTTGACTGTTGTTTTTATCATTTTAATTAGCGGCCATAAAACTAGGTAGCTGGCAACAGCGACTTAGACCAAAAGAAATGGAAGTTGGCTATCAATTTTGCTAATCACAGACGACTTCCCACTGACAGACTGGGTCAAAGTTTGGAAGTCAACTTCCACAATGGTCGAAAAGGTCAGGAAAGCGGGCCACTAACCTGGCCAACAGCACAGATCGCGAGACGAGAGACGAGAGACAAACGTCAACACATCACGCAATGGCATTTAAAATGAGCTTGGGTAACGCCTGTGGCGCCAATTCCTGTATGCAAAACTAAAAACTAAAAACTGAAAAAAAAACCCTTTAAGCGGCACACGCACAGGTCCAGCTTCAGCTCTGTGGCATGCGGTGGCCTGTCAATAACAACCTGATTTGCACAAGAGCTTCGTGTTACCCAGCAGCCTTTGTTGTCGTAGGTTCATTTGTAACTAATTTGTGCACAAATCGGAAAGACAAAAGCAGCCAAGACGGTAGCCGAGATAGCAATACCTGTTGCAGTTGACAGTTGCCAGTTGCCAGTTGCCAGTTGGCAGTTGGTAGTTGGTAATTTAATCAAAAACTAAGTACATGACTGGCCGGTTGATGATATAGAGTTTCCTTGCTCTGACACTTTCCAACTGGCGACGGCGAAGGCAATGGAAATGGATCAATTCGCCTGGTCGGCCTGTTGAATTTGTCAGCCAAGTGGCAAAGCAGAGCAGAGCAGAGCACTGCGAAGCGAGGTAAGGCAAAACCCGCAAAGTGCAATGGCAAACTGTAACAGTAAGCGGGCAAACAATAAACTAGCAAATTGATGCACTTCGTTCGGCTGGCTCATCATCAAGATCGTGTCGGACCTCACACACATCGATACGAGTTGAGCTCAGCCGGCAACTGAGCGCTCACACTTACAGCCAAGCATTCGAGCAAGTCCAAGTTGATGACGTCGCAGCTCGGCAACGACGACGTCGTCGACGAAAACAGCAGCCGACGCCGACTGCGGCAGCAAAGTGATTTTGGATTTAAGAAGAAAAAAAAAAACAAATTACACATAGTCCGCAGATCTCATTTATTTGCCGCTCTTCGAGGCGTTCACAACGTCCGAAAACAAACGCTGCGCGCTAAGCAACGTATAAAATTGAAGTTTTTGAATCCGGGAATCGGAAACCGAGTGCCAGGAGCGTGTCTAAAATCGTGATCATAAAGTACTTGACAAACAAACTGCCAGCATCCAGCATCCAGAAGCAAAAGTCAATAAAAGATTTTGAATTGAAATACTGAAGTGTCCGTCATCTGGCAATATAATTTATGCACATATTTGAAATTTCACAACAACCGCAAAGCAAGGACACTCGATAATAATTAACGGCTCATCATTGGCAAATAAATTCAATAAATATTACAGACAGCTGCTGCTGTTGCTGCTGCTGCAATCAAGTACGCGACTTATAAAGTGAGTGCAATTTGAATAAATGCCCATAAACTGATCGTTGCCGATTTGCATAAGCAACACAGTTGTTTGTGCAGTTGACAGCTGCTGAGAAATTTATAAATTAAACATTTTATGCATAAATGCGGCATAGCTGGCGAGTTCGTTGCCTAAGTCTTTCGTTGTCCCTCTGTCTTCGCGGATTGTGACTTAATTAGTCGGGTTCAACAAAAGATATAGGCATAAAGCAAAGACGACCTTGACTGGTCAAAGTATGATAATAAAAACTACGACTATCTTTAATCTTAGAACGTTTTAGAATGTGCGCTGGACACATCATTAGCCAACTCAGCGACAGAGGCAGACAAATGCTGATTAATCTTCTGGGAAATTACAGTTTTAGCAGCTCTTGTTGACTGTGCAAATTTCCAATTTTAATTTTAAACTGCTCAGTTATGTTATCTTTGTCTATCTAGCTTGGCTAACCGATTAGCCAGTTGAGTTTCTTATATCAAATTACATTGAACACTCCCACAACCTGCCAAAGTCTGAAGAAAGCTGAAAAGGCGTTTTGCTATTTTTTCTTTCGATCATATTTCATGCGGGCGTTTCGCACTGCAGCAGTTCGGTTGACCAGCTAATTATAGCTGAACTTTCTGCAATTTATCAAATTGTCAAGTTCTTCTTTATTTTGTTTGCGCTGCAAGGTCAATAGAGGGCGCCACATGCCGCGTTTGTTAGAATCGCCAAAGGCGAATTTCGCTAGAAACAAGATCTAAAGTCAATAGCAAATAGATAAATGATAGATAATACTAAATCGAGCTTATTTATGATGCTGCTGGCTTAATTTGCATAATCAGGCAGTTTGGGGGCGCAACCCTTCTGCCCCAAACATGTTAGCATTATCGCGCTTGTCTCGCTCTTAAATTGATGCCGTTTAGTCTGCGCCAATTGCCGCCGATTTTATTTGGCTTTTTTTTGTTTTGCTTTATTTATTGATCAATTTACTTTTTTACTTACTCATTAATCACTCAGGCGTTGAAATGCGCCGCCAGATGGCGCTCGCCATGCTCATTAGCGTAATTGCTCAGCGGGCGTCGACAGCGACAGCGACGTCGGTGGCGATGGTGACGTCGACGTCGACGTCGTCGTCCGCGTTTTGATTAGCGTGCATTAAATGCTTTCATTTAAGTAAATCAAATCGAGAGTCTTGAAATCTGTTTTGTTTCTTCGCTTTGCGTCTGGAACGTGAGAAACTTTACAATAAAGTGGCGAGCATTTTCAGCAAAAGCATTTCATGCTTTGATGCGCACAGCCGATTTATTTATTATTCGAATTATTCGGCATTTGTGACTTGCAAAATTGAGAAGAAAAATACAAAAAAAAATTGAGAAAAAAATGTAACAATCAAACGCTTGCCATTGCTCGACTTTACTCTATTATTCATATTTTGGTAGCCATTAGTCCATCAATCACGGCCCGAAACAATTGCGATTCGAGTGCAGGGCGTGGGCGGCTGATCCGCAGCTTGTGGACACATTTGTACATTTGCCTTGACATACATGTGTGTGTACTTAATGAGCTCCACTTCCCTCTTTCTCTTTCTCTTTGTTTTTTCTTTGACAGCATGCCATCTCTGTCTTCGCTGCTGGCGCTGCTAGCCCTGACCACGCCCAGCTTAGCCGGCAGCTACTCCTACAATATGCGCGGCACAGACGTTGTCGGCCCCGCCAGCGGCACGCCCCCACGTCTGGTCAACAAGCTAGTGGTGCAGTCTCCCACACTGGACAACCTCTACATGGACTACTTGGTGACCTCGCACCCGCTCAACCTGCGCAAATACAACAAAAACGGCAGCAAAACGAAGAAGACCAAAAAGGACTCGAAAATCTACTTCATACCCATACCGCCGCTACCGTATCGCTATATACCCGGCGTTGGCTACGACTATCAGCCCATGAAAATCAAGCCCATACTGGAAGAGGCGCCCAGCTCAACGACCACGACCACGCTAAGGACTACAACAACGACAACGTCGCCCAGGCCAACAACAACAGCAACTCCCATGACCACATCGACCACGCAGAGCAAGCTGCTGCGCGTCCAGCATCGCAAGGATTACTATTTCAATGGACGTCCCTTCCGGTTGCAGGTGGCGCGTGCCGACCACAGATCCGCACTGACGCCCCTTAATCTTAAGTCCAAATTCTATTACAATAAAAACATTATTTATTAATTCAATTAAAGCGCGACTTTTGCTCTAAGCTGTGGTTGAAAAGCTTTTGACACTTCTGCAAAATATCAAATATCAATAGGATCGGATTTCTATAAGCTCTTTCGGCTTTTCATTAAGAGTTTTGAAAGCTAAAGTGCAAATATCAAAATAATAATGTGAGACTTGAATTCGAGATTAATCTGTAGACCTTGCAGCAGCCCAGAACAAACTGAGCTGCTATTCACTTTCAATCTAAAAGCTGTGTAACTGTTAATGTTACTCCTATTTCTATTTATTTTATTATTACTGTCAATATATCAATATCTATAACTGATCTAACAGTTCTATATGCTTTGGCAGCTGGAGTTCGCTTTAAACTCTTTTAACTTAATCGTATCATAATTACAGAATAATTTGGCCTAAAGCTTAGCTATTTTTTGGTCAATTGGCTAGGCTTATAGCAAAATATAAACAAACCAATTTGACTTACAATGCGAAGCGAAGTTTAGGAAGGAAACTGGAGAAACGAAGAAATATCGTTCGATGGAAAGATATGTAGCTAGATAGATAGAAGGTAGAACGTAGAAGATATAGAGATAGAAGAGATGGAATATGGAAGGTATAAGATATAAGATATAAGATATAAGATATAAGATATAAGATATAAGATATAAGATATAAGATATAAGATATAAGATATAAGATATAAGATATAAGATATAAGATATAAGATATAAGATATAAGATATAAGATATAAGATATAAGATATAAGATATAAGATATAAGATATAAGATATAAGATATAAGATATAAGATATAAGATATAAGATATAAGATATAAGATATAAGATATAAGATATAAGATATAAGATATAAGATATAAGATATAAGATATAAGATATAAGATATAAGATATAAGATATAAGATATAAGATATAAGATATAAGCTCTCCGCTCTCCGCTCTCCGCTCCCCGCTTGCGCGCTATCTCGATCGCTCGTTCCCCCTCTATCGACTCTCCCTATCGATCTCTACCCTGCATGGATACATAGATAGATGTAAGATAGAAGACATTTATAGTTATATAGTTTATATAGTCTTAATACATTTAGCGATTTCTCTCTTTGTTATTTATGAAAGCTGAAAGTGTTCTACACTTAACCCACTTCTCAAGATATATAAATATATTCATAAATAAAATAATTGCCCAGCTACTAGCTGAAAAAATTGTAAAATATATAATGCTCAATAGACATACAACATAATGTTATCTACCCTGCATAAACCAGTTGCAAATGACCCATAATGGACATCATTATTTCATAGCCAATCATGACCACCTGTGGAATGCCTCCCAGCATAAGCACATACATACACACACATATAAATATCTATATATATCCATTCAATCTGCAGAGATTGAAGCAAGCCATAACTTAAAAAGCATTTAGCAAAAGTAATTACTGTCGGCATTCACACAGCATTCGTCCGAACGTTGTGCAATAAATAATGAAATGATAACAACTTGAAGATTCATTTTATTGTGCATATTAACATAACATATTAACAGATATGGAATTTGGCCAGAAACCAAATATGGGCAATTAGAAAAACTTCTGCGAAGCTTTCACTTCAAGCCAAACTTATGAAAAATCACGTGTTGATAAAATTCATTTAAATACGGCAACAACAACAACGACGACGACAACAAAATACGTGAGAAAAGTCAGTGCTCAATTAAATAATAAACAGTAAAAAGCAACGTTGCTTAACGGGGAAATGTGGCACGTTGCCACAACAGGGTGCCAAGCAACTGATTTATTGAACAAATTAATTCCCATACCCCCAACAACCTGGCCCAACAACAGTCTCATTGCAGGGCCCCACACACGCACACGGAAACCCAGCAGGCAGAGGTTCTCTGAATTTAGTTTGAGATTCTCAGTCACATCATATCAAATAGATATACATATAAATATATATAAATATAAGTCTTTTTGACGCTCTTCAACATGAGCGAAAAGGAGGCATTGCCGACAAATGTCTGCAACATGCAGCTGAATGTGCCGCATCCACAGCGTCCCAAGGTTCAGGCGATTTGTGGCCCAGATTATATGCCACGTAGCACCGAGTCGGAGGAGTCGACAGACAACGTGATGACTCAAAATGTGACCGTTAAGTTTTGCATATCGCCGGACAACTTCATTGCTCAGGTCTATCCTAACAGCATGACCATCAACGAGGTCAAACAGGATATATCGCGCAGATTTGAGGTGGATCCGATGCTGCTGCTTATCAAGCAGGATGGTCACCTGATCTGCAATACTGTGCCCATTCATTCCACCATTGCGGATGAGTTTGGCATACACAAATTTGACCTGGAGCTTGTCATACCAGAAGTCGGCGAATGCGAGGAGATACCCCAATTGAGTTTGCGCGTTTACTACGAGTGAGTAGCGAGGGGCGTTTGTTGATTTCTAATAAATGAGCTAATGATGTGGTAATATTCGATCTAGAAAATATCGTTTGCCTGACTACGTGACTGTTCACATATCCGGCGAAGATACGGAGGATGGCCAGCCGAAGAATATTGTGGTCGAAATCGAGAATGCGGCCATTGAAAAGCCCTTTCTGTCCGGCTACCAGGATAAGGTAACCGGCAAAGAATTCCTAGATGCGTTTACTCAAACCGGACCCTACTTTGATAAATGGAAATTTAAACGCTATCGCACACGCGATACCCAAACCCTGGAGCACAAAGAGAAGATTTTGGTAAGCAGCCGGCTAAGCCCATATGGAGGTACCTTCAGTACTCTAAGCCCTTTTCATTATTTATCATAGAACACAGCACATGAGCAGTCGGTGCAATGTTTTCTGGACGACATCAACGTTAGATACGTGGCAACGGCAGCAGAAGTCGAAATCATACCCGGAAAATACCAATCATATGCGCAAATGGAACGCACCAAGCGTAAGCTCGAGAAGATTCTATTGATACAGCGCAACTGGAGGCGCTGGATACTCTGGAAATATATACATTTGTGTGCCCAGGAATACAGGTATACAGGTAAGCTCTATGGAAGATCGTTTGATCATTGTCTTCTGCTTGTATTGGCAGGCGGCTGGTTAAAAATCGCATTGATGAGGACGAACGTTACGAAAAGTGCGTGGAGCAGCGAGTGGAACGCAAAGAAAAGATTAAACAGTTTCCAAGGACCGCTGATGACTTCGATTTGCTCTATGCGGAGATCTCGCGCTGGAAACGGGCTGAACTCAAGCGCATTGCGGCCAACTATGAGGGACCTGCCCGGATATCCGAGGTCAACATTCTGCTGGACAAGGAGATCAACTTGCTCAACGGTGTGGAAAGACAACGTCGACTCGTTTACCTGGCCATGGAGGACTTTCGCAACGATCAGCTGCTAAAGCAAATGGGCAAGCCACTCGAATGGATTGGCTACAACGATACCAAAATCCATTTGGACTTGTTGCGTACGCAACGCGTGCGGTTTCTCACTGAAATCTATAAGGATTTACGTAAAACAAAAGAAAAACAGAAACGCTTGGAGCTGTTGAGTCGCGTCATGGAGTTGGTTATGGAAGAGACTTGCTTTCCAGGCTTCGTTGAGGTAAAGCTGTGACATTGAGCTATTTGTAAACTGTAAACAAATTTCAAATCTTTAGCTATTCGATCTGTTCGATCGTGAAAAGAACTTGCTCCTGTATACCAAGTCCTGCGACGTAGAAATTCTTCGCAAACGCCAAAACATATTATTCTTTGAGCTGATTAAATTTCAGAACAATGACAGACCCAACAGTAAGTATTTATCAATTAGCAGATTTCGGAACATATAGTAATTTATCGATCTCGCAGGGTTATCCTCGCACATGTGCATCGTTTGTAAGAATGTCAAGCCTTATGCGCAGTTTGCAATGCGTTCGCGCCAGATTCACGTCGATACTTGCAAGCGTTGCTTTTACCTTAAGGTATGCTGCCCTCTCAGTCTGCTTAGCTTTATTACTAATGCTTCCTTTTAGATGGTGGCCACAGAGAATAATGTTTATCAATCGATTCTACGCTGTATTCAGCGTGACGAGCGCAAACGCAAATGCGCCTCATCCTTCGCCTTTGTCATACAGCAGGAAGATGTGCGCCTTTTGATAAATAAAATCTGGCACGGTCACTCGGCGCTGAGCAAATCGGAGGATATAAATGAATTGCGGTAAGCATTCTCTTAAAGTATGGATTAATTGGATTTTTGGTATTAAACACACGTTCCGTTAGTTTACCTCGCTGGAACAAAACCGATGATTGGTCGCCATGGAACTGCATTTGCCTGACAGAGCGTGAAACGCGCGATCATTACAAAATCGAGGAGTTGGAAAAGGTTTACGATTCCAAGTTCATACTGCATGTTCGCAATAGTCATATGCTGGCACGCAATCTATTCCACACGCTGGCTGCTGTTGCCGTAGAGTTCCAGGAGACAGGAGCATGGTGGAAGGTGGGCATGAATAAGCAGCGCAGCAGCCAATTGAATGCAGAATAATTTAGAAAGCACAAGAAAAAAAAAAACAGTTAAATACTTTATCAAATTAAAAGTTTTATCCGGTCATATACAAACAAGTCTACTTACGCCAATTGTATATTTTCTCTTATGCAGTTATTTGATTATTCTTAAAATTACAATAATCAAACAATTTGAATTTTGATAAATGGGACAATTCTATAACTGAAATTATTTACTAACAACGGCCTTAAACTTTGCCTCCAAATACTGGACGCGCTTCAGTAGTTTGTCACTGGTGCTGAACTCGCTGTGTGGCACAGGTATAATTTGATAGCCACTCTTTTCCAGCAGATCGAACGCTAGATTCGTGGAGCCGCTTGCACTACGATGCGTTCCATGGCATATGTCATGGAAATCAACTACCATCAGGGCGATTCTAAGAGTGTAATACACCGACTATGAAAATAGGCTCATAATTAAGTTTCATATAGTAATAATTACTTAATAGCTTCAGCATTCTGATTGTCCAACGGAAGCGGATTACGTTTTGCATCAAATTGGCATACCGCATCTAAAAATTTGAGATAATGTGAAAATTTCTTTTCTATAGTGTTTCAGTGCACTTACCAATTAAGAAGCCCATTTTACTGTCGACCGAGCTTTGCATATGATTTACGGCAGGCAACAGACTTTTTAACGCATCGAGCATTCCGTTGACAAGAACCTGCTTGGACTTCGTGTGCGCCATTGGCACATCATAGGCTGGACAATCGGCTGGTAGCAAAGCGCCCTTGTAGTCGCTCAGGCATAGTTGCGCATAACTATTTAGATTCAGTAGCCTCATCTTGGATGTTGCCGTTAAGCCGGCCTTATCACTCTGCAATTTTGTCAGGAATTCCGTGCTGAAATGTAGAGCTAATTAGTTCAGTTGTTTGTAAGCAAATCTCTTATAAGCACAACCTCAGAACAGACTCTAACTGACTGTGCTCCACAAGACCCAGCAGCGTCAGTGACCAAACATAGTTTAGCCAATCCGATTGCTTTGTGAAATCCTCACGAACAATTGATCTTGCCAGCTTTTTACGTACATCCTCCAAATGTGCACTCTTAAAGTTAAGCAACGCAGATGTAAGGAAATAGGCACTCAGATCCTGAGGTCGACAAATTTCACTGTTGTTCAGCAGCCACTGTGTCAGCGATTCCAATATGTCTGCAATGTGAATACATTAATTTGTGTTAACATGGACACCGTGAAATTTCTTTAGTGCTTACCTAAATCTCGATAACGCATTATGCCTAGACTGGTGAGCACGGATCCCACGACAGCCGACCTTTCAGTATTCTTTGGCAAGGCGGTCTGCACATCAGCACACACTTTCGCACCAAGCACAGAGTCCTGAAAGTTTAAAGTAGACATGGCATACAACACATCGGCAGCTTGCTTCAAATCTAATTGATCTGAGGAGCTGCTAATGTTAAACGCTAGTGAGCGCAGCAATGGAGTGCTACGGCGCTTGCGCTGTGCCAAGGTGCTCATCACTTTAACCATTTGCGGAAGACTTATACTAGCAATTAGCTTGGCAGCTTCATCATCTCCAGCTACACCAAGAACTGTGTTAAGGTCGTCGGTGCGAAAGCCTGAAATGCGCTTTGAGGAGTTGTTCGTGCCACCTCCAGTGCCATTATTTTTGCCATTGGTGTCATTCTTTGGCACGGTGCGGCCTAGCATTCGACAAACTCGCAAAAATCTTGTATCGTTCTCAAATTCAGATATTTTCACACGATTGACGGTGCTCCATTCGGCTAGTATTGAGACAATCTTCAGAGCATGTTTGCGTGAAAATGCGTTGTTGTTTTCGGTTATCGCCAACAGACCATTTACAGTTTTGGCATTGACGATGCGTTCATCTATATTATTAACGGCCGGCGTGGTGCTTGATTTGTTCGTTGTTGATTTTCCACTGGATTCATTTTCACTTCTCAACGATTCAAAGGCTGCAGCAACCATATGACCTTCAAATGATTAAATTGTCAATAAGAACTCATGATATAACTATTTATCACATACCCGTAATCTTTGGTTTCTTAGCAGTTGCGTCCGCAGAAACCGTACGCGCTTCCGCCTCTTCAGATGCACCTGATCCCACTCCTTGTCCATTACTAGCCGCCGTAGCAAGTGCCGCACTCGCCGCACGTGCATTACTGCTGTATGTTGCGCCTCGATATAGCTGAACGACAATTCTGCCGGCAAATCGCTGTAGTCCCAACATTTTCACTTATGTTCCTTGTGTATCCGTGGAGTGCTGGCGGCTAATCTTCACGCTGTAAGACCAATGAAGTTTACATAACCTTTTTGTTTACATTTTACAATTTTTGCGCAAAAAACTGAAGTCGGTATGAAACAGTGAGATGATAACAGGTGACGATTTAACAGAAAATGGCTAAATATTATCGTTATGATACATTATTAATTTATTTTAAGCAATTATTTAAACTTTCCTATTTCCAAAGTTCTGCACCTCCACAGATGACGGCAACCTAACCCCAGTGTTGTACAATATTCTTATTGGAAACATATCGATACGATTTTATTTTATCGATATTTATTAAGTAACTATTTGCACCACTGATACCTAAATACACATTTACAGCACTGTCACGCAAAGTATTAGCAACACTGACGGGAGACAGCTCACCAAAATTCTGCCTGCAGAGTGCAGTGATTTTACTTTGCATTTTCGTTTAAATTTTATACTTATTATTTGGCTTATAGTAAGAAAACGTGTACAACTACATGTAACTCGTCAAAACGCGATCTTCGTGCAACAATATATATGCATACGTAATATATATATATATATACAACCCAAATAAAAAAAAAAACAAGTTTTGCTAGCCAGCGACTTGGCAAGTTTGTGTGAAAATTCCAAAGCAGAAAATTAAGTTGAAATGGTTGATAAATTTATCAGCATGTGGAAAGTGCGCGAGTTGGCGGACAAAGTGTAAGTTTTCCAACAATATTAGTATACATAAAATAGGAGTATAATAAAAGATAACAACAAAAAAAGCATAAGTAGATGGAGATTCCAGCACTCCCACGCCCTTCGCCAACAACAACTCACCCCCACCCCCAATACCTGTCTCTTTCAATATACAGGTGCTACAAATGCAGTCGTGCCAAAAGTGATATAGTTTTGCTTATTCTCCACGTTTATGGAAGAGCGATTAACGCTGGGCTTTGTTTGCCGTTGGCCGCTTTTTTGTATTCAAGGTTATTCGTTTTGTCGAGATTTGATTGTACGTTCGCTCATTTCACAGTAATACCAATTCACATACATATGCATTCGAATATTATAAGTACACGCAAACACATCCGCATGTAAATACATACATGTTTTTATCAAGAAAACATTTTGTTTGCTTAACGTACTGCCCCAAAATAAGATATGCATTCCAGCTGTGCTAACATTCGTGCTTCCACCTGACTTTCCAGTGAAATTTCAATTCCAATTTCAATTCCAATTCCAATTCCAATTACGAGTGCTTATAATTAATTACTACCTTTTATCATAATTTACTATCGATGTCATTTGAGTTCTGTGCGTGTTCAGCTTTCAGTTTTCTCCACGAATGTGGAGACCATTTCCGTTGCTTCGCTTGGCCGCCCCAATTTTGTTCGTAAAATATAAATACGGTAGCTGTAAATGCCTTGGTGCATGCTCCAAGTGCGTTAAAGGCTTATCTCCAGCTGATAAGGTTCTGTTGTGACAATTCACACTTTTTGTAGCATGTTTGGATGTCCATAAACTATTATGATATATAGTTGATAGACCAGAACTTCTTATGAGATGAACTGAGCTGAAATTTAATTTTCAATATTAAATATTAAAGCATCAATGATTAAGAGAAGAGGGAGGAGTCCGCATAAAGTAACTGTCATTTCTAGCCGTGCTCAATTAAGTTTCAATATTACACCTCTATGAATTCAGTCAGCCCTATGCGGGCTTTTGTTTGCTGTACGTCTCGTAACTCCAAAACTTTGATCAGCATATTTAATGGTTTTTCCAGTTTTGTAACTATTTCGCCTTGGTATATAATTAATGGTAAACTTTAATTTGGTTTCGTGCAGCACCAATGTCGTAATGAATTACACAGAAATAGAGGGAAAGGTGCGCGAGGCGACTAACGATGATCCGTGGGGTCCAACAGGTCCGCTCATGCAGGAGCTGGCGCATGCTACATTCTCCTATGAGACCTTTCCGGAAGTCATGTCCATGCTTTGGAAACGCATGCTGCAGGACAATAAAACCAATTGGAGACGAACATATAAGGTAAGGAACATCTTTTGGTGATTACTTATAAATTTTAATGAATTAACCCACTTTTAGAGCTTGTTGCTATTGAACTATTTGGTACGCAATGGTTCGGAGCGCGTGGTAACGTCGTCGCGGGAGCACATCTATGATCTGCGTTCGCTGGAGAATTATACGTTTACGGATGAAGGCGGCAAGGATCAGGGTATTAATGTTAGGCATAAGGTACGAGAGCTTATAGACTTTATTCAGGACGATGATCGTTTGCGCGAAGAGCGCAAAAAAGCCAAAAAGAATAAGGACAAGTATATTGGCATGAGCAGTGATGCCATGGGCTCCCGCAGCGGTGGCTACAGCGGCTACAGTGGTGGTGGGGGCGGAGGCAGCAGCGGTGGGTACAACGACGGAGACTGGCGCAACAATCGCGGTGACAATTGGTGTAAGTAATTTATAATAATATTCAATATTTAATTACTCTTTGATTATTGACATCTGTTCACTTTATGTTTTAGATTCCGATAAGAACTCCGCGGATCGTTACGAGGACGAGGATACTCAATATGATGGCGAGCGCGAGGGTTCTGACAGTGATTCACCTAGTCCCAGGTAAATAATCCGATTCTTTCATTTATTAATGTACATCAATTAAAAGTTTTTGTGTATTTGCCTTTGCAGACGCAACTATCGATACAATGATCGCGCTAGTCCAGCTGAGGTGGCCGTTGAGAGCAAACCGTCAAACCTCAACATGAATATACGCTCAAAGACGGTGAGCTCGCCAGTGTCCAAGCAGCCGACATCTGTTGGCACCTCAAAGCAGGCGGCACCGCAAAAGAAAATCAATTTGGGTGCTGCGGCTAACTTTGGCAAGACGCCGAACGCGGCCGGTATTCATTCACCCACGCACCGCGACACGCCCACCACAAATAGCGTTGATCTAATGGGCGGCGCATCGCCCAGCAACAATAACAACAAGAGCAATACACCGAGTAACAATAACGATTTGCTAGATGATCTTTTTAAGACGTGTTCATCGTCACCAGTACAGCAGTCACCGAAAGTCGAGAAAACGCTTAATAGCGCTGCTGTTATTATTGATGACGACGATGACTTTAATCCGCGTGGTGCTGATGCTGCTCCCACGCAAGAATTTGGTGATTTTGCGACTGCTTTTGGCAGCGGCTCATTACCACCTTCGACGGGCATATTACCGGCGGCAAGCAATGATGAATTCGCGGACTTCGATGCATTCCAGAGCTCTACCACTGCGACGGTGTCATCCACATTAGCGCTGGATGGCAACCTGTTGACGACAGCGACGCCAGCTAACGATGCCTTTGACCTGTTCAATGCCGCACAGCCAGCAGCAACAGCAACGGCAACAACAGCCACTGATCTGCTGGCCGGATTGGGTGATTTGTCGATTCACCAGAGCATGCCAATGGGTGAGTTTATATATATTAAGCTAGTATTAATAACTAGTTATTAGGATTTGCATTAGGATATGTTTTAGCATAGATCACTTAATGCATTTAGTGGGCGTCCAATGAAACGTTTTGCATGACAGCGCGATTTGTGTATAAAAGTCCTGCCTCTCTCTCTCTCTCTCTCCTTAATCTCTGTAACTTTTGTTGTTAAGCTAGCTACCACACATAACGGTCAACATATTCCAATCGGATGCACTCGTTCTCTTTTTCTTCCTTTCCGCTCCAATGCAGCTGTTGAAATTCAGCAAGTCTCAAAGACGTCGCTGCCCCCGCCATCGGAATCAGTACGCCAGGCTCTAGCTAAATCCATTGCGAATTTGCGAGATTTAGCATGCGTGCAGAGCGCCGCAGATGTCAGCTACGTGGCTGCCACCTTGCGGCAATTGCACAACGCTGGTGCCCTGCCGGGATACACAACGCCAGAACAGCTTGTGGGACTCGATTGCCGCGCTGTTGATTGGTCCCAACTGGCAGCTGACGAGTACGCAGCTTTACTCACGCAACTGGGCAGGCTTTTCACGCGGGATTGGCCACAGCCCACAGATGACGTGGATGTTTTAAATATGTTTAAATTGGATTACAGCATTGACTATGCGGAAGTTGCGTTTGATGCACTGCTACAGCAACTGGAACGGGTGCCGAACAGTGCCGCCTCCATGCTCGCCGCTCTTGTGCAGGATCACTGCCTGCTGTCCATTTGCTTGCTGCACCTTACACGTCACCGTGGCGCGTTAATGCAGCGATATGCACGCACCATTAAAGTGCTGCCCGAGCGGCTGGTGGACGAGCACGATGCTCGGACTATGCAGTTTATACAACTGCTGATTGGGCTGCCTGGCCTGGTGGCCAACAAGCTGGGACGGCAGCTGCCCGCGATATTTGCGACCATCGCCTACGGACGACTACTGCTGCAGCAATGGCTCAGAGCTGTGTACTTTGTGCTGCAGTGCGAGGATCAAGGCGGCTACTTCGATCTTAGCCCATTTAGTTGGCTGCTCTCCCGCGTGCTTGGCAACTACTTTGATGCTTCCACCCTGGAGGCTCTGTTGCGCGTGCTCGAAGATCTTGCAGTTGCCCCAAATTCACGCGGCGTGTTGCAACAAATTTTATATAAGCTGGAGCCATCCGCCTGTTTTAAATTGGCTCAATGTGCTGTCAATGCTCAGCTCAATCTTTACGTGCTGTTGGGAACCGGCTCAATGGAGACGCAGCATTGGCAGCATTGTTTGCTCCAGAAGCTGCCTCTGCAGCGGGCGCCCACAGAGAATGGACCACTTTGCACTCTAGTGGGCTATCTCGCAGTGGCTGCAGCCACAGAGCTGCACGTGCTTTTTACGCAGCTGCTGGGCATGTGGTCCAAGAGAATCACCCTGCAAAAGCTAAGCAGCCAGGAGCATGTGGCCATATGCAAGCTGCTGGTACTGGCTGGCAAATGTAATGGCAACATGGAGCAGGAACACAAACGTCAGCTGCACGACGGGCTGAGCTACCACCTGCAGTCGCCCGACAAGGTGCAGCGATATCTGGGCATGAAGACCGTGGAACTGCTATATAATCACATGGTAAATGAACAGGCTCCAGATGAGGATCGCTTGAAATTCGATTATGCTGCTCTAGAGGAAACGCCCCATTGGCATCTTATCGAAGAGCTGGAAATGTTGGCGAACTTTAAGTATCCCAGCAAGGCGCAGTTGGATAGCAGACCCAGTCGAGAGCTGCTTCAGCGTCTCGAGCTGCACATGGCTCAGTTTATGGAAGTTGAGGAGCAGCCGCCGCGCATGCCGACTGTGCAGGCAGCCAAAAATATAAGTAAAATGCAACTGGACCTGGACTCAGATGACGATGAGACACCAACACTGCCGCTCGACGAGGACGATGAGGATGACGATGATTTGAAGCCATATGACATGTCCAATGACATTTCCAGCAGCCTGGAACAGCGTCCCAAATTTTTGATTGACCTGCTGCACCTGCTACGCACCAAAGTGGACAATTATCAAATCTTTGAAGCTGCATTGGCCACGGCTGAGCAGCTGATACGCAGCCAGTTGGCGCAGCAGGATGTCAAGCTGGCTCTGGAGCTGATGGAACTTTTCATCGTGCTCGAGATGCAGTACTATTTCGAAGACTTTGAGCGCACACAGTTCCGTTGCTGCGTGGCCATCTGTGTTGCTAAGCCGGGCGCCTGCGCCGAGCTGCTGTGCCGCATGTTCCACACGGACAACACGCAGTATGCGGCCAATGTGCGCATTCTCATACTACAGATATTGGCTGCAGCAGCCAAGGAGCTAGCCGGGGATGAGCATCAGCCGCCAACTGCTGAACAGATTCTGGACATTGTGCCGCCCGTAGCCAAGCAACCTCGCAAATTCCAGCTGCACTCTGAAAAAGACGATGCTGATGCACGTCTGGCTGCTGCTCAGCGCATCATACGCGACCGATTGCGCGCCAAGACTAAGCGTTACCTGAGCAAGAGAGCAACGCCGGCTAGTCAAGCCAAGATCAATCCGTTCCATGCCGTTGCCGGCACATTCTTCTTTGGCCTGGTGCGCGGTCAGCGCACGCGTCAAATGCTTTATGTTAAATATGAGAATATTTCGCATGACATCGATACCCAGCTGCTGGTCAACATGCTGCACACACTGGCCGTGCTGCTCATGTGCTCCCAGAACTGCCCGCTACTGCCGGCCATGACGCGCGAGATCTTCGATCTGTGCGCCTTTGTGCGCTTCAGTGCTGAGGCGCGAGTGCGTGCGGCTACGCTGCAACTATTGGGCATAGCTCTGGTCACAACGCCCGCCCACCTGTTGGTCGCCCATTTTGCTGAGTCGCTCAACGAGCTCAAGCGCTGGCTGGAAGAGTTTATGCGCTCGCCGCTCGTAGGCGGCGAATCGTCCGACGAGTGCCGCGAGCTAGCCCAACAGATTTTGAGCACATGCTACAAGCTATTCGATACAGCAACCTTGGAGCAGGGCTCTTAGACCAAAGAAGCTTTTTATTTAGGGTAGAATTAAGTGCCAAGCCAAAAGGATGAAATTTGTTTTTGGGTCGGTTTGAAACTCCAACCAACTAACGTTTCAAGAATTTCCAAATTTTTGAACTTTAATGAAATTAAATATGGAGTTGGGTTGACTTGTATACTAGCAACAAGTTTAGCTTCTTAAGATAGTTTCTATTTATTCTTAATGTAATATAGCTTACACTACTTGGATCTAAAACTAACGTTGTTTAAAAAACATGTTTAAAACTACAATTTGAATATTATATGTACTAAAAAAGAAAGTTTTCTGAAACTAAATTAAGCCAACCAGACTCAGGTTGGCTCAACTACCCGTATACTAATCGTTGAATATCTATTCTATGCTTAATATTTCTGGTCTATGAATATATTTGTCCTATACTCTCCATAAATATATTGAAATATTTTTAAATAACTTTGAAATAAAACCAAAAGTAAAGTGAAAAATTCGCAATACTTTTTGAAATTTAAACACTTGATGCTATATGCATGAAGAATACATCTGTATATAGCTATATAGTTATATATCTAGCGAGATAGCAGTTATTTGCGAATATGATTTGAACAAATATTTCTATTTTATTTCTATTCCTTTTTCCCTTTTTGACATTTTATATTGCAAACGCACAATTTGGATATGATTTATAAATTATATATTTATGTGAACAACTCAAATATCTAAATATATATATATGTGTGTATATATGTATAAATAACTGAAAGCTTTTCTCAATATACCGGGCATTGTGCCACAGCCGCGGACACACTAGGTAAACAAACAAAAACCAATAGCAATAGCAATAGCAACAACAACAGCAACGATTGTTTATTGTTAAGAAACAATTGTTTATGCAACTGCACTTAGCTGATTGAGTTAGCTCCGCCTGTCAACAGAAAATGCTTCCAATCGACACCCACCCACACACTCACCCATCACGTAATCAATTCGCTTAACAATTTGACGCACACACACTCACACACACCCCCAATGCTTTTCTATATTTCTTATGCCGATAGTCATAGCTGCCTCTAGATTATGATTTGCATATTCCCCGATTGATCCTCAAATGTTTGTGCGCTCTTTGCAGATAACATGTTGCCGCCAATCGCTGCTGTCGCCGGCGACAATCTGTTGCAGCCGATGTGCATATCCAACAACAACAACAACAACAAAAATAATAACATCAACACAAATGGGGCCACGACGTCGTTGAGCACACAGCCCACAAATGTGGGCGCCACCTGGTCGGGCAATCTGAAGGCCGGCAATTTGAACATTGATCTGGACAATCTGTTGATAAGCAAATCTGGCAAATCGAATGCGCCGGCACCGTCGATGAACACGCTGAAAACGCAGAGCCCAGCCAGAACGCAGGCGCCACTGAATGTGCAAACTAGTGGCGGATTCGCTGGGCTCTCGCCCTCACCACTGACCAGTCCCAACATGTTTGGGGCGCCGCAACAAAACATTCCACAGATGCAGGCACAGCCAGCAGCATTTGCCAACTTTGGTGCGTTCCAGCAACAACTGCAGCAGCAGCAACAACATCACAGCAGCAATAATAATTCCTCAGCGTTTGATTTGTTCCAATGATATTTATTAGCTTAATGACGTTCCACACCCACACACACACACACAAATACACTAATACACTAACACATCACACACACACAGACAGAAAAACACTTCTATGCTATCCCCTCTTGTATTGAATATGCAAATTCTGATTATTTGTTGCTAAATCGTTTGTTAAAACAAATTATAATTGCAATTGTATTATTATTGATTATGTAGCTTGAGCTCGTATTGGTTTACCTTTGAAATTTCAAACCTACCCGAACCGAACACTAAATTCCATATCCGTCCTGTTGTCACCAATCGGAGTTTAAATACTTTCGTGTGTTTAAATGTTCGTCATGAATGCAATAAAATAATATATAATTAATGGTTGTACTAAATCGATATTTAGCACAACAGTTGGAAGGAAGGAAGGAAAGAAGGACGGTTGCATTATCATTGAAATTGTTACAAAAAAAACTTATAATAATAATAATATATAAAAAATTAGCAATAATTAAACAGTTATGTGTATGTATATAAAACAAATGTATGAAAATAAAGAAAGAAATCAAAAAACACGTAACTCTGTCTAAAATTTGATTGTTTATTTAGCTGGGGTATCATGAAATACAGAAAAGATTTGTAAGTAAAATAATAGATTTTCAACTTAAGACTAAAGAACTTAGCAAAGGGTGGAATACCGTATGTGCATATACGTCATTACGCCTCCACGGCTTGCTTGTTCTTGTTCTTCTTCTTTTTCTTCTTCTTGGGCTCACCGTCAGCCTCAGCATTGCCATTATCGGCTTCCTCGCCGGCTGCGGCTGTACCATTTCCATTAGTGGTACCATTTGTATCTGCATCTGCTTGACGTTTCTTCTTCTTGTTCTTCTTTTTCTCGGACTGTGGAACATCTGTGATTTCTTGGCCAGCCGCCTCGATGGCCTCCTTCATGACCTCAATGTTCTTGCGCGGCACAGCACCCGACTCGTAGAACTTCAGGCGATCTTCCACTTGTTGTTTTAGTGTTTCGCCAAAGACGCTAGTAGGCTGCTCCAGGAAGCAATCGATACGTGAGGCAATCGAGCATTTGTTGGCCAGAAAACGCGAGATGCGTCCCTTATTCTTGAGCCCTGCACGTCCAATGAACGACGAATGATAGATTAAACCATATTTCGGAGTGTTTGAGCGCGTCTTAAGCGCACGGAAAAGTGCCTTCTCAGCGCCCAAGATTTGTACTGTCGACGCGGGATACTTTGCCAAATTTGTCAAGCTGCCGGCGTGTGAAATAAGGCGGGCACCCACCTGATCGCCTATGAGCGACTGAAGATTCGGTGCAACCAGGTTCATTTTGTTGTGCAAATATGTGGAAAGCTTCTTACGATACTCAGAAAGTTTGACGACACGCTCGGCAAAGAGCTCAATGTTCATCAGATCCACAATAGATATATCCATACCCATGGACATTTTTCCGGCATCGATTATAGCCTGAGCCTTGGCAGAGTCCATAACAATCTGCTCAAGATCTTCAAGTTTGTCCTGAGTTAGATCCTTGCGGTCTTTAATAAATTTGGCGGCCTTGGCAAACATATAGTTGTCTGGGACAATTTTCACCAGTTCTGGGAAGTGGTAAGAGTACCATTCGCGTATCCGCATAGAGAAAGTATTTACATCCTTGTCCAGCTGATCCAGCAGCGCGATCGACTGAATAATCATATTGTCTGATCGATTAACATTGAACTTGACCTTGGCACGGGAGTAGCTGTGTCCCAGACCCAGTTGTGCTACTCCAGCTGACTTGTCAGTAAAGCCTAACAAAGGAAAAAGTATGATTAGGTATTGGAAATTACTCAAAATGAAAAATTAACTTACCTTTGATCAGCTTGGCGAAGTGGAAGCGTATGCCTCGCAATATTTCGGGCACGACACCAAAGTGGCTACACGCCACGCCAATGGATTCTGTAATGGCAGCACCCAACTTGGCATCCGCAATGCCTAGGGTGCACTTCTTCTTCTTTAGCTTGGCAAAGAAATCATCAAGGAAATGCAGTAAATCCTGCGGTACAATGCCTTCGGATATGGCATTTATGTTCTCAAGTGCAGCAATTGCCGTCTTAAACGGCGCAAATCCCGCCAGTTTTATAATCGAATTAAACTTCGAAATGTCCGTGACGGAGGACTCGACTTGCGGTAGGAACATGGACACCTCTTCGAACTCCTTAACGGAGAATAGCGAATAGCCTGCCGCATGCTCATAAAGCACGTACAGACTCGACTGTAAATGTAATGAAATGCATGTTAACACATAAAAATAGTAGAAACTCAAGTTTCATTAACCAAATTTTTCCACGTTGTCTAGGGCTCATTCCCACAAGTTCTTAAATTTAAGTCAGTTATATGTATATATGTGTATATATACAACGAAACTATATATAAACTAAACTATGAATATGTTTATGATATATTTACCATATTTAAGACGATAATATGCCGTCAAATAATCAAAATATTATTATATTTCACGGGAAGGCAGAGCGCGTTATTTTTCCACGTGCTAAACAGAAAGATCAGTGTTTACACACCAAAATTATCAAGTGTGTACTCATATGAAGCATACAAATTTCCCATGTGGCAACACGAATTTTACTGTAATAAATTTAATCGCGAATCGGTTATCGAGTTCGAATTATCGATGTTGTCGGTGTTTATTGCCAGCCCTACACTTTGCCCTGCCAACAAATTCGTGGATTGGAAATAATTATAATTAAAAACTATTTTATATTTATATTTTGTATTCTAAATCGTCCAAGACGGTTAACTTACAAGAAATAACTATTTTGCTTAAGAGGTTGTCGACAAGTTTACCTTCGTGGCAAGTGAACGGCAACAATAACTGCATGGCAATGGAATTTTTGTTGTAAGTATATATATATGAATGTAGTAACTGAATTACATACGAACATATCTACGTATAATGCTCATTTTACATACATGCAAGTATGTATGTCGTGTGAACTGGAAACACTGTTGCACTTGCAACTGAAACAAAGAACACTACCCTTTCGTGCTTTGTTCAACCAATATTGTGGGTGTGAGTCAGTGGCTCCACCGTTTGTAAGTCGCCCGGGGTTGTTTGTTGTGGCATGCCAATACAAAGCAACATTTCTTTTTTTTTGTCGCCTCTAGCGGTTCACGTTCAAGCAAAACGTTTAAACCTAAAAAGAACATACCAGAGGGCACGCATCAATATGATCTCATGAAGCATGCAGCTGCGACACTTGGCTCAGGAAATTTACGCAACGCAGTCGCTCTGCCAGATGGTGAGGATCTCAACGAATGGGTGGCCGTCAACAGTGAGTAGTATAGAAGCAATCCAAGTTATGGTAACTAATTCTTGCTCTTCTCTTTCGACATAGCCGTGGATTTCTTTAATCAAATTAATATGCTCTATGGCACTATTACGGAGTTTTGCACGGAGGAAAGCTGTGGCATAATGTCGGCTGGTCCGAAATACGAATACCATTGGGCAGATGGTTTAACTGTAAAGAAACCTATCAAATGCAGCGCACCTAAGTATATTGATTATCTAATGACCTGGGTGCAGGATCAATTGGACGATGAGACACTGTTTCCATCAAAAATTGGTGTACCATTTCCAAAGAACTTTCTTGCCTCCGCTAAAACCATACTGAAGCGGCTGTTCCGCGTCTATGCGCATATCTATCATCAGCATTTCTCCGAGGTGGTGACGCTGGGCGAGGAGGCCCATTTGAATACGTCCTTTAAGCATTTCATATTCTTTGTCCAAGAGTTTAACCTGATTGAGCGACGCGAACTAGCGCCACTGCAAGAGCTCATCGATAAGCTCACAGCAAAAGATGAACGGCAAATATAGGAATCACTGCAATCGGTGGACAGTGCCACCAGTGTCAATAGCGGCAATAGCTTGCAATTGGACTTGTGATGGGCGGGCGCAACTGCGCTTTACTCTCAATTGCGTATTGTCGCTATAGATATAAATATATAATACGCTTTAGTTAGTTACCGCCTTTCCGTTTCTCGTTTATAGCTTTTAAGTTTTGTTCAGTGCTTGATGTGGTCCCACTAAAACTATCCCTGATAGTGTGCTGTTTGCGAACAATATGATGAGCAACATCTACTATATATATTTTTATATGTGACACGTACTTTTAAGAGATATATAAAGCATATTTATATTTATATACGTATGTACATTTAAAAAAGCAAACAAAATAACAAACAGCACGCATTGATACACTAACAAATCCTGCTTATAAACAACATTCTGTTCACAAACTGTCTTTTGTGTGTGTACGTATTTATTTATATATCGATCAACAGATGAGAAATCTATTGCACTGCAAGCCCTTAGCAAAGTGAGACGACACTCGATAGCCCCAATAAATGATAATAATTATAGACTTGATAAACATTTTTGATATACTATTTTATACTAATAAAGAAACTGAAAATATAATGAACGAAAAACATAGCGGCAAGTTTACTTTATTAATTCAATATTTATATCGAACTGATGATTAATATATATTACAGATTGAAATGACTACGAATGTGAACGATAAGAGAAAGCTGAACGCCTTCCAACAAGGCAAAAGCTAATGATAATGATAAAACATTCAATGAAGCATTATAAATACATGTACTTATACATAAAATAAAACAACGCCATTTGTACACGTTGTATTAACAGTGATAGTCTACAAGCTGAAAATATGCGTATACTACTTATATATATACATATATATTGCATATATGTCTGGTTGGATTCCTAATCATATTTGGCTAATCGTACGCTTATCGCTTGACTAGGCTTTTGTATTTGCCTTGCTCCACATAGAAGTCAGCGTTCTGTTCGAGCAATTGCTTCCATTTTATAGCCAACTCTTTGTAACTGGGGCCCTGGCCACCCAAGTCGATTGGCAATTGTTTGCACTTCACCATTGTGCCCTCGCGGCGCACTACAACGCGGGACCGTATCTTTGTCGTCATGAATACACTAAAACGAACATATTTTCAACACATAATTATATAAGGTTTGGATTGGACTTACCGAAACGTATTCAAAAATAGGTTAACGTGACGCGGGGCATTGGTGAACTCCAAGAGCTTGGGCTGACATGGATATGCCGTCCAACTCTCAACAGAGCGCTTAATGAGCTTGGGATTCAGCTGTAGTGCATGACCCAATTGAACACCTTGCATATCCATAATGGCAACGATGCCGCGTGCACAGCTATCTGGCTCAAACCTTACTAGCAAATCCAATATCATTTTGCTAGTCTACAAAAGGGCAAAGGTTAGAATCTATTGCATATAAATATTTATTATATGTGTATATACCTTAAACACATTGTTTTGTGTATGGCGTTTAGGATCGTGTGCTGCGGTTCTTATAATAACAACCTTTCGCTGGTGCTCATCGACCCCATCGACGGGCAAAAAGACACCCAATGCGAGCAGTTCCTGTATTTCTGGCAACATGGGATCGCAGTTGTCAAACCATTCGGTACGCTCGGCGCGCATTTGGTAAAATGTTTTTAGTTTTTTTTTTGCGCGTTCAACATCGAATTTGCAGGTGCGCAAAAAGAAATGCAAATTGTCATAGGCCTTACAGCCATTAATGTACGGATTTGCGTCTAGCCATTCCCTGAGCTCTTGTACTTGTAGCTGCTCCTTTTCCAATACCGAATCCTCCTCATTTCCCAACAATACATCGAAATCTGGCAAGTCGGCATCTATATTGTTATCATGCGAGCCCATGTCCGCTGCTGCTCGCGCTGCTGCTGCTGTTGCACTTGTACTGATCAACTGTCTGTGAGCGACTGGTCATTGCAGTCGTAAGCTTTCGGCGCCTACAAAATTTATAGCTTTTGGTTTTGCGCCTAGCGTGCAGAGGGCAAAGCATTTCAATACTGGTCAATACTGGTAGGCAGCCAGCTAAATATAGTTATCCATTAAGCGGCTAAGTGTATGAGAACATTGCATTTATCTTATATAAAAGCCCCAATCGGATTAGGGAAAACTATTTGAAAAAATACTGATTCAGCACATTTAAATCGTTGGGATAGGTCAAAAGGCGCGATTAATTTGCTAAAGTAGTGCTGGTTAATACCATATAAGAATTGTGTTGCATAAAAATCGGTTTCCATTGAGTCATATTTCAGATCTTCACGTTCTCAATTACTAAACTACCAAATATTATAAATGTATATATCGATTTGTTTTTGCGAATTAGAAAAAATACAAATGCAACAAATTAGTCACCCTTTCCTTAAATTTTTAAGCCGCTGACTGTTAATCGCAGGTATTTTATTTAAGGTTTCGCGCTAAAATTATCGCTTTGTTATCGATAAGCGCTATTATGCATGTATAAGTATCAAAATATTCATTTCTAATGATTTTGTCGGTGCCGCACGTGCGAGCTTGTAATTAAAATTTATAAATAAAAATGGACGACACTGAAGTAGTGCAAATGGATCATATGGAATGTGACGTTTGTGGCGAGCGCAAATTCCAGGAACGCGAAGGCTACTACTACTGCATCGAATGCGGCACCAAGAAGGGGCAGCTACAAGCTGTAGAGATCAGCGCCGAAGATACATTCAATGATACAACAAAACATGTGTCGCAGCGCACCATAAAGAAACCCAAAATCGAAGCAGAAGAAAGCGATATAACATCGTGGGAATTTTATAATTATGTGTTGCGCGGCTTCCTGGAGGAGCTACTCCACATGGGAGCCAAGCCAGAGCTTAAGCTCATGACGCTTCAGGTGTGGGCCGCATACATGGGACGCATGGAGGTTGCCTTCTGCAAGAACAATGAGATGGGCCTGCCAAAGTTGAATGTGCGTGCCATCGCAAGGTAAAGAACGAGGTCTTCGCTCATACGTTCATTATATTTATAATAATGTTTTTTCCTTTCAGAGACGCCCGCATTATTTATAATTACAAGAAGACAAAGCGAAAGCGTGAACGCCAGGATAAGCAATCCCAAAATGCTATTGGCGATGAGCGCGCCAACTGGCGTGAATGGCGGAAAACTAAGGTATTTTCATGCTGCTTGAGTTTAACTTTATTTTTTTTGTGTTTTATAAAGACCGTGACTCTAATTATTTAGTAGAATTGATTGGGAAGCAGAAGAGGTAATAATAGGAAGAAGGTGCGCTGCTTTGGTTTTTCTGGATCTGAGGACGGTGCGGATGTAGTTGGAATTAGTCCACCTTCTGGCAAGATACCACCTTCCACTAAAGCAGCTGTGTAGGACAATAAAAAAATATCAAAAAATAACTCAAGCACTAAGGCTTACCCTCCAATGGTGCCGCCGATGTAGGCAGCGGTGCGTAGACCATTACTAGAAGTGCTAGGCAGATGAGAGCGAAACGCAGAGACATCTTTGAGAAATTGAAATTGTGATGCTTCAAGCTAAATTGATGAACTGACATTTGTCTGGCTGAGCTGGCTATATATAGGGGTCTGAACATAAGCAAACGACTTAACGAATTAGCTAAGCTAATCAATCACCCAGCTATCTGCACTGCACTGACACCGAATGCTCTCATTTTCATGTTTTTCAGCGCAAATTGGATGAGTCAGGCTACAGGGGAAAGAAAAGCGCCCATTCGGAATCCACGTTTCAAAGCAACCAAAATATACAACTACAATGGTCAGCGAATGCCCGTAAATCCCTGAAAAAGCAAATGCCGCTCAAGCATCTGGATAAGCACAGTGTGGATAGTTCAGGCAGCATGCAATGCCACGGCCTGCGTCCTAAAGCTAGTGCTTTACGTCATTTTGATCGCCAAATTTATTCCTTGAATATAATCAAATTGTATATTGTGCTGGCCATAGCGCTTAACCAAGTTGAGGATGATATTCAACTGACTGATCTCATCAGGTTTATTGATGAGGAACACCTGACTAGTCGCTATATGCTAAGTTATTTGCCTGAGAATGTCGCCGTACACGGCAAGACGTTGGTGAAACAAATGGAGTTTGGTAACCAAAAGGATAAATGTAGCTATAAAGTAAATCTTATTCTATATATAGTGCTTTAAGAGACCCCTATCTTATGATTATTACTTTATTTCAGTTTTTACGCGCACATATCACACACATGTCTCGTTTTATAAATCTCAATGGTTTCCAAAAGCCGGATCTGGAAGCACTTACCAAGCGCTATGTGCTTGAACTGGATTTGCCGCCACTAATAGCCAGCTATGTTAGCAGTCTAATGGATATACTGCCCCCTGCGTTTGATACAAAATATGGACAACATTGCTATCCTCGCTATGAGGCTCGAGTCATGGCCTATATAATATATGTTTTGAAGCTATTGTTTGGTCTGGATGATGTCAAAGAGCGCGTGATATCGCAATCTGCCATACTCATTAATAAACACTTGTTGCAGCAAACTGATGAGCAGGCACAACCAGTGGAACCACTTTTCGTCTATACCGAATGGATGCAATTTGTAGAATTACGCAAAGTTTTAGTGGCAAATTATAGTGAAAGCTTTGCACAGCGCTTCAGAATAGCTACCGAAAATGGACGCAAGGTAGACGACTTTTTAAATAAGGAAAGGAAACAGAAGGAGGATGAATATAACTACAACGAGATGTTGGTAACGCCAGCAATGCAGCGCATACGCGAGAACATTTGTCTGATTTTCGAGACATTGCTGAAAAATAAATTCGGCGTGTCCAGCAACGATACCACCACAAAAGATCACATCGAGTTTCAGCCCAGTCTAACTCCGGCGCATAGCTACTACAAGCGAATTCTCCTTCACGCCAGCCAAGCGCAGGAGGGCGAGATGAGTGTACAGATTCCAGACTTCATGAAAGTAGATCACACAGAGCGTCAACTGGAACCCTTTAAATATCAAACAACCGTTTTGGCTCAGCACCTGGCCGTGCGAGGAAAGACGCTGCGCGTAGAGGAGTTGGCGTGCCAGGAAGACTACGAGGAAATTGGTATATTTCAAATGCTTGTACGTCCACGGAATCGACACAACGAATGGCGCGCAAATTGCGATATAAGTACACAGAACTGGCTTGATATATTGCGACGACGGGAGAAGCGTCCCGACTTTGTATTTCGAAAACCAATTTCAAGTTACGGTCGGCAATATCAAAAAAAAATTATGGAACGTGCAGAACGCCGTCAGGCAATGGAAGCAGATAATCCGTTTTGGAAATTACGCGATACGCCTACCTACATACTGACTATCAACAATGAGGATGTGTCGCTAAACAGTTTAGCTTCCATACAAACATTCGATGAACGCAACATGGAACCGCTGCGTGTACCGCTGAAGATGCCCCGTCGTCAGATGCGGCCATTGTCCGAAGAAAGTGCAGGAGCTACCCAGTCAAAGCCAGAGAAGCAGATTGGAGAGGGAAAAGAAGGAGCAGAAGAACAAAATGAGCTTGTGTTGAAAATATCCAATTTCGATTGTTGGCTACTACATGGTAATATGACAAAGATCACAGACTCCGGTAAGCAGAAACTACGTTCGATCTTCCCCTGCTCGTTTCGATGGCTGCTGGAAACATGTGCCGCCACCATTGGCGTGGATTGGGCTGAGCTCTATGATCAATTGTTGATATTGGAGGTGACTTTCCATCATGGTATCGAGGATTGGAGCTGTCATAGCAATCATTTGCGATTCAAATACAATATACTAAATAAGGATATCAATTTACTAACCAAATCTTGTCGAGATATGTGGTAAAAATTTGGTGTTGCAAGACTTCCTAATCTCATATTTTTTTTATCACTTAATAACCGACACAAGAATAAACAAGTCACACAAACGCGTAACATAAATATGCAAATTAGCGTTTATCAGAAGAATACCGAGATGGCGACAGCAGCTCCAATAATAACAATTCTTGTCAACAATGTCCGATTGGAAGATACCCTGAACAAAGCGTATATTTGTACCATAGTGGTTCCCTATAGCTTTTAAAACATGAGATATCGACTATAATAACTGAACTTTTATATCGTATTTATCGTATACTTAAACCTATAACTTAATAATTGACCTTAGAAGGATAGTCATATTAAATTTCCGTTATCTGGCTATTATAAGTGCGATGAGCTCAAACATACAGATATGGCAGTTGAACCAGAAGAAGAGTACTTTATGTTACATACATTTTATAAAAAACATTATACTGTATTTTAAATTAATTTTAGGGTATAACAATAATAATAACATCAGTTACTCACACAACGTTTTGTTTACATTTTACACAAAAAAATCTTCAAAAAGAAAGAGCACTAACAGCCTCCTCACGGCCGCGGAAACACATGCATACTGAGAGAGGGGCTCTCTTCTCTCTATATTCTCTCTCACGTACATGCACATACACGCACACACAGTCTGCAATAGCAGGTGCCGAGCGCCGCTGCAGAGAATAAGACAGAAATAGAGCGCGTGAGCGTGCGTTTGTCCACAGTGGAACACTGATTGAAAAACGCGCACGATTTTATAATAAAAATTTTATAATAAAAAATATTGCAAAATTGTATTTAATAGCCTGTTTAGCCACGGAACTAATTATAATAAGTAGATAATAATAATTTTGGGAATAATTATTTTGTGAGTGACCTGAAAAAAAATGGATATATAGAAAACTTCCTTGTTTGATTGTCCAACCGGGCTATTGCCTACTGATATGTAAATATTTTACTCCATTTCCGAAGTTTGTCCACATAAATAAAGCTCTGCGCCACTGTACATGCTATGTGGAAATCATAGGCCGCGCATTGGTTGGGCGACGCATGCGAGTTCAGTGCTAATTTTAACGACGCCGCGTTGACTGTTTTGCTTTTGCGGTTTTTGATTTGCTTTGCGCTACGTTCAAGTTGAATAAAAATTTAAATCAGATTCAGTGCCTTTGTCAAGCGCACGGCATATGTATGTGCCATACGCGTTTGTCGCTCCTTTTCAAGTTCAATTTCAATTTCAATTCGAAAGTGCAAGTGCTCATAAACAATAAAACAGTGTTGGTAACGGAAGTATTCATACCGTTATCTGTAACATTATTTTCATTTTGATCAAAAGCAAAACAGAACTGTCATTAAAACATAATACAAAAAAATCTTAAAATATTTTTTTTAATACAAAGAGATGAAGAACTGATAAGGCCAAATACGCGGCAAAATCAAATATACTGGAACGCATCTTTTAGCAGTTAGTTCAGGTAGTTTATGACTTAAATAAAAACATATCAAGCTGTTCCATAAAAACTAAAACAAGAATATATTTTAAGAAATCCAAATAACCTTTTGTGATTTAGCTGTTTCAGCTAAAAGAGGCAAACGTTCTGCGTTGACTAATGCAAAGCATGTGGTGTTAATTTTTTCATTTTTGGCAATACACCTGTTTCAATATTGGCGTACAAAAAATACTTATCCAAGTTGCGTCAGTCTGCGGTAAGCCTACCAATAATAAGTTACATATATGCGGATCTTTAATGAGTTCCTACGTTACTTCATGCATTTTGTGTGCGTGAGTGTGTGTGTGTACATAATGATATCATATAGCACATAACAAAGGTAACACCATACCGTTTTAGAGCCTAAGCTTCCCTTGCCCCTTCTCTATCTCCTTGCTAGACGCTACGTCGTTTTGTACGTGCGATCCAAGTTTTAGTTGTTGACGTTCTTGGCGGCTTTTGAGGTTAACAACATTGTTTTACCAAAAACAACAACAACTATTGTATTTGCCATATAAATTCAAAAGTAAATTCATTGTATAACAACAATTAATAGCAGCTATTTTGTCACTAGCTAAGTTTTATCCAAAAAAAAAAAATTAAACAGTTTGCATCAATTACAACAAATTCATTCAAATTGCTTGACAAAACTCGCGCTTTTATCTCTCAACTGACTCTTCGTGTAATTTGTTCAGCTTAAGAGCTGTCATAAACCCCGTTTATTTTTGTCAAATGTTTAATTAGTTGCGGCATTCATTCATTTAGTGCATTAATTAGACGAACTGCACGATAAAACAAAAAAAAAAACCATATGCCCGATCGATATCTTTTTATTATCTATAGATAGATATGGAACTGCCACCGTCAATACATCTCACCTTTATCTCTTATCTACAAGCTTTCCGCAAATGTGTCACGCATCCTGATGAAAGCGTTCAAATATAACTCAGACCAAACTCAACTCTAAAATTGAAAATAGCTTCAAATTGGAATTTAATTAACTTGTTTTTAGGTAGCAGCCAAAAATAAAGCTGACCTGGGTAGTGCAGGTGGTGGTCTCGTGTTGCACGTGCGGCTGGACTTTCAAATTGTCGACCAACTTATTTTTAGAGACGACCCGCTCTTAGTTGCTGTGTGTGTGTGTGTGTGTGCGTATGTGTATTGATGTGATGTGTCTGTATTTTAACGAATTTTAAGCATTTCCTTCACATTCTTTTAAAAATAAACAAAACCAAAACCGGGGAAGGAGCGAGCTACCTTCAATGTTTGCAATATATAAATATGTACATACATACATACATACATACATACATATGTGCATACAGATGTTAAAATAAAACACAAAATAATTTTCGGTTTTATTAATTTGTTCTTCCCAATTTTCTTCCGTTGCGTTTGCTCTGATCGCGCTATCTCTTGCCTTTTTCATTTGAAAATCGTCGAATCGTGGAATACTCTACCTTTTTTCAGTTATTAGTTATTTCTAGTTTTTGTTGTATATTATCATAACTTGTTTAGCATTAATATTAAAAACGTAAGTTATCTTTTTGCATGAAATTTTGTTATATTTATCATGTAACTTTATCAGTTCATAATATTAGAAAACTTTCCTATAGATTAGACATTTACAAAACTATTTACAAAGTCATGCAACTGTGCAGTGGTAGATGTGAGAGAAAGAATGAAATTAAAGCAGGCCACAAACACTGTAACATTTTTATGCAACTGTGCAAGTGTAAAGAAGCAAAGAGGAGGGAGGAAGAGGCAGGCCAATAAAAATAGAAAACAATGACAGCATAATTTGCTATTTCTTAAAAATTGTCTGTTTATTTTGTTCTGTTGGATGTGTGACTAAGCCAAATAGAAAACAAACAAAACGTTTGTATTTTTATTTCTGCAATTTAATTTCTCTTTGCGTTGCGTATGTGGCTTTTGTTTCTATTTATCGCACTGTTTAATTTAGAACTTCAATGACATTTTCCCATTTAATTTTTCTAATGTCGACATCGTTCTAGGGTGTTCTTGTAAGAAAAGCAATTTTCCACATTTTCATTTAATGCTTCGGCCACAGACTTACTCACGTTTCCCACCAAGACATTTGACCCATTAATTGGATTAGAATAACATGTTGTTGCTGTTGTCTTTATGTTTGTATTTTTCTTTTTACGATTTCGCACGTTGTTTTGTTGTTCATCTTAGGGCGCATGCCTCAGAACAACTTGTTGCACATGTACAGCTGTGTGCATTCAAATAGGGTCACATTGAATAAATTGACCAACAAATATTATTGTATTTAATATTAATTTGACTAGTTCATTTTCATTGTAAATTCATATAATTATATTTTATTTCATATTTGTATATATTTTGAAATGCTTCAATTTGAATGAACAGCACTTTCGAATCACTTGTCTAAGAAAGTAAAAAAAGGCGAATGCAAAAGTAACGGTGTTTATTTTTTGTCATTTTGCCATTCACAAAGCATAAATACAAGCATGTGATTGATTAAAAAGAAGATTTGTACATTAAATAAAAAGACGCAATACTATTCTTATGAACACAGCTGTATGTACATATGTCCATGCATACATACATATGTACATATAGTTGTATCGTAACATATGCTTAGGTCACGTATGCATCCCAATACTATAATTTATAAACTCTGGGTAAATGCGCCTTAATAATTCTGAATATTTCTAGTTGCATTTTTATTTACTTAAAAAACTTGCACTTTAATTCAAATTTGATATTTGCTGGTGCACAATAAATTTTCCGCTCCGACAAATTTCAGTTTTACATAATGAATGTGTGATAAATAGGTATAAATATGAACATTTAATTGCTAATTGAAATGTAAGCACATATTTTACAAGTTACTTTGCATATATATATATTATATTGAGAGACAGTTTTATTTTTGTATCTTAAGTTAGGATCATGTTTTCATTAAAACTATGGACCTTAACGCTAAATAGACGCCAGACACACCTCTAATCGCATCAAGCTTTGATTTAGTATGCGTTTTTTTTTATGCTCTTTAAATTTGCACAGCCATAGTAAACATACGTAAACGTAATGTCTAATGTAAAGAAGCGACAGGCTCATTTGCACAATTAATTTGTGCGCAAAAATCTGGTAAGAAAAATAACAAATCTAGTCGGTGCGACATTTAAGTGATAAGTGCAAGTAGTCTGAAAGAGAAATCCAATGTGTGTGTGAAAGAGACAGAGTAAGAGCAGAGAGAGAGGGGAAGACAGGTGTTAATTGCTTGACAAATTGAAAAACACGAAATTCGCTCATGTGCTAAGGCCTAAAGTAACCAAGTTTTAAGCAAATATCCATTATACAATAGGTCGGCCTGTGTGAATGTGTGCGTGTGTGTGTAAGCGAGCGTGTTTTAAAATACTTGTTAATAGATTCAATCATTTTGTTTTTTATTTACAGCTGACAAACTGTAACACCAAGACAAAAATATAATAGACATCTAAATGGGTCGTTGGGGTCGACAGAGTCCGGTGCTGGAGCCGCCTGATCCGCAGCCGCCGCCTATACCACCACGTACATTTATGCGACAATCGAGCATAACAAAAATTGGGAATATGCTTAACACGGCCATCAATATAAATGGAGTGAAAAAGCCGCAAAGTAAGTTTGTATTTTGTTAAATTTTAGGTTTCAAAAGCTTTGCGCGTAATAGCGCGTTTAGAATTAGGCGACAACCCAGGCAGCTGTAGCTAATCGTATTTTGTAACACTGAAAATGCACGGTGACCAACACTGCGCGGAATGCGCAACGCCGTTCGTTTGCGGCAGTTTTAGTGGCTTGAAACTGCTGTTGTAAAGTGCGAAATTTGCAATACATTTTGTACTTCCATTTTATGTTGAAATTTTCATAACAAATTAGTCATATATTAAGTTAAAATTGTTAACGGCGCGTTGAAGTGTTATTGCCACATTCAAATTGTATTATTGCAATGATGTACATAGTTTAAAAGTGCGTAAACTTTGGCCGCCGCTGCCGCATTTGCAAAAAAAAAGACGACGCAACGCAACGACGACGGCGGCGACGAAGCAGTGCATCAAAAGAGGCGGCAAAAAGTGGAAGAAGAAGCAGTTGAACAAAGCAGCATTAGAATCTCGGTTTTTTTCTTTTTTATTTGCCATATTTGTCATACGAGTTCAACAGCGAGTACAAT